TAAATTGATTGATTGATTGACTGAAAATTTAGACGGAACGCAGTGTGCCACCGTCCGATCCGTAGTTGTACGGCTTCCGGGTTCCGAGCGCTAACGACAAGAATTCGGGCCTATGACGTACGGGCGTTTCCGCCGAGAGCGGCGAACTTTATGGAAATTGCGCGCCCTCGCGAACCCTTCCCTACCAATTCTCTGCCAACAAACCTTCTCACGTGCCACGCTGCAAATTAACGAAATTTCGGACTAGTGCCACAAAACGACAAGCTATCCTGCTGATTTCTACCGTCGGCCGGTCCAAGCTGCTAGTTAATATACCTACTCGGTTCGGAGGTTCGGGGCCGGTTTGGGCGTAGAGGTTTCGATATGATCGTACATGGGCATTGGGTACGTAAGAACGTAACACCGATAGGCCTACCGGGACAAGGCTTGTTCTACGCTTAAGGGTAGCTTGGACGCCAGGGTACAATAAGATCACCGCCCGGGGAGTCGGGACGTTTTGAGTAATAGGTAGGTAGGTTTTGTGATGTACCATCTGGCCATACGCAGCTCATCAGGTGGAGTCTGCGGACTGGCATACCGCAAAAGCGGGGCGGGGCCCAAAGATGATGTTGAGAAGAGTCGAAGCAGGGACGTTACAATTTTCTCCGCTTCCTGACGTGCCGGTGATCGATGAGGGGTTCGCCTTCGGATTCAGAGTCGGAAGGAGTTTGATTGAGGTCGATCGGTGATTGAGACCTGTGGCAATGTTCTTGAGCGTTTGAAAACAGGGCGTGGAGGTGGCGGGAAATGATGTTGTTGCTGGGTTGGATTGTAGAGGGACCTTTGGATGAAGGCGCTAGGACATGAGCACGGTCCACGAGGTTTGTGAACGGTGAAGTCAAATGAGGCAGGGCCTGCATAGACTAGTAGACTCGTTGGTTAACCGAGCCCGGCTTTCAAGCGGAGCGGAGGAAGTAGGCATGTCGAAATCCTCCAGAGAGGAAAATCGCAGTGTCGGGCTGGGCCGTTTTGCTGTGGGTTCAAGGGGAGGAAGGTTGAGATCTGGGAGTCTATTTCGACGGTTTATCGCGACGAGTGCTGGGGAACGGGTCCAAATGTGAGACTCAATGTGAAGCAGAAGCGAGCGGGCTAGCTCGAGAGTGTTGCGCCGCAACAGCTCGAGCAGTAGGTCCTAGAGCCACAGCCTGAGGAGGCCCGGGACGGCCACAGCGGGGCCGAACGCGATGGTGCTGCCATACAGGCAATGGTGTTTGCTTTTTATTCCAGGCGTCAGCCAGTGCCGCAAAGTCCTCATCAGTTAGCTCATCAATGGTTTTGCCAACGGGCAAGAGCTTTAGACGATCTTGAAAGAGCAAGCCACGCGCTTTGACAGCTTGACACCGGTCATGCCAGATGGCTTGATAGGTGCTGATAATCAGGGTATGCAGCAGCCGGCCAACTTTTTGAGCTTGTGCGTGAGATTGACAGCGCGGCTCCAGCCAGCGGCGAAAGGAGGTAGGAATTTGACCAGCGGAGAAAGCATGTTGATTAAAGTGAGGCATAAGTACGTGGGAAAGCAGAGAAGTCTTCAAGTCAGCATAGGAACCTGAGACGTGATGGCGTTGAAGTAGGTCGATTGAAGAATTTAGGAGCTGTAAGCGGGCAACCTGGTAAAACGGGCAATGGAAGAAAACGTGTTTAGTACTTTCGTCAAGGTGATTGCACAAGGCACAGGTTGTGTCAAAGAAAAAGTGGGGCCGAATTGTGTGTAGGCGATGAAAGGTGGGCAGGGTGCGCCCAAGAATTTGAATCATGAATCGACGTAAGGAGGACTCGCATGACCGTCTGGAGTCGAGAACTGGTGATGTGGCTTCTTGCCAAATCTCGTCTATCAGAAGGTAATTATGCCACTGACCTCGAAAGTGATAATGTTTGTTGAGAGCTTTATAACGTTTCATGTAAAGCTTTTGTGCGTTGTTTTCGAAGACATAGCTAGCGGCCCCTTGATGAACCTTAACAACGGCAATACGGTAGGTGCGCTGTCTCAGAAGGAATGCGCACATGAGGTTCTAAAAGACTCTGTTTGGCGAGCCGGTCTGCCACTTTATTGTGCTCCTGATGGTGCTCTTGCAGAGTAAGAGGCCCTAAGCTGCGAAGACCAATTGCGTCACGTTTATGAGCTTGAACATGTACAAATCGCGTTGTGCCGGTACGAAGGCGGGCTTCCTGCAGGATGCGTAGAACAATAGACCGATCGCCAATGTGTTTGAGTTCATAGGAATGCGGTTGGCGATTCTTGTATTTATTAAGTTGTTGAATCAGAGGAAGGCGGTCACAGTAGATCGTAATATCGGTGGTGCGTGCGCAATGTAAGACGGCAGCAAGAACACCGAAAGCCTCGGCGCGGGCAATTGTTTGATGGCCAGGGATTCGAAGCCGTACGCGTTCGTGAGGATCAGCAGCTGGTAATTCCGGAAAGTAAAGGCCGAAACCAGCCAGTGTATCATTTGAGTATTAGGTAGGTAGGTGGTATTAGATTGGGGTAAGATTAACCCCGCATGCATGGACAACTTGACGAGTCCTCAGTCACACATGTCAATGCCACGTGATGAGATCAGGGTTTTGCCGATAGGATCACGATTCAAAAGCCTTACCGCGAACACGTCTGTCATTGTGAGTTGTCATTGTGAGTGGCTGCGCCTGGATAAGGGTTCAAACTTCAGGGAGGCGAATATGCTGCATAATGCATGTAGTAAGCAAGGCCGCAGTTGTCGGAGGATCACTTACTCTGGAGTCTGGTATACCTACCTAAGTTTAAGGAGGGAGTCGGAACTACAAGTAGTGAGCACAGCCACGGCACAGCGCATCATGCATTCGAGTCTTGCATCATGCATGAACCTAGTAAAGACCTGACTCTCCTAGTCTCCTAGATGTTACGTACCATTCGAGTGCAAACCAGAAACAGTCGATTGATATTCTGGCCTCAAATTGATGAACACATTGCTAGCCCAAGAGACGGTTACTTTGATTACCTATTGATGAACAAGTCTTCAATTGTCATCGCGGAGCCAATGCAGCCAATGCAGCTGTAGACGAGCTCGAGTAAATCGAGTATCACCTTGTCATTTGCCAAACTTCTGAGCACGGAGCCTGCGCAAGGGCGGGGGTATCAAAGCCACAAGGCCGAATCAAGAATCAAGAAAGAACATAGTGAACATCCCTTTCTTCATACAAAGCGAACAACCGTCTACCGCCACACGCTAGCTTCCCGACGTTTGAAAACTATAAGCCTAGTAAGCAGAATGGGGAAGTCTTCTGCAACCTTGGTTGTACTGCTCGCCGTCACGCTGGTGGCGGCTGGGAGCGTGTCTGCGGTTCCGGACTCCTTGCTGTGCCCTTTTGAGCTGGGGTACAACCCATCATTCAGTGCCGACGGATCCAAGCTCTTCTGCTCAAAGGGTAAGGCGCCGACCTTGTGAGGGACCTGGACTGCTATGCCCAGATGGATTCCAGTGAGATTGTCGTCTGGCAATGTTTATTTCCGGTCAGCGTAGAATTTTATGGAAAGAAGCAGCCAGTGAACCCTTGAACCAATGATTTGATAGGGGCCGCAATGCTGGCGGCCTAGAACTCATTGACACACACTTTTTGTAACGATCTGTTGCATCCAAATCTGAGTGTGTCAGCTGCTCAAAAAGTATTACTTCCTGCCTTGCAAGTCACAATTTCACGTTGGGTTCGAAAACTAGGGAGAAGCTCTCGAGGATATTCTTTCTCAAGCTGGCGGAAATGCATGCCGATGGCACCAGCATTCGTGGCAATGAGTTTATCATTCAAACTGTTTATCTTATTGTTTGAAACAGAGGCCTCTCTGAGGAATGGTTTTGGCAGCTCAAACTTGAAAAGAGGGATGCCTGTCACCCGACCACCCTTGCAATCCTGGCTTCGCTTAGTCCTGAGCTCAAGTTGCGGATATGCATAATGCAGGGCTGGCAACAGATTTGTAAATGCCAGTTTGGAAAACAGAAGGGAGCTTGATCCATCAGGGACTTGGCATGCCCAGTTGCATTCATTCTTTTTCTAGCGTCCATCAAGAAAGCAATAAGCTCTAGAAGCTTAGCAAGGAAAGCTGCATTTGCAGTCCTGGCGATTGGATCAACCATCCCAATCCGGTAGCTAAATTGTTACAGCTCATCTGCCATGGTCCAATTGTTCCACACATGAACTAGTCACTTGTGCTAGCCCACCTGGCCGCAAGAAAAGTCTCCAAGATGCACCATTTTCGCTTTTTCGGCCAATCCCAAGCTGCCACGTGTCTCCTTGCAGGCCAGGAGATCTTCCAGGTGGACGACGCTGGCATCCTCGCGCGCTCGCTACGCGGCATTGGGACCAGCGCGCAGGCGATCGTCAACAGTTTCATTACGGGCGATCTGTCCGTTTTTGTACGGCTTGCTGATCCGGCCGTCGAGATTGCTCTACCGGACGGTCCACATCCTCTGGACGCCGATGTGGTTGCATTCATTCAGGACACGTTCACCTTTCCGCCAGGGGTTGATAGCACAGCTGTCCTCCAGGTAAGTTATGTGGGTATGGTTCGAAGGTAACTCAGTTGCTGTGTATATCTGCACTTATTTATACTTCCTGCTCCTTGCTTGCCGGACTGGTTTGGCCGGATTGAGTCGATTTGGACTGGAATAGGTCACCATATCCTGCCTTTCAGTGTGAGGACTAGGTTTGTGCTCTTTCCTCGGTTATTTTTTGTCGATATGTCGAGTTAGTATGCTTTGCGGAGTTTCCTGCTGAGGGACTGAGAAGAAAACGATGTGCCGCTCAGAAAGCCAAAGTCTTGCTTGCCTTACATTGACACGTGTCAAGTGATCTGTGATGTTCTGAAGTATGTCGCCGAAACGGTGTGTGCCAACAAAGCTTTCCTGAATGGACCTTGACTGGTAGTAGACTTGAAACGACATGCAGGTGAGATAGCTTACAACAGATGGTTTCGAGCTTTTTCCAACGAGTTACTCTAATATTCTTCCAGAGCAAACAACGAACGTGCGCACACTCTCCAGACCCACTCCTTGGCGCTCATCCAATCTCACAATATTACCTGCACTGGACGGAGTTAGCAGAACCTTATTGCAGGACTGCTCAACCCATTTAGACTCCAAAGAAAGCCCTCCCTTTTCCGTCTTTTGCACAGCAATTGGTTCTCATAAGTTCAGTCCAAACCTTCTGACACCTTCTCCCAGCTTACGAACGCACGAGTCGCAGCAACTTTTTCAAAGTTGCGCAGCAGCCAATGGAAAAGTGGCCGCTTTTGCTTCATGTTGCTTAAACGCTGAAAGCCGTCCCAAAAGTCTCCTTTGCTTCTGTCAGGTCTCTGACTATCACTTCCTCAGCAACGACGACCCCCGCACGGCCACAGTCCACGTCAAGGTGTTTGCAGCCGAGTACACAATCGAGTACGACACCCTCTGGCTTTTCAACTTGGTGAACGGCACGCGGGTCTGGCAGCTCAAGAGGACGTACAACCCCAGCCTAGAGCCCAATTAGGATATTCACGTTCTGGAGAGATTGGTCTCGTGTTTGCTCTGACGGTATCCAACGGTATCTGACGGTGCAACTTGTCTTGGTTTTAAAATCTTCAGACGAAGGATCGTTCTGCATTTAAGAGTAAAGCAGAGGCCCTGAAGTCATGCTTTCATATCATGAAGAGACTATCATTTAGGGTGGATAGACAGTTAGTAAGGCTTCCATCGCAGCGATTTTTAAGCCAAGCTAATTGTTGTGCAGCTTCTGGGAGTGCCGAAACTCTGCCACCTCGTTGAGTCAGGTAGTATAGCTAGAGGTTTGTTAGAAGACCACACAAAACGGAACTCGTTGTTTGTTTCCTGTTTGGCGTCGTGCAGACCCTTGAGTATACAGTCACTTGATATTGACTGTTGAAAAAGGGGTTCCGCGCTGTGTTTCTTTCACATGACACTTCACTTCGAGAAACCTAGTGAGGTCATGGGGTTGTGCTCACCTTGAATGGAGCTCGGAAGTGATTATTGTCACCAAGCCCACAATATGCATACCTGGACACAAGAAGTTCACGAAATTGTAGCATACTAGGAAGTGTATCCCAGTATCAGAATCGGAGCAAGCTGGTGTTTGATAACTTCAGTCTTGAAAATCGCGCGCGCATAGCGCCCAAACCGTACGTGGTTTCCTCTGGATATCTGAAGTCGAAGACAAGGCAAAACTCAATGCCTCGATCAGGCATGCGTGAGAGCACGACACGCAACCGACTGACGGCGGCCACTTCAAGAGTCCATGTGAGATCAATAACGCGCTCCATTATGCACCGGCTCCGATTCAGCGTTGCGGCATAGGTGCGTCAATGCGCCGAGATACGGGGCGGTCAAGCGCCCCGCTAGCTGGCCTGATGTTATGATGAAGAACTGCCCATGTTAACGCAATCGTGGCTATAAGTCGTCCTCTTAGCGGTTTCTATAATGTATCTCGCCTAGCAATTATACTCGATCATGGTCAGAGCTGATTTACAACGTCGCGTCTCGCGCCAAGAGCGCGATGCGACCGTACAGCAGTAGAGCATTACTAGAATCCGGCAATCTTTAGTAGATTCAATACCTGCAGGTTTCAACGGAACTTATAGCAGTTCAGCGCCCGAAGTTCAGCGCCGGATGCGGAACCTTTTTCATAATTCCCGACTTAAATGACTCCGATCTGCGTCACTTGCTCTGATGCGAGTTACCAAAGGAGATGCGTGTCGTTGCTGTGTCGGGTCAGCGCTCCAATAAATTTATGCGCACATGGCTCGCTAGCCTGGAGATCGGCCGCCGGCAGGCGACGGCGCGGCCGCGACCGCCTTAGTCCGCGAAGGGAGGCCGCAGAGCCCGCTGCACGTCCCCGCTGATTATCAGGCTCTGTCAACAATGGCCACACTGCACGCAGCCAGAGTAGTGTCGGGCACGTGCACATGCAGATCACCTCGATGACTGCTGACCAACGATCATCCCGGACGGTATAGTAAGCGGGCCGGAGGCTCCGGTAAGTTCATCAATTGTCGATCACTTGAGCACGATTGCAAGTTGAACGCACTGACCTTTTACGTACTGCCAATCTTAACTTTGCCATGGCATGAATTCCAAGCCGCCTCCATACTTTGATTCGTCCGGTCCCTCCTACACAATCACGAACCTATATCTAGTCTCCTGCGAGTGAATCCCATGAATGAATGTATGACACGGAATGGCTCAGAGCCCTCGTCTTGATCCAGTAAGGCTTTGTAATATGGTACCACTATGAAGCACACATACAGACGCCAGTCAACCGATAGACGTCAAGCAAGCAAGTACGTAAGTCTCAACAAGGAAACGTCGATTTGCAGGAGTTGCATTGAAACGAACTACTGAAACGGGAATGCGTCGTCGCCGTTAAAATTCAGCGCTCCCGACTCCGTTGGAGCTAGTGGTATATATAACTGAGATCGAGCCAGCGGACGTGCTAATGATTGATGTTATCAATATTGATATGGTTAATGATATTTTGCGGCCGGGAAGGGTCCACGAAACCACCGACAACCGTGTGAAGCGCTGGCGAATGACGCGCGAGACAATCACCGTTCCGATCCACTGCACGTCGTTTGCAGTGGGCCGTCGAGTCTAATCTCATGAGCGCACCGTGGAAGATTTCCGCAGACTTGCAACTTATATTACAGACCGTTTCAAATCGGAAAATCCGACCTCCACTTCTCTTTCTGCTTGTTGCTGTCTTTTTAAACGTCGATCGTCAAGCACTTCCTCGAGTGACCGGCGCTATCGCTTCTGAAGAGGCATGGCTACTTCGAGCGTGAAGAAATGCTCCACCGCGGACCGAATCGCTCGCTCTAGTTCCTCCACAGGAACCCTAAACGGGTAGTTCTTGGACATCGGGTTGCACGTCCCGTCGTGCGCGTGGTCTATGGAATGCAGGCTTTGACACCGCGCGATGTCTTCCAGACTGTAGTCAACCAGCTTCTGCGGGTGAGTGTAATTCACCGACTCGACGCCGAAGTAGATGAGGTTCCGCGCGGCCGCCATGTTCCGGAATTCCGTCTCCAGGAACCGGTCCGGAAACAGCTCGATGACCGCCGCGTTTTCTGGTAACCAGACCATGTTGGATAGGGCCGCCCCGTGAGATGCGATCAGGATCCCCGTTTCGGACATGGTTACGACCTGCGGACAAAAGGTCGGACGCTTTAAGATACAGTCCAAGTTGCTGAGATGAATCCGCTACCTCGCTTGAGAGGCTTTGAAGAACATGCTTAGGCTGTGACCAAGTCGCATGTCTGAAAACCGCAACGAGTAGAGACTAAGACGCGGGAACCAAACGAGGAACGATTGAGAGAAAGTAAGGTTGATCTAGAAGGATCTTCTGGATACGTGCTGATGTGTGCTCGTCTCCTAAGCTCACAGGATATTGAAGCGTGTTCGATTATCTTTGGGGCCGACTATCTTGAAGATGCAAGCTTGAAGATGGACCGCAAACACTAGCGCTTGCGACAATCGACGCGATTGAGAGGACACGCCTTTTGAGTCTCCGTGTGATTTATGGTGGGCTTCTTCATTCGCGGCGGGGTGGCTCAGTCACGTCTCTAGATGGTCTGCCAATGCAGACTAGTTGGCTCGTTTCAACAGCGCAGAGGGTCGAAGCCGTTTGCTACGAGAGTTTTAGAGTCAGCGTTAATGGGCTCTTCAGAAGAGGTCGCTTTCCGATCTTTCACAAGCAGAGCAGCTGATCTATCAAGGTGACCCAAGCCTTTTACGGTCCACTGACACGAATTCGTTTCAGTACCGTCTGGATTCCAGACCACTTTCGGTGTGGTTAGGGTTTGGAAACGGGTCACTACAATTTTGTCGTCCTCACCTGCTGTCGGAAGGTCATGTGCGGCTGGCCTGAAACCTCTTGGATCAGGTTTCCCGCCAGCCCTAGTTTCTCAATCACGCTCATGATGTCCTCTACGTTCTCAATGTGCCTCGGAAACTTCTCAGGCCGGTTAAGGACCGTGACCCGAGTCCAGTTAGCTCTGTTAACAACTGGGACCTTTTGATGTTCGTAAGCCCGTGCCCTGAGCTCGGAGGCGTCTAGAGGGCCCACCGAGAAGAAGGGCTTGTAACTGGTGATCCCGCCGCGCTGTCCACAGAGCAGCGTGCTGCAGAAAGGAGGAGCAATAGCTTATGATGGTGTAGTGACCCTGCGTCAGAACTCAGTTGGGAAGGGAATTCAGCTGATGACACCGTAGAGTTTCAATCTCAAAAGCGTGCTTCAAAAGCTGGGAGACCCAACTAGATTTTCTGAATCCGACACACTAGAACCTTTGGAGAGCCAACTCCGCAGGACATCTTGCAAAAATAAGATTTCAACTCAGGGGACAACGTTCATACCCCCGCCCTAAGCGAGCTCGATTGCTCAAAAATGCAGCGAGCGTGCGATACAAGACTCTTTATTGCCGCAGTGTTAGCGCTTCAGCCGTGACTAACCAAATTTTACTGGCAAAACTGGTATCCAAACATTCAATTCAAACCACCCGGATTGCTGACAGAAGGAGGAGAACCAGGTTTGAGCAAGTCATAGATTCTGCTCCGTTTGATCAGCCGTTAAGAAGCGTCGGCTCTGAGCTTGACACAAATTTCGGCGGCCAGGGTCTATTGCAAAAAGCGATAGCTTATGCATCGATTTCGCAATCGCCCACCTGCCACCTTGCGCCAGGTCTTTCTTGAAGATCGCCTTCGTTTGCGACTGCGTCGTTATGTTCAGGATTCCCAGATTGAACTCGTGGTACTCCGTCTCGTTAAGCACCAGCACGTAGTCTTGGGGCGGAAGCTCTCCCGACCCGTTTCGCATCTGAGCCTGCGGAGAAAGAACGCCAGCTGTCAGAAATACATTTTGTATTAGTGCTACCGTGCTTTGTAGGACTCCTGGGCACCTCTGCTCCGGATTTGACTAAACCTCTGGAAGAACGGCCTTTTCGAAGGGCTTGTAAGCCTTGGGTTCGGTGACTTTCTGCAAAATTGCGGATTAAGTCTGGTCAGGTGTCCTCAAGCCAACCGAAGTAAGGGCGGCAAGTGGAAGGCGAGTGAGGGCTGCCAGTCAGTCGGCAAAGCTGAATTCAAAATCCTGAAGGAAGGAGCCACGCGTATTTAGGGGATGGCTCGAGATGCATTAATGGACACAATAACGGCTGCTAGTGTCTCAACTTTCCGTCAAGCACGCTCGTAAATATTTCAACAGGCCAACCATAAGATACCCGTAGAGATGAGGCCCTCTCGGACCGACGAGACTTCTGGCTGAAACCTTGATTCCAAGGAATTCTAAGGGTGACAAGCAGCAAACACAACTCGCAATGTTCGGTTGTCGAGCGACTTCACATTTTGGGCTCGACGTTGTCTTCCACCCGCGAGGTTTTTATAGGACTAGTTCCAGATCGGAGGAACCCATTCGCAGAAAGTCAGGCTAACGGAGGAATAGCTTTTGACAGGAACCGCAAATCAGACAGAAGTGAACGGGGGCCAAGAAAACGACGGCCAAAGTCTTTGTCAACTCCACTGCCAAGAAATGGCGAACGACATTTCAACTTTAGGAGCGTGAAGAGCCTCTTCTGCCACGGCATACTATAATTCCCTACGAACAGCAATCCGAAGCTCCTACCTGCAACTGCTCTAAGTTAGAAAATGCAGTAGCGTAGGGCGGATATATTTAGGAGAGCAATTTTGGCGGCAATAGACCAACCTGTAAAAGCCCCGTGAACGACATTCCGGTGTGCCAGATGTGGTCCGTTGTGTCCGTTTCCGGCCGGACGATCCAGAGCGCGCCGTCTAAGAGGGTCGCGTTCGCCAGGGCTTCTGGGCCTTTCCATACTCCCTGAATCTTGTTGTTAACAGGAAGGGGCCATTTAGAATCTGGTGGGTACCTAGAAAGCGGACAAAAACGTGTGCTGGTTTAGAAAGCGAGACGAAGTTCTTCCTGATGCTTTGAAGCATCCACGTGCCAATCCTTGTGGCTGGTTAGAGTATCGAGCTTGGTACAGGGTTTCTATTGACAAAACCGTTTTCGGTGGGACCCGAAGTACGGCCCAAAGGTGGTAAGAGATAAGCAATTGCAATACGGTTGCAGTAGAATCAAGATGATGCGCATTAGAGGTTAAGATAGGCAGATTCTCGCAGAAAAGAGCTACGCTAAGGACTGCCAGCAAGCTTGCAGCCAATGTCAACTTCTATAATCATCTGAGAATATCACTTGAACGCCACGATGCAGTTCATCTAACCTCCGAGAGGCGAACTGCATCTTAGAAAATCAAGTCTGTTTCCACGTTCAAGAACCTTATGACAAGCTCTAAGTATAGCAGGTCTTACATAATCGATAAAACAGAGACGCCAGCTGCCAGCTCGCCGACATTTCGACTGCTGAGGCTGAAGATCCATATCAGCCTATGAATCTTTGATGGGTGCATGGATCCAAAGGAAGCCCCAACCCCTCGATGAAATCAAAGCAAAGCGGCCCACCTTCCGTTCGTCCAGCGCCCTTCCTGGAAGATGATGGTCGAAGCAAACTCCTGCCCCTTCCTCTCACTGTCAATCAACACCATCTTCTCCTGCGTCTTATCGAAACAAACCGGGCCCCCGAAGTAGCATATGTCCGACCCGTCTGCATCTCTCAAGCAACGCGCCGTACTTTTAAGCGGGAACGTTTCCTCCTCCGGAGAATCTGTTTCCCTTGGCGCTACAGCCCCAACTTCATCCCTGCTTGCGGCGCCGTCACGTTTCACGACGTTGACGGACTTTATCCTCCCTTCCTGTAGTTCAAGCGTCAGTGAATGGTCCCCGTTGAGATTTTTCAGCACCGCTGATACAACCCCCATATCAGCCTGTTGCCCGCGACCCTCAGGGTCTAAGATCGACTCAGCCCTTGCCTCAGAAACGCCCACAAAACTCGCTTGATCTCCTTTATTTTCAGAGCCCACGTTTGCATTGGTGCCTTCCTCAGAGAGCCCCTCTTCCGTCCGATCCTCATCCTCTCCAACATCAGAGTTGGCTGAACTAGCGGCCGACTCTGATGTCCCTTTTTCTTTTGTCACCTCTCTACTCAAAACGACAGTCGTGGCCTTTGATGCCATTGAAGCATCCGCCGGCCTTTCTGATCCTGGCCTTGCAATCAAGACTTTTGAGGTTTGACTGTTCTCATTGCCAATCGGCTTTTGAGCTCCCCCCATCTTTCGTTGCACGTTCCTCCCCGACCCGCCTTCAGATTCTGCATTCTGGCGCTTCTTTTCAAGACTCCCCTTTGCCAGTCTTGTCGCCGCCAGCTCATTTCCCCCCACGAGTGAGCTGAGAACCCCAGTGCTTTGCACGATCCGGGACCCTTGATCACGGAGGTACGACCACCCTTGTCCAGTAAGCGATTGTTCGCTAGAGTTGATCATGGAGGACCCAGCAACGAAGAAGAGGAGAGTGACGGCTGCCGCGAACGTCTGCGTTCTGGAAAAGTTTTTGAAAGACCACTGAGATGGTGCATCTACCTGCTTGTGGTCCATGTTGTGAAAGGAAACTATTTCTCAGCTATTTGTCAGCTGCCCATCTGCCAGACCGGTTCGACAGAACAAGTGGGGCCGAATTGTTCTGGGCAATGCCGCCGACGAGAGGCTTGGACACGACGCTCTTTGCAGCTGAAATGTAAAGTAAGCTTGTGGGCAGTCGTAAAGGCGCCTATGATGCACGAGCTGAATGCCTCTGCATCAGCTGCCACCTGTGCAGCTTATCAAACTGGCCCAAATGCTGCCAATGTGACCAATGCAACTAGAACAACTAGAGGTGAGTATTATTCAGCTTTCCAGTCTGCTCAATTTCTCGATGAGCTCGGTCTATTCGCAGGGGTTGAGGAAAAGTGCTGATATATGCAAGGCAATTGTCAACAGCACCCGCATCGTTGACGCGCTTGCTTCAGTTGCGGCGGCCAGCTCTGAAGCTTGGCTAGAAAATTGGTTTCAAGCTCTATATTTGTGGTAAGGACCACTATCTAGCAGAATGGAAATTGTTGGCGCCTTAACGTCCAGAAGCTACTTTATATGGTATTGATTTGCGCAAACAATCGTAAAGGACAAGTTCGTGGCTGCAGTGATCTTGAGATTGCAAGAGCTAAGCGGAGGAGAACAGAGGCCGGGGGCATTTTACCGTGAACTGATCTCTAGAGGACTAAGCTAGAAGTTGCAGATGTTCAGTACGAGGGTCCTGAGCCCCGCTCTCAATCAGGTTTGGGCTCTACAAGTTTGCCAACCAGTGTCGTCAAGCCCATGGGGCTATCTGTCATGAGTCTGCATCTGTCACGAGGCCCTTAATAGAGTCATTTCTTGTTCGGCCGGCAGGGCGAAAGAAACGAGGCGTTGCATCCGACGGTTCGAAGAACACTGCATCGAATATTTGTGGCATATCGCCGCTCTCCGCCCTCGATGCTGCAAAAACCGTCGATGCCACAGAAGATCGGACGGTATCGATTTTTGGCATCGATCGAACGGCATGTCATGATCGAGTCAGAGGATCATCTTAGGGAAATCGACGGTAGCCATGCGCTGAGCCACGTACTGAGCTCGACCGAGCAGTGAAGCCGCCAAGTGGCACACGTTGGATAACGGCTGAAGTTACGCTGCAACAGAGCTGCAGCGCGACTGCTTGGACTGGAGCCAGCTGTATCCTAGGCTGATGCTCCTGAATCGCTGATTGACTACGATTGACGTGTTCGTGAGCAATCATTCAAATCCAAAGATTGAAGTGGCGCATTCAGCTGTTGAGAGCTTGCAGCCAAACTTTTAGTTCTTTCACCTCAGCTGAATCTGCTGGTCACTGGCAGCTGAATGAAGGCTAGAGTTGCAACAAAGACAGGTATGCTAGCAATGTTGTGATCAATGTTGACTAGACGCTGAGAGCGGAAGCAGAAGCTAGCGGATCAAAGCCAGAAGGCTGATTTTTGTACGCTCAGAAGCGTCCCAATTAAAAGTCGGGGGGTAAGCAGCCTGAGGGTTCTAGCAGTATGTCTGAAGCAAAGCTTCCGGTCCTCTGTTTTTACGGCCAATCATTGCGAGTCCACTCTCTGCATCGATTCAGCTGTTGTCCAGGCAATCAGGCTTTGATGTGCTTCGTGACAGGTGTCCGCACATTTGAGTGGGATCAGGAATCTTCAGGTCAGCCACATTAATACAGTCAAAGAAGCAGTCCCAAGCAGCTCTAGTCTCTGATTGTATCGCAAACGATGCCTGCATTCGGCCTATATAAGGAGAACCTATCAGACAAAGTGGACATCCACAGATCTGAACACCCTATTCCGCCCTCTCCTCAATCACCAGCGTCGCAACTAACCCCCAGCTCGGCGCCATTCCACATCCCAAAGCTGCTCCAATGGCTGCCACGTCAGCAAGATCGACAGCTCTGCCCGCATTCGTTGCTGCGGCGATCCTTCTGATGGGATTGGTGTCTGCTGTTCCGGACCCTGCTTTGTGCCCCTTTGAGCTGGGCTACAACCCGACCTTCAACGCCGATGGCTCCATTCTCTCCTGCACAAAAGGTACGTCCTCTATAACTGGGAAAAAGGTACACAAAGTCTTGCTCTTGTGTAGTTTTCTCCTTTGGGAGAGTACTGGAATTTGGGTGCTTCTGTTTTGAGTAGAGGGAGGTGAAGATCAGCAAGGATGAAAAACTCTGGAGAGACGGCGAACAGGACCGAAGTCGAAAACAGGCAACGAATCCAATATCGGGACTCAACTTGGGATGCAGTCTCCTCTGCAACCGCTTGCATTTCCAGGAACTGTATCTTTCCTTTGGCGGCTGCATTTGGCCGCCAACATTGGTGCCTTAATACAAAACCGAATACTCATGGGCAACGGAATAGAGCATGTAATTGAGAGGAAGTGACTTGCTTTCAAAGCTCTGGGCACAATTAGAAGAGCCTGAGGTTTCTTCCACGCTCAGTTGAATTCGCCCAGCGGATCTTCCTTAGCATACTCGTGCCCATCATTCCAGAGAAACCCTTCCTTTTGTTTGGTGTGGGTCTGCAACAAACAAAGCGTCCCCCCGTACATCCTCTCAATTCAAAGCCTAATGAGCCTATCTCGTTACCCCACTGCCGCCCAATTCCAAGCTTCCACGTGTCCTGCAGGCCAGGAAACGTTCCAGGTCGACGAGGCGGGCATCCTCGCGCGCTCGCTGCGCGGCATCGGCGCAAGCTCCCTGGGCCTCATCAGCGGAATCATCGACGGAGATCTGACCGTCGTGACTAAGTTCGTGGAGCCAAACGCGATCTTTGACCTCCCCGGTTTGGGCCCCACGCCGATCGGCCCCGCTGTTTTCGCGTTTGCGGCGCAGGAGTTTGTGTTCCCCCCCGGCGCCGACAAGAGCGCCGTTTTCCAGGTGAGGCCGTTGCTGACGTCACCGGGTGCAAACGGCTGTGCTTTCACCAAGACAATTTGCTAGTTTGTATGAATCCATGTTCGGCTACTGAAATGTTTCTGTTTTTAGACCAACTTCTGAGTGTTCTGCACTCACAGCGGGGATTGTCAGAGGCACTGAATGGGCAGTGTTGAAAAGCAGTGCCGTGTGGATCACAGGACGAGTCCAAAGTTACTGACATCTGTTCAATGTAAAGAAAAACATCCTATCGGAAATGACCAAAGACCGAGGAAGACAGCAGGAACACAACTTCATGTTCCCCGAGCAAAGCCAGAGCTGAGGGGTCAGGTGCAATGGTTCTGCTAGTATGTTCGAGCACTTAGATCCTCTGAGCTGCTCCTGAAAAGCAATCGCATCTCCATCTATTGCGCAAGCCGGCCAGATCACATGATTAGTTGTTTGCTCTGCCCATGAGACGACCTGAGTTATTGCTGATCTGGACGCCACGATTGGGCAGCATGGACGTCACCTGACGTCACCTCCTTTTCCTGGGCGTTGTTGCAGCTGTCGCAGTACCACTTTCTGGACAACAATGACCCGCGCGTGGCGAGCGTGCACGTGACCGTCTTCGCAGCGACCAAGACGATCGACTACGACTCCGTGTGGCGCTTCAACCTGGTGGACGGTCGCCGGGTCTGGCAGCTTCAGACCACCTCCAACATCAAGCTGGTTCCGAGGAACTAGGGCGGGGAGAAAATCTGCCGCTGGGATAGGGCATGGTGGATATGATTGTGAGTGAATTGAACGAAGATTGTGAGAAAACTAGTGGAGAGACTGTTGCTGTTGAGATCGAACAGGAGCTAGAAGCACCAACCCGCTCCTAGTTGACCAGAGAACAGCCATGTTCGCTTGAATTGAACAGCACTCTTATGACAAAATTATGAGAACACGATTTGGTTTCCAACACTGCCCGCATAAACAACGGTTTAAAGTTTTGCCGTTCGAGCCGCACCCGCCAGCCTGACCGTCTGATCCGACGTATTGCTCTAGTCCTACAACGTAGCAATGTGTCATGTGCATGTCATGAAAGCTACAGGTTCCTGGTTGACTTTGTATTAATTCTACTTATGCATGCGCGAAAAGCTTCTCATGACAACATGTTGCAGAAAGTGGGAATCAATGGCTGGACAAACTCGAACTGGTTTACTGTTCAACAATAAGACTTCTGAAGGAGGTTTCTAAAAGTTTTCTAAACATGACTTTAGGCTGTAGCATAATACTGATTACAGAAGGACTTCAATGCATGTCTGTTCAATGGAAGCCCAATACCTTCTGACTACATAGCAAAACATATCAACTCCCAATCTCGTTAAAATCCTTTCGATGCACGACGACTCTGATCTCGTCTGCGAAGCTGATCACATGCTGATGATAATGCTTGGGAACGAAGTTGTGTGCATCTGATTTCAGTCTCCAAATTCAGAAGCGCCGTCAAGTCCGGAAAACAAGGCTCCGACCGAAGCACGTCCGTTTGCACATGTTAGCCATATAATTCCATGTCCTAAGATAGAATACACTAAACTCAAAGACGTTTGTTGGCAACAAAGTATACCGTAAAAACAATACACCAGTCGACTCGGCTCTTTATAAGGACAGGATGCAACCGGCTGGGGTAAAGCCGGCCAGATCGTCTAGGAGTCTGTCCATCTCGTCAACCGGCCAGACTTGAACCGAGCCCTCGGTAAAGGCCCCCGGCCGAAGTCCGCAAGTTAGGCCGCGGCCGCTGTATGCGTCGCGCCAGCGCAGCGCGGCCGCGCCGGCCGTCTTGCTCGGCGGCTCTACCACGTGGGCGACTTCCAGGTCGTCGTGTACGGAATCGTTGACCAGCATGCGGACGTACTCCTTGGGCGTCACGTGCTCCACCTGGAAAAAGGGGGAGTCAGATTGCTGCCCAAAGACTGTTTGAATGTCAATGTCGAGCTTTTTTAGCATTTGTTTAGCGCTTTGCGTGAGAACAACAACCCTAAACTTGCCGGTTTTTGGCTGGGAAACCTGAAATGATCCGTGTTGCAAACCAGATTCAATGTCTTTAAGTGTAATTGATGCCGCATCGCTGGCGTGGTAAAGTGGGGTCATGTGCTTGTCAGGTGGAAGCTGACATTTAATTTTTCTGAGGTGCTTCGAAGGGGCGTTCTTCGCCTGTTACAGAGTGGCAATTCTTTGATTTCACGCTCGGGAGAAAGGAAAAGTGAAGAACTTAGGGGAGAAGCCACCGGAAAAACTGGCCGGTGCGAAACACACCGGATGTTCGAGCGTCAGTCCCTAGTCGACGCTGCTGCTAATTCCTCCGTATGCTAACGTGTGCCAGCACTGAAACTCAGGGTATGATTTGACAAAATGGGTTGCTTCGAGATTCAATGCAGAAGAGCCAGCGAAGCCGTCAAATGTGCATTGGAAAAGCTGAGAAAGACGAAGCGATTGTTTTCTGCGCAAACCAGCAGTGACGGTGGACCATGGAACGTTGCGTACTCGCCCACCTGTAAGGTGATTCCCCGAGCGTCGTCCTCGAGTGGCGTCAGCACTCCGTCAGAGACGGCCCCGGCTAAAAGCTGGCGCGTGAGGCCTCTCCAGTCGTTCTCAATGTGCCCACGATCCCTCCAGAATGCCGCCGCTACATCGTTGTTTCCGCTTCCGGTCCTGCTCTTGACCGGAAGGAGCTGCTCCAGTATGAAGCGCCGCACGATGTCCTCGGCGACTGGCAGCGTGCGTTCCAGGTCGCCGCGGGACAAGCGAACCTGGGCAAAAAAGATGGGGTCAGAATTAACCAACATGGAATTGATATCCATTTCGGGAGTGAGCGAGAAAGAGGTTATCTGGATTGGACCAACTAACTTGGAGATAGGCAGTCGTCAAAGCAAACACGTACAGGGAGGAGATGTATAACCTTGTTTGAATGAATCCGAAGAGCCAGAAGAGAACGTCTCTGCTCGGAATGGTGCAATCCAAAGCAATCACCATATACCAAGCACACGATTCTCAATCATTTGCACTTATGACGTTAACAGTGACAGCGAACACGTGTCTCCAAGCACAGCAGCAACTGTCAGTAACCTCGTTCAGCTCCTTTCTCCGACGACTTTCTTGCGAAACGTTTCCCCACCATGGACGACATTCCGTAATGGCTTCCGCTGTCCGCCCCCAGTGCGCGGAACCGCACGTCAATTTCGCGCCGGATGTCGTCTTGTAGCTGCTGTGCGCGCTGGAAGATTCCGCTCAGCTTGGAAGCGTTCCGCTCAGGACCGAATCCGTTCGGAAGGGACGCGCTGATGCCCAAAGTTTCCAAAAACACCTTGAGCTTTGTCGCCTCCCGAACCGGCGCGTTTGCGTCCCACGTTAGAGAAGCCAGGTGTGCTTCGAGCAGAAGCTTTTGCAGGTTGAGGCGAAGCGCCAGAAGCACCGCGGCCGGGGCGACCTGCAGGCATGAGACCCGGGTCTGTGGTCGCCGTCTCGGTCTACTGTGTCCAACCGGTCCTTATGTTTTCATCAAGTGGGGGCGCGGCTGTTCGCAGGGGGCGAAGAAATGCAATCGACCGACCTGAGTTCGTAAAGTTGATCGAATACCTGAAAGCAGTTCAGGTCATGTTTATACTTGGGAGAAGCAAGCAACCGGTCATCCACTAAGGACTCTTTTGCCGGGAAAATTTCAGCCTACAGGTTGACCTCCAAAAGGGAAGCCGGCGAACACATTATCTAGACCCTAACTCCGTAGTGGACTTCTTAGGAACCAGAGAACATGAAGAAGCCGCCCGATGTCGGTATCTCAATACAAGACCGCACTGGAGAGTCAATGGATGTTCTCATCAGAACCAGCTTCTTTCGCGTCGAAGTCAAATAAAGCTAGACAATCTGATCACCTGCACAAAGTACTTCTCGATTCCTTCGATGTCCGCCCCACCGATCCGCCGGCACAGGAACGTGTCCGAGGCCGGAATGCGCGCGTGCCACCTCAGCAGCCCCCAGAACATGAGCCAATCCCAGGCCGCTACTACAGCCAGCCCAAGCGCCCCGCCCAAGTACATCCCCACTCCATCTCCCGGATGAAGAACCGTGCCAACTAGAGAAGCGGCAACATTCACGACGCCGTTCAGGGCGATGTTCCACAGAACAGCTTTAGGGACCGGTAGGAGTTCCCCGGTCATCCCGTCCCAAAGGAGAAAGTCCCAGAAGTACTGTCCGAGCGCCAAACCGGGCGCCCAAACGGGGGCGGTTACGACAACCGCGGCTGAACCCGCGACGGTTAGCAGAGTTGCCACGGGTATGAAGGCGCAGAGGAGGGCGGTGCCGAGCGCCCCTTTGGCGAGGTAGTTCCAAACTAGGTTGAAGGGGCGTGCGAGACTCTTGCCGATGAGGCCCCGCGATGGCTCCGACTCGAAGCGCTCGCGAGAGGCGAACACGTGGCTCCACAGTGTGCACAACCTGGTAACGAGGGAGGAAGTGTTCCGGCGGACTCTTCGAAAGTGAGATAAGTGGAGCATCAATAGGTTGCTTGACAGGAAAGATTCTTGAGAGAATTGAACTTGCTTTGCAACAGAAAATCCACCCAAGGTTGTCCGACGCCGTTTGACAAAGATGTCACGGGCAGAAAGCAACTAGTTTGCTCTTCAAAGTGACTAGCAGAGTGACTTCCGAAACCACACTTTTGAAACCTTTCCAAAGAGACAAACTTTGAAGAGCTCAAGTCATTGCTTGCAACTAACCTGGAGATGAATGTGGAACGCGCTCCAGTACTTCTTTGGTACACCGTCCCGTTATCAGAGCGCACATCCCACTCGTATAGTTGGAAGGGGCGCAGGGAAATAAAAGAACGGAGGCCCAGGGGACCTGCAATCAGAATCTCAAACGGCAGAGGATTAGAACCAACCAGGCCCTATATTAAGGTTGGCTCTCTGTCCCCTGCTGTTGAAGAAAACTCTGATGCCAATAATTAGGCTAGCTGGAAAGGGCTCAAATAGTTCGCGTCCGTCTCTGAAAGCTGTACGTATTTTAGAGCTCTTCCTGCGAATCGACGCTCTATCAACCGTTGCTAGTCATCTGATCGATCGAGTCCTAAGAGTCCCTGCCTAAACGACGCACTTTTTCGATGTCTGGCTTAACCACGAAAGCATACAGTTCACGAGGGAGCTGGTAAGGCGGTAGACCAAGGCTGATGTCTGTGGTTGCTTTGAAAACTTTCATTGATCGTTCCTCCAAAACCATATAGCATTTGAAGGCGTTTTCGTTTACGCTGAGCGTGCGCTGGTTATGGCGACTCATATTTGTGCAAAATCGGATACACAAATTGGGGAAAAGATTCACTCACCCTTCCATAGGATGGAACCGAAGAGGTACACGCCGTTTTTGAAGTTGTGCAGCGCCCGGTGGCCCATCAGCTGGAAGCGCCACAACGGCGCCCCGGTCGCCGTCGCCAGCACATCATACTTCCTCATGCTGTAGTTAACATAGCGACCAGGGTGGCCGTTTTGTGCCTCGAGGTCCGTACCGGTACCAGGGTGACGTGGCCGCTCGTGAGCGCGCCAGCTCATTGATTGTGCAGTGCCATTTCTGTGAAGATCGACCCAGAAGTTTTGCGGGTTCCAGATGCGCACAAAGGCCGTGGCGCGGTGGCGGGGGGCGCGGTACTTGCGGCTCGCGCGCGCGTCCGCTTTGAGCGCGCGCAGCTTCTGTTGGTGCCAGGTCACGTCGGCGGCCGCGAGCCGCGCTTCCTGCCAAAGGTCCACAAGAGTAGCTCTTTGAAACCGTCACTGTGCACCGACCCAGCCTTCGAAGGCCGTCCCTTTCTATGGCAAAAGAAGTGGACTGACAAGCAATTCAGGATGCATCGGGAAGGTTGCGAGTCCGTCTTGTGAGTCATTCGAGATTGCCAGGAAACTTTGGAGCAAATCCGGCGCCTGAAAAGGATGGGATTTTGTTGCGTAATATCTCAAGCAGGGATACAAGCCTGCGCGACTCCCAAACACGGCCTCTCGTGTAAGCCATCCAGTTGATTGGATTACTGAAGCTTCTCAAGACTACCGCTGTCTGTAAGCACGACGAAACTTCACGTTTTGCAGCTCAATCAATTTCGGGGCAAACCAATGAATCCCCGGTTGGTACACGACCTGACAAGCAAAGCTTGTTGTTTCTGGCCAGAACGCGCTCGCGCTTACCGCCTCTCCAGTGGCACCGACTGTCTGCTCAGCTTCTTCCAGAGGACGCCATTGCAGCTCCTTTCGCCACTTCTTCTGTGCGCCCTGCAGCTGGGCCTCCTTCCAATGCTCGATGTTTACCAGCACCGGGTGTTTTGTTTGAAGTTTGTCCAGATGCCTGGCCCGTACCTGCAAAAAGGATACACAAAATTTTTCGGTTCAAGGCTGTGTGTGGTTCGGAGGCTCATACTCCGATCGCATAGCATCAGGCGCAAGCGGGATCCAATGACAAGCACCTTTTTCCCAATGCCCTTTGCCTGGAATCCAACCGGGTCGAGTCAATCTGATCGTAGCCAATACAACGACGCAACGATCGTGAGAAGCAGAAGTCCTTAGGGTGCTTGGGTCAGGACGTGTCGTACTATTGAGCAGGCGAAAGAAAAGGAGGCCCCGCGGCTAAGTTCGGAAGATCCTCACTTGCTCTTGTTCGTTCTGCAGGTCGTGAATCTGTGCACTCAGCGCCCATGCTGCTTCCACGTGTCGCGCCAGGATTGGCCCAAGCCCCGGGCTGTGTTCCTCGATGACCTGGTCGTCGGTCACCGCGGCTGCGAGCCGACGCGCTTCCTCTGCGCGGCTTAGAGCGCGCACCTCAGCGGCGATGTCCGCCTCGGAGGTTCCTGAGAGAAGAGGAGACTCGGAGTCTCCTGGAGAAACTCTTCATTGGTGGTCGTGAGACGGAATTGGAGTTCAACTGACTACATTTCGAACGTCGGTTGGTGTGGTAGACTTTAAAGCTTTTTCTCATTCCACGATAGTCCAGGGAAAAAACCAAACTTAATTTATTACAGTTGAAGACAGTTCTAACGAAATGAAGCACTGCATCCTCATTCGTAGTCCTAAAGCAGCGGAGTTGTTGATAAATCTTTTCTATTTGGTTGATGCAATCCTGATCTACTCAAGAGTTCGTACTCTTGCACACATCAGAGAGAATTGCAAGAAAGTGTCGCGCTTGAAACATCCGTCTCACCTTCCTGAGAGTACTTGCTTCTCACTCGATCAATAGCTTCCTCGACAAAGCGGCTCTCCTCGCGGATCGCCCATGCGGACGCGCGAGCGCTCGCGATGCGGCTCCACTCCTTGGCCAGAAAGGCACGACTTTCGTCGTCGAAGAGTCGCGGATGAAGGGAAGGCCCTCCTTCTTCCACGCAGAAAGTCTTCCGGTCGATTCGGATGTCTTGAACGGCGGCAGCGCTGTCAAAGCTGCGGGGAAAAAGACGAGGTGGAGGTCAATGTTGGAGCTTCGAAGTTAGGGTTGCCAACGACTGTTATGACCCACAACATCCCAAGGAAGCTATATGGCACAGCGACCTTAGACTGTGGCTGAGGCTAAGAGTTTTGCGGATGCGAAATGCCACGAACATCCGAACGACTGAAGTTCGCCATCTTTATAAAGGGCGAGGCAGCCTTCTACCAGGCTGAGTCTTGCCGTCACCGTTTGGGTTGGTGATACTGAGAGGGTTCAGCTCTGAAGTCGGAGAAAGCTAACAGCGAACGGCTTCATACTTTCATGCTAATGACCAACAAACTTGGCTTTTCAGCCAGCGACAACCAAGCCTCCTGATCCTTTCGGTAATTCCTGCCATTCGGCCTGTGTGGAGGAAATAGTTGCCGATTGTGGTCCTTTCACAGCCGCAGAGCTTTATGACAGAGGGGTTAAACCTGAGATCTTGAAGGAATCAAACATAAGCTTTCGAAGTGCTCTTTGTTGGACATGCTTCATTGCACGTTAAGTAAACAGTTTGGAACTTACATCTCAATCTTGAGACCAACCAGGCCGTTAGCTATGCCTCTCAATCCAGCCCACGTGTTTCGCAGCCCGGCTGCCAAACTGATCCCATGCCTGTCTGCGATTCGGCGCCTTGGTTGCACCCAAATCTGATCGAGCACCGCGACGAGCAGCGTGTAATACCACCGGGTGCGCACCTCGGACCCCGTTTGGAGGAGGCGGCTTACGCGCCAGACGTCAGGCTTCTGCAAGCGTGACGTCATGGCAGGGGTTTTAGAAAGCGAGCTGTGCGTTGCAGAAGTCTGGAAACTTCAGGAAGAGGTGATATCATCGATGGCAAGATGCGTCTCTGAACTGCGATTCTGAGCAACATTTGTTACCAGCTTCAGGGATCATCTCACAGGTGAAAGCCCCTTGTCTTGGCCCTCTTTTTAGATGCATCGTCTTGACAAGGTGCTTGGTCAAGACCTCAAAGACCAACGTTGCAAGAATATTTAAATCTGAACTTTGAGCCTGTGCTGCACAGAACTTGGACTCGCATGTCTCCTGGGGTGCTGGAATCTTTGGAGCATCAAAGTATCCAGTAAACCTCACCGTGTTCTTGTCGCTGTCGTCGCCATTTTCGAAAGTGCCTCGTGCACGGATTGCCGCCAACTGTCGCTGATCTGCCTTTTGTCCAACGAGACGGCCCCTTCCGGCACTTGCGAATTGGGGCCTGCCTAGAACGTTGAGCCGATTCACACCAAGCGCAGCCTGCGCGGACAAAGCAGATTTAGCAACGGTGAGACAAGTGCAACAATGCGCGCACAGGCTCCGTTCGAATCGCTTGCAGCTTAAAAGAGTTTTGTGTTGTTTGCACCCTCCAGTCAGCACTTGTTCTTATGTTGCAGCCGTCACGCTTGACATTACCTGTTAAGGTGCCTTTGAAAAGATCACGATAGATAGCAGCGGCAGAAGGCGCCACAGGCTCTCTTTGAAAAGCAAAGGCATAACCTCAGAAGGAGGCACTAGTCAATCGGTATGTCATACTGTATTTGCTTCGCCTTGACGATATTTTCTTTCCAACAAAATGCATGAAAGAAGCAATCAGTGTACAGAGTGCACTGTGCCACAGTTCCCCACCTCCACCTCCTCTCTTGCCTCTCCGCTCTCCATGGCCGCAGCAAGATTGGCTGGCAGCCCCTCCTTGCAATCCTTGTCAACTTCATCTAGACGTTTCTTCAGGTCGGCTATGCCGCTCAGAGGAATGGCGTCCAGCCATGCGGCAAGCTCTTTGCTAGCTGCCTCCAAGTGCCTGCAGAATGGACAGACTGCTTTTCAGGGTGACCCAAGTGTAGACCACATATGCTGATGAGTGAGACCAGCTCTAATGGCTACAACGTCTCGTTCCAGCTTGAGGTGTTGTGGAAGCAGGCAGAATGAAAAGGTCTGTGAGTCAAACCTGCACTGCGTTTGTCATTCAGCACTACACGAATAGACAACTTTTGTTCTGCAACAAAGAGCTTAAGGTCAGCAGGGACAATGACCTTTCCACTGCGCCAAGTGCATCTCCTGAATTCTCAGAAGGTGCCAGGAACCACTTCTGATTGCTTTGAGAATCTGCGTGTTGATTCCCAACAACCAGTTGTTTGAAACCTTTGAACAAAAGCTTTGCTTTACAACAGCCTTGTTCGACTAAAGACCATTTTGAAGCTTGCAAGAACCAGGGCCAGTGAGATTGTTCAGAATTACCACTGACTCATCATACTAATGTGGATTTAATGGACCTCTGCCAGTGGACATAGAGAAACGTCGTCATATGAAGGAAAGCAATAGGAAAACAAGACTTGCTGGACTGCTACACACAAGACCACCAACCTTTCAGTCTGCTGACTGATGCAGGTTGCATGGGGTCCCGATCCTTTAAGTTGCACAGCACCTTTAGGTGCAATCTTCGCAGATGGTACAGGAAACTCGAGAGAAGACACCAAGCTCAATTAGCACCACACGCTGCAGCACTGGTGGCGAATCTGTTTGTATCCTTGGATAGGGAGACATACATTGGACAAGAAGGCAGGATCAAGCTGATGCTGGCATGGCAACTCTCACCTTTGCCTGTCACCCTCTGAGCCCTCCATTGGCCCCTTGTTGTACAGCTTTGAACACGATTCTCCTGGCACTTAACAACCAATCTTCTCTTAAAAATGGCTTCTCACTGTCAGCTTTCGATCGATCTTGATGCCAGTCCCCCTCGACTCAGCTTTGAGGAATCAACCGTCTGAACCTGAATTGCTGCAGGTGTTTGCAATGAAGCCAAGACCAACGGCTTGAGGAGGAGGACATGACAAAAGCTATCCCTAGTCAATAGCTCAGCAACTTCAATATGCAGCGTCCTTTTGAAGCCGGTAGGTTTGGCGTGCTTGACCATGCAAACTTTTCTTGATTTCATCAACAAAATTTACCTACATAGTAAGACCATTGAGGAGTACATGATTTGCTGCTGCAACTTGCAGTGAAACATCCGACTCAGCTCATGGCTTGCTCGCGCAGAGGGAGTGCTCAGATGACGTTGGCATCCATGGATGCGTACCCGGGGGACATGACGTCGGCGGCACCCCGACCAGCGTCCCCGCCCGGGGGATGTTCGGGGTCCAATTTCCGCGAAGTTGTGTCCCAGTTGAAGCGATTAAGTCCGGACACACCCCCGGGGATCACTATGTCACATCGTGTTGCCTGACCGTCGATTCCCCCTTGGTGACTGCGAGCGCGCGCTCCGGTCCTTCCCATCCCCAAATCTGTATCAGGGACTGTAAGATACAGCACGAAGATGCTGTAGTCTACTGTAGTCCTAAGTAGGTACACAGAGCACCCATCCACGCAGTCGTCTTCCTCTTGAGTCTCAGTATACCCCCGTCAGTTCTTGGTCTTAGATGTTGACAGACTCGGGAATTGCTGATTCAAGATAGTGAGTCCTAGAGCTGCGTGTACCTACTGTTCAACATTTGTATGTGTGTCTTGAAGTCGTGACGCCGTTGCAAGCATACAGCAGTTTCGGAGCAAGCTGCCCGGTTGCGGTCGATAGATAGGGTCTATTTAGATACTAAATTTTGGCTAAACTTTAGCTATTGCTTTGACGTCATCTATGATCTAAACTATCCGCCCGTATCAGCCGCCGAGATAAACAATGGGTGGTTTTCGAGCCGTCGATCGTCTCAGCAGGATCCATCGGAAGGTGCACAATTCTTACCACGTGGTAAGATTGTTCTCCATCATGACGTCAATCAGTTTGGTAACGTAACTAAACGTACAGTAAGGTTAGCCTAAACTTAGACTAAATAGACCCTATCTATCGATCGCAACCGGGCAGCTTGCTCCGAAAATGCTGTAACGTCTTGTGTTGAGAATTCAATCTGCAAGCTCTAGTGTAATATTTCATCATTACATACTCTTATAGAAGGTGGTCCGAGCTGGAAGCATGCTAACGCAGTCCAAGTCTGCATCAAAGCCAGATTTTAGCTAGGCTGCTAGCTCTTAGAAAAAGCTGATCTGCGGTGCGTTTCAAATGGCTGAAGAATGCTTGCCACTAGTTTGCTGAAGAATCCATGAAAATATCCCTGCTGCAATGTGCAGCTCGCGGGCACTAGCAGTCCAGCTCTCACCGCAGATAAGAATGTGACCCCAGACAGGAGACTCGATATGGAGAGGTTGCAGGGTGACATTGCAAGCCCGCGGGCAGCTGGAGTTTCAAGCAAGAAGTCCAGCATGACCAAAGGGCCGCTACTTGGAACCACCATCAAGTACAAGAAGTACGATGAGCATGGCGCGTCGGACATCGGGGTCCAGGTAAACATGCTAAGCGCGACTACGCAAGCTACCGCAGCTCTGAATGTTCTGCAATGTTGTTTCCATAGCTGCACGAAGCAGCTCAATTAGGGTTTGTGGAGCAAAGAAGCGGCCCGTGGCATTAGCCTTAGCTACCACGTCAAGAAGCAATCACAAGGGACAGAACAGCCGGCACAAGAGTCTCGGGCCCTATTTTGGCAAGGCCTCGCTGCACCCGCTTCTTTCAGCTGGCCTTACAAGCCCGCTCTTCATGTCAATTGACTCGCAGGGAGAGCCGACAAGGAGTGCAGGTAAACAATGTGAGGATAACGCTAGCATTATGCAGGGCAGGACGTGAGCTTATTTTGGCATTGGAAAATCCGATAATGACATCTCCTTGGCTCTGCAGAGAGCACCCAGTGAGCTCCTCCTGGACCTCGCTCGGCCCCCGAACTCGGTGGCGGACGGAAAGTCGCGGGCACGGCCGCTTATTGTGGAGCGGCTCGACATGCGGGAAAATACCACTCAGGTGAGACATGCAAGAAGACATGTTTGTCGAGAACGAAGTAGCTGAGTAATGTGTTGATCAAGGCCAGAGAGCGCCGTATGCTTGCCGCTCAAGGTGCAGGTATTCACACTCTGGAAATGTGGCAACAAAGAGCATGCCAAACCCGTAACTGCGCTGATGCACAGAACTGGGACGGTGGCCGGGCCTACTGCCAGTCTCCGCAAAACAGGAACGGCGGGCTCGCAGAGAAATGTGACAGCGAGCATGATCCTCTTAAAGCGCCAGACGGTTGCACGAATGGAGGAATATGCGCGAGCAGTGGGGCAGCAATTGCTGGCCCCCCGAGTTTCCGTCTCTGTCATCAGCACTCTGGACAGAAAGGCTCAGAGAATCTCAAGAGATGCATACACAACACACCATGTGAGCTCTTGCCCGGGCCTCACATCAGGAACTGGGCACGGATCTCACCACGCTTTCCTGAACTTGCAGGTCGAGAGCGCCGTGCCCGAAGACGAGCCTCTCTTCCAGCCCTTCCCGCCTGAGATCCGCTTCCATAACTACAAGGCCTTTGAGCGGTACGAGGCGCTGGTGTATCTGCGGAACAATGACAAGGTGCGCTGACACACACTGGTAATCCTGGCAACTATTTGACAGCGGTAATTTTGATACAGCATACAGGGCCGGGAGGCCCGCCGCAAAAGGCCTTTGGGCAAGGACGACCAGTTCAAAGGGTCATGCAGTGGCGCGCATGAAAAGGCTACTCGATACATCGGCAGTCTGGTTGGCATTGTACTGATTCACACTGACAATCGGCAACTCCAGGGCGCAAAAAGCATTGGATCGCAGTTCTTCTCATGAAGAATTCCCGTTGTGACGTTCCAGGTTGTCCGCCGGGTTCGCGCCCTGCCCATCGAGTCCAATCACTTTTCCGTCGAGCTGGGCATCCCCAAGCCAATCAGCAAGCGCCAGGTGGCGCCGCAGCACGCCGAGGACGGGAGCAGCAAGGTTGCCTGCGGAATGGAGGTCTGCTACAAGGTGGTTTTTCAGCCGGACTCGACTGCGGACTTTCAGGGGGAATTGCACTTTGTGACGGAGAGGGAGCGCTTTATGCTGCCAATCAAGGCGACCGGTGCACGAGGTAAGGGACTTCTTCAGCGTCTAGCTCTCCTGAAACAATCGCTTCTTGCTATGAATTTCCAATAGATGTTCGTGCTGGCATAATCGAGCTGTGGAGCAAAGCCCAGCCAGTTTGCCAGACGGAATCTGCCATTTCAGGACCATCAATCACTCACTGGAATTTTTAGATCTCCGTAAAATCCTACGACTCCATAAGTTACCACCGCCGATCGTCCTGCAGGTGCACTCGACATCGCTGATTCAATGAGCTTTGCCGACTGCCCCGCAAAGAGTGTCGCAACCAAGGTGAGAGAAACGTGATAACGGAAGGTTTTGCCGGTTGTTTGTACTCGATTGAAGTGTACCCCTACACTTACAGCGATTTGAGCAAAACGACAATGTTGCGATCATCCGACGGCCAGATCGTCAAAACATCCAATCTGAACTCGGGAGTTACAACGTCTCTCTTTTGGCAGATTGAGGAAGACTCGAAAAAATTCTTGTGCAAAAGCAGGCGGGCAGACGCAAGAAGCGTGTAAAGGTAGACCCGGCCTGTCAGTCAGCATCAACGCAGAGTCCCTCAGAAACCCATGCCGAGGACGGGGACTCTCTAGACATAGTCGGGGTGACCAAAAGCGTACCTTAGTCGTGTGATCAACGATCATGCGTAAAAAGTGTTCACATAAAGGCTATGAGTGGAGCAGCTCAATTAAGCAGCAACCAGGATACCGCCACGTGGTGCCTCTGTCCAGACCGTTCGGTTGCATCTGCCCCAAACAAGCGGACCCTTCACTGCGACGTCATTTCCCAACCTTTTGTGATCTATCCGGTCAAACGATCTATCCGGTCAAACGATCTTCCCCCCTGCAGACTTTCACGGTTCAGAACGTGGGCCAGCGCACCGCTGTGTTCCAACTGCACGCACCCCCCCATTTCGGGATCACCCCCTCCCAGGGCACGCTCGTCGTGGGCGGCAGCATGCAGATGGCGCTCAGTTTCCACCCCCCCGGAGCGGAACTGTACCAGGGGCTGCTGGAAGTGGCCTACGATACCGGGGAATGCACCGTCACCAGGTACGCCTTCACACCCGGGTTGCAGTCGCTTGAACCCTTTTGTCACTGCGTTTCCAGCCGCTCCGAGCGAAATTGTTGCAGGGATTCTTAAAAGTGGCCTACGATACCGGGAAATGCATCGTCACCAGGTCGTTATGCTAACCCGGGAAGGGTTTTCTCGGAAGGTTTTGTGTTTCTCGTCAAGCGAAAAGAGCCTTGAAATCGTACACGGAGTGGGGACATCAGATTGCACACCGTCGAAACCTGTGCGTTCACACACCAGCAAATGTCCTTTGAAGCCTGACTCTTCTATGGAGCAACGACGTCAGATTCGCACCGGCAAAGCGTGCGCATGCCCACTGGCCACCTCTTGGCAGGGAATTCTGTAACCAAGATTGTGCTCCAGTAATTGAGAAGATGCGAAGGCGTCAGTCTGGCGTCGGACGGTGAAAGCCGTCCCGTCTGCTTCTCTAGAACACTGGTTTCTGACCGTTACTTATCCATTTGGATGCTTGTAAACGTTTTGACTCTCTAGCTCTTGCCGTAAACGGGTCTCGTCGTCCGCCACAACCGACTCTACACCACCGGTTGAGCTTCTAAAAATATCCAACAAATATACAACAAACAAGTTTCAATGCCTAAAACATGCAACGAAGAAGTTCCGGCATGGCGCAGGCTGTCTGGTCGGGGCCATGAGGTGGACATCGGTCTCTCGACGCGCGCGCTCGACTTCGCGCCGACGTTCCTGCACAAGACCTCCACCAAAACCTTCCGCCTCCAAAACCGGAGCGCCATAAAAGCGCCCTTCTCCTTCAAGGCCCTCCCTTCCGCCGAGGCCGAGGCCGTCGCGCGAGCGCGCGCGCTCGCGGACCTCGCAGCTCAGGAGGCGCGCGAGCGCGAGCTGCTGATCCGCGATGACGTCAGCGACGGCGCGGATTCCGCCGGAAGCGACTCGGAGGACGAGGATCGCGTCTTGGGCAGCGCCCATCTGGCGCTGGCGAAGAAGTTCAGGGCGCTCCGCGCGGCTGCGGCTGCGGATTCCGGCGGATTTCGCTCGGACATCTTCGCCGTGTCCCCGGCGGAAGGGGAGATCTGGCCGCACGGGGAGGTCGAGGTTTCCGTCACCTTCTTTCCGGCGGATCCACTGCAGTATCAAGCGACGGTGTACTGCGACGTTGCGGGCAGAGCGGAACGGATTCCGGTGGACTTCCGGGGGCTCGGGAAGGGGCCACGGGTGCTTTTTACGTACGAGAGTCTGGACGTCGGGGATGTCTTTGTTAACTCGGTCCGGATGTACGAGGTATGTGTCGCAAAAGCTTCCCGGAACCTGCTTCCAGATCCCGAATATTGTCTGGCGACTGTCACTTACGCCTCGCTGATGTCGCTTGAAGAAAGTGATTCGGACTTTTGCTGGTCGAGGTTTCCTAAGGCTGACCTGTCGAAGTGTATCCTATCTCGCAACCAGACTGGCGGAGTTAAGAAACCTCATCATACTGATCCGGGTTCGTGTGCCTCAACAATTGTGTTGGAGTGAAAATCAAAGTAGACAGATGCAAAATACTTAGGAGACAACTGGAGGCAGCCCCTCAGTGAACGCACCTGACTACAATTATTTCAAACCACATAAATTTCGCGCTTCGCGAACTTTTCCCCTTGCAACAAATCTTTTACGAAGCTCCTTTACAAATCTTTTCGGCACCAGGACCTACGCTGCGCAGGAACTGCCTTTTAACTTTGCCTTCCATCTTAGTCCCCATAATTTGTTTTTCAGACCCCATTCCTTAACCAACCCGCTTCGCACAGGTGGCCCTGTGCAACAAGGGCGACATCGACGCAACTTTTCACCTAGTGCCCCCGACTTCCGCGGTCGCCCAACGCTTCGCCTTCCAGCCCCAGTCGGGGACTCTGCGAGTGGGCGAGTCTCGCAACGTGCAAGTCCGCTTCTGCTGCGAAGTGATGGGCGCGTTTTCGGAGCGCTTCGCGTGGCGGATCGACGGCTGCCTGCAGGACCTGACGCTCGAGATCAAGGGCAGCGTGGTGAGCCACGTGGCGGCAGCTTGACATGCCACGTCTTCGTGGCTCCGGTTCCGGTAGAGTCACGTTAAGCGAAGATCGGAAGGAACGATAAGCTATGCCATCAAAAGCGGAAGAAAGAAACTTGTTTGCAGAGTATTCTTAAGTGGCCGGCCTGTATTGACAGTGGAAATTCGAAGAAGCCCTCTGACTTATCTGTGACGTCTTTCTGAAGAGGCTCCCTTCGCAGGATCTGATTGTACTCTTCATATATAAACTTGGGAACTGTCTGCGATGCACTTTAAGAATGCTGAATTCGTCTGTCCGTGCAGGTCGGCCCTACGTTCGAACTGGACGTCCGCGACCTCGATTTCGGACACGTGTCCTTCGGCTTTCCGTACACTAAGTCCGTCCTCTTCCACAACACGAGCGACATTCCGATCAACTTTCGCCTGCGGATTCCGCAGGCGGACCCCAGCGGAGCGGCCTTCGAGGTGAGCCGTCGATACGAGTCACGATAGGGAAGATCCTTCAAATTTCCACATCTCAAGTTGTAGATATTTTCAAGTCTGCAAAAAGGAGCCTCGTATCCAACCTCATGCTAGGGGCCTGTGCTTGCTGTAAATGCGCTTCCAAACAGGATCAAGGACACATTCTCCAGATCGCGCTTCGCAGAGTATTGCATATGATTTCTTTGTTTCGATGACGTCTTACTTTTACTTCTGAACCGGCGCCCAGACGCAACAATCCTATTGCTGTAAGTTGGCTTACAATTGACATAAGGGATTGATGTACCCAGCCACGAGAGTCCAAGCTTTTCACATTCAGTACCTTGCAGCGATACTGCTTGTACTTCTCCTATGTTTTCCAGCCCCAGAAGCTTACTCTTTCAGCCCGTACTTGTTCGCAGATTGAGCCAGAAGCGGGATCCATCCCGTCCCGTCAAAAGCAGAGCTTCCTAGTGAAGATCACCCCGCAAGCGGCCAGAGCTTTCAAGGAGAAGCTGGTGGTAGACCTGGTGGGGGTCAGAGATGGCGCGCTGGAAGTGCCTATCAGCGCAGCGTGCTCCGTGCCGCAGGTAAATAGATGCTTTCGAAGCCGATTCACAATATCTGTTGTATGCGCTCAATATATGGTTCTAATCGTTGGAAAGCCAAACTCAGACAACTCGGTAAATCCTCTCTTGATGGCGATCGGAGATGGGAGAGTTTTGAAAACATAGCTGCTTTCCGGTAAAGTATTCTTGACCCAATGTTCCTGTTCCTTAATAATCCTGTCCGATCTCGTAGAGGTACGATTTGGCTTACGCAGACAGAACGGATGGACAGCTCTTTGACGTGTTTCGTCTCTGCATCCTCGTTGATTTGAACCAGGCTAATTCATCCCGTTTCCCTTTGTTTATTTCAGGTCTCTCTCGCATCGCATCAGCTCGACTTTGGCACGTGCTTCCTCCGCTTTCCCTACGAGAAGACGCTCGAAATTTTCAACGAGTCGCCCCTTCCCGCCCGCTTCTCAGCCCTGCCGCAGCCCGAGCAGAGCCAGACTTTGGCGACCTACTCACTGGATCCCCCCTCTGGAGTGGTCGCCCCCATGTCCGCCCAGACCGTAACGCTCACCCTCTCCACCGAACGGCTGGGAGTGTGCCACGTGCCCGCGGCGCTCAAGATCGACGGCCGGGAGCAGCCGTTCACGGTAACGGTCGCCGCGAACGGCATCGGCCCGAAGCTGAAGTTCGAGAAACCGGCTGTGATCGGGCGGCGCGCGAGCGCGATGCACCCGGGGAGAAAGTCCGCGCGCAAGAGCCTGGCCGAGGTCGCAAAACTAATCCGCTCGAAAGAGGGCCCGTTGATCGAGAAGCCGACTGCTTTGGAGAAATCGCAGAGCCGGCGCTCGAGTGCGGCGACCAGAAAAAGCGCCGAGTCGCTCAACGACTCTGCGCGCACTAGTGAGATCTACCCGGTTGAGAAGGTCTGGTCGCCCTGCATCGACTTCGGCAAAGTGGAGGTGCTGAAGGAGGTGCGGAAGGCGATCCTGGTGGTGAACGAGTCGCTGATTCCGGCGAACTTCAAGGCGTTCGTTGGGGCCAAAGAGTCGCCGTTCGCGGTCGACCGGAGGGAGGGGGTCATCGAGGCGGGGGCCACGCTGGAGCTACATGTGAGCGAAGAATGAACGCTGTCTTTTTCACGTTTGCTTTTTGGGGATTCTGGATTCAACAGCGGAATTCTATGCGGTTACGAAAGACGACTGGAGAGGCTGGCTCAAACTAAGCAGAAAGAGAGTTGCGAAGCATCCAAGGACGATGCATTTCGCATCGACAGGAACACTGTTTGTCGGGAGGCTTCGTGGCGGGCAGCTCTTTGTGGAGTTCCGGCCGCTGCAAGTCCCAATGTCGAAGCTCGGCTGTACTATTTATGAGCCAAAAATCATCAGATCTGTCACCCTCCCTTTTTCTGGACATTCGTTTACCATATGAAAGAAGTGCTTGAAGTCACGAATCGGAAGGATGTCTGTTTGACTTCAGATTTCTTTCGTAATGTCAAGCCAACCTTACTTCCTGCGCTCCTTAAACTGGCAGCAAGGATTGTGATTTTTGAGGGGGCTCGTTGTGTTATCCGTCCAATTGGCCTGTTTATCTACGGCACTTGTTCACCAAACGACAATACGATCTACAAGTCATATAAGGCGGGTGATTAGCTGACGTTGCCTGTAATGCTAACTTGATGTGGCGTCTTAGTTTCTGGTCTTCTGTTTGTAATCAGACTATATGTCCCGTTTTGTCGCTTGCCAGGTGACCGCTCTCCTGGAAGACAGTCTCAGATTCAAGGACACGCTCAACGTCATGGTGTCCGACGGGGGCGACTACACCATTCCGCTGACTGCCACCGGAACCGGATCCCTCATCTTGTGTGAAGAACTAGATGGCGGGCTCTTGCACTTCGGGCCCCAGTTTACGGCTCGATCCTTCTCGCGGGAGATCATTCTGTTCAACGCGGGGAAGCGCCCACAGACCGTAAACTGGTCGGCCGAGAACCGGGGAGAGAAGGAAGAAGAGGGCGACCAGAAGGGGCAAAAACGCCTGAGTCGGGTCGCCGCTTCGCCCCTCGGCGAAAGCAGCCGGGCCAACACTCTGAGTCTGGGGTCGATTGATGAGAGCGCGGAGAAAGGCAAAGAGTCCGGGGGATCCCCTAAGCCCTCTTCCCCGGTTCTGAAGCGCACCCTGAGTGGGAGATCGGGGGCTGAGAATGTCGCCCAGAAGGAGCCTGCGAGCGTGTTCAAGATTAGCCCGGAGCAGGCGACCATCGTGCCGGGGGGGTCGTGCACCTTTACTCTAACCGGTCTGGCCACCACCCCCAGCGCGGTGAAAGAAATGGTGGTCTGCAAAGCAACGCTCGGCAAGATCTCCGCCCAGCTGTATAGCATATCCCTCGAGGCTGACGTCACTGTGCCGCTCCTCCAGTTCTCGAGCGAGAAGATGACGTGGGCTCAGTCCTGGGACCCCGCCCACGAGAATCTCACGGAGGAAACCCAGCCGTTAACGGTTAAGAATGTGTCGAAGCTACCGTTGTCGTTTACGTTGCGGTGCCAGCAGCCGTTCTCCCTCGACCGGTTATTCCTTAGCCTGGAACCTGACGAAGAATCGACGGTTTACGTTTCGTTCGACCCGGGGTTTGCGACCGGACGCTTAACCTCGACCGCAAAGGGGCGCTTAACGATTCTGTACTCTGATAACCCACAGAGAGACAGTATCGAGTTAGTGGGCGAGGTTAACTTCCCTAACCTGAAAATGGAGCCCGCACGGATCGACTTTGGCAGCGTTTTAAACGACACCAGTCGGCGCACCCAGGTGACGTTGGCAAACGTCAGCGCGCTCCCTGTGCGCTACAGCTGGGCGTTCCTCGAGGGCGACGCTGACGACATCCACGTCAGTTCCGGTTCCGGTTCCGTCGCGCAGCGGAGCCTCGGGGGCGGAACCGGAACGCCGAAGCGGGGGGCCAAGCTACCGGCGAACCGCATCTTTGACATTCTGCCGATCAAGGGGTGTCTCATGCCCGGGGAAACGGAAACCGTTGAAGTTAGTTACTACGCGCATCCGAACTACCGGTGTAAATGCGTGGCAGTGTGCGAAGTGGAGGGGGGGCCGGATTACGAGCTCGTATTAGAAGCCGAGTCTAGTTTGATCAAGTACACGCTTGATCGGACGTCGATCGACTTCGGCGCTCAGCCGTTCGGCCGCGCAATCGACCGGGAATTCACACTGCACAACTCGGGGCGGGTGCCCGTGGACTTCAAGCTCGACCTGAGCGGTGTGAATAAGGGCTCACACCTGCACGTCGGCCCCGTCAAGGGCCACGTGGCGGCCGGGGAGCGCCAGCGCTTCCTGGTGCGGTTCGTACCGCCGGTCCCCGACAAGTTCGTCGAGCGGTTCACCGTCGAAGTCGCGCACTTCGAGCCGCACGAGTTTGTTATTTATGGGGAGGGGATTTATCCCAGCGTGTATCTGAGCCTGCCACGTGTCAGAAGCGAGCGGTACGAGACTTTGAAGGAAGAAGCCCGGCGGAAACTAGAGCGGGCGGGGCCGCCGCGGTCGATCATGCCCTCCCCCGCCGGGTCGCACGGCGCCGCAGGGTTTGGGAGCTTCCCGCGCGAGTCGCACGCGAGTCGCATGCGCCCTGACAGCCTCGCGTCGCGCTCGAAGCGCTCGAGCGCCACGTCAGCGCGGACCGGAAGCGGAAGCAAGCGGAATGCGGCGGAAAAGTCGGTCCTGTCCGACGCGGACGGCGCCGCTCTCGCAGCAGAGGCGCTGCTTCTGGACCCGACTCCAGTGGAAGCGCGTCCGAGGGTCAGTTCCGGGCCGGAAAGCATGGATTCCGTTGAGCGGCCGGCGGAAGGGACGCCTCGGGGGACGAGCCCTGGGCACATCATTGGCATTCCGACGTCGATCCGTCCGAAACTGAACGGAACGTCGGAATACGACGGAGGGAAGACACGCCGGAGTGGGCCAAGGTCTGAGAAGAGCTTTACGACCCGGTTGAAGAACGGGCCTGGTTCCGTTTTTGGGGGCCGGCACATGCTGCATGAGGTGTATGTTCCGCCGGAAGAGGAGGTGGAAGCGGAAGCGGACCGGCTGGCGCTGGTGGAGTTCTTGCGAGCGGAACAGGCGAGAGCGGAAGGGACGAAGCTGGGGGGCAAGCAGTTCGCTTTCAACCTTCAGATGACGAGTAAGTACATACTTTTGAGGAGTTTGCTGCTGTAATCCAATTTGCAAACATCATGAAACCCGCAGTGAAAGCGGTCACACGGTCACAATCGATGATGGACAAAGCACTGGACCGCGGCGGTGAAAATGCACCGTCTCACTGAGACTGACCTGGCCAATTTCGAGTTAACAATGTGCGATGTTTTTTCTTCAAACACAGACTCTCAAGTATGCAGTATTCTCAAGTATGTCACAACTAACTGAAGTATTTGGGGCTCGATGCGAAAAATCTGATTACCAACGCGCCTTGTTTTCTGTCTGACTTCAATTTCCTCCCATCCCTCGAATCAGCTTCGCTAAAAGACGGACCTAAAAGGTGGATAACTCAGAAGATGAGGGGGGGACCAGCATAGGTGCTTCTGCTAATTTCCTTTTCTTCCTCCGGTAACGGAGCCAGGCAGAGGGCCACAAATGACGGCGCAAGAATTTTTTTTTCCGTGTTGAAATGCACCACCTGTGCCTCCATGAGCACTGCTTCATGTTGCAACACATCCACGTTGAAGAATCTAAATCTTGTAACAAACAAAGACCTTCCGGTCCTCTGCAGAAGATCCTCTGGACGGGCCCTTATCGAGCAACGAAGCCGCCGCTAACGGCGTTACCCGACCACTCTCCACCAACGGAGGGGGGCTGAGGACTCCAGACGCTTCCACCCCCGGGGGAGAGAACCGGGTGCGAGCTGCGCTGTCCAAAACACCCTCCAGAAGGGTTCCGCCGGACGCCCAACCGGAAGGGGACCCCACCGGGGCACGTGCCGTCGTCTCGACGTACGTGTGCGACTTCGGGAACGTGGTTAAGGGCGCGGTCAGGAAGAAAACCATTCGGGTGCACAACCCTAACCCGACGCTGGCGTCCTTCGCGCTGCTGAACAAGTCCGCGCTCCTGGCGCTCGGGTTCGTCGTGGAGCCGGAATCCGTTCCGAAGCTGGCGGAAGGGGAGGGCGCTGACGTCACGCTGACGTTGCAGACGGCGAGATCGCCCGTGGGGCCGATCGAGGTGCGGGCGGTGATCGAGATCAAGGGCGGCCCCCAGGTGGCGGTTCTTCTGCGGGCTGACGTCATGGTGCCGGAAGTACAGCTGTCGGCTGACGTCGTCGATTTCGGGGCGGTCCAGACCGGGCGGTGCCGAGTCATGTCCGTGCAGCTGTGGAACCCGAACGGAGTTCCGGCGGAATGGGCCGTGAAGCGGCACCCCGACGCGGCGCATAGTAAGGACTGGGGGTATTTTGCCTGTGAGCCAGCGACCGGGACTCTTCAACCGGGTGAGCGAATTAACATGGAGGTGAAATTCACACCGGGGCCTGACCAAGAAAAGTACGGGATCAAGTTCCCAATCAAGGTTAACGCTAACCCGCGCCAGCCGATGGTCACGTGCCGTGCAATAGGGTTTGATTTACGAGTAGTCGCTAACCCCGGGTTCCTAGATCTGGGCGCCATTCTGCCAGGGGCGCCTCAAGCGGGGGAGAGACGATTTACACTGCAAAACCCCTCGGCGGTGCCTATCGAAGTCTTCTCGCTCGACCTGGATCGGCAGTACTTGGAAGAGGAAGAAGCGCTCAAAGCCGCGGCCGGCTTTGAGGGTTTGGAGGTTTTGACGCTGCCACCGAGGGAGCCCGGGGCGCCGTTCTGGTCGCCGGAACTGCTGGCGGCCGGAAGCAAGGTAGCTGAGGAGAAGGGCGACCAGATTGGAGACGGGAACTTGTGGGCGGTTCTGAGCGGGCCGGCCGTGAGTTGCGCGGCGCAAACCGAATTGCTTGCTGGCAAGTACGGGGTTCCGGTTATCAACGTCGACACAACAATTTTGGAGTGGCAAGTAAGGAGGCGGGAACGGAACGAGGACGGAATCAAGGCGGAAGTAGAAGCGGAGGGGGTCGTAATGGAAGCAGTGGAGCCTTTGACAGAGGATCAAATGGGCGAGGCACTGGTGGAACGGCTTTCCAACGAGGACTGCGCAAAGGGGCTGATCATTGACGGCCTTTCCTCTCAGTTTGTATCGTCGTCGAAAGTTGCGAAGCTGGTGCTACAGAGCTTGGGTCTTCGACAGGAGGCCACGTCGGCGGCCCCAGTTGACACCGAAACCGGTGCACCGGGGGAGAGTGATGCTGGAACAGAAGCTGGTGTCAAGTGGGTCGGCGAGAAACTGGTGACGGTGCTCCTGCTGAGGGACTCGGTCGAGGAAGCCGCGGCCGCGGCCGCGGCCGCGCAGGCGGCGGATCTAGAGGTGGCAGAGGCGATGAAACGGGCGGAAGAAGCGGCCAGTCCAAAGGGAGGGAAAGCCCGTCCCCCCTCGTCGCAAGGAAAGAAAGGAAAAGCGGCAAAGTCCGAAACGAAGAGCGCTTCGCGGCGGACGTCCGCGGTGCAGCCGCCGCCCGAAGCCGCGGCGCCCAAACCCAAAACCCCCCGGGAGGAGCTACTGGAGGCGCTGGGCGGCGCCACGTCAGAGAACCACGTGGCGGTCTGCGAGGTGGACGTGGCGGGGCGCGGCGAGGAGGAGCTTTGCGGCGACCTGTGCGCGCTGTTGCCCGATGTGAGGTCGCCGGAAGAGCGGGCGAAAGAGGTCCCGCCGCCGAAGGAGTTTCAGCTGGTTAGGCAGCCACCGGCGCGGGTTTACCGAACCATGGTTCCGCAATTCGCGCTGCTAACCGTGGAACAGAGCGCCGCCAGAACCGCCAGTCCAGAACCGCCTGAAAGCGAGAGCAGCAGAACTGGAGAGGAGGAATTGGCACGGAGTCTCTCGGAGGGCGCGGTACCAAGCCGGGGCCCCAGCCCCTCTTCCGGGGGGGAGAATTACGTGGAAAGAACGCGGTGGGTCATCCCCCCGAACGGGAGCGTCGAGCTGTTGGTCCGGTTCCAGTCGGACGAAGTCGGCCGATTCGACGCGGTGCTAGGGTTTGAGGTTTTGGGCGCGGGCGCGGGCTCGGCCGCGAGCGTCGCCTGTCGCGCGGTGTGCGCACGGCCGCAGATCAGTTCCGACCCGCGGAACGTGTTCTACCGGAAGGCCAAAACCCGCCCGTTAACCGCACAGTTAAGGAAGCAGTTTGTGATCACCGCCGGGCGGTTTGAGTTCGGGCCGTTGTTAGCGGGGAAGAACCGGGAGGGTTACCAGTTGGGAAAGCACCCCGAGAACCGGGAACGGTTTAGAATCAGTAACAACGGGCTTTTTGACTGCCGGGTTACGTTTGCGTTCAAGAACAGCGGGGCGGTTAGTGGGCGGTCAACGCCGGAAACCAGCGGGTTTACGCCGGATGAATCGGGTTTCGTCGGTCGGGGCGCTTCGAAAAGCGTGGACCCGTCTTCGAAGGACCTGAAGAGGATTGCCAGTGCGAAGACGGCGGTCAAGGGGAAGAAAGAGGTGACTCCTCTGAAGGAAGTGAAGGAGAACGCCCCGGTTGAGTTTACCGAGGAGGTTTTCGTGGTGGAGCCGAGCGTGCTGCAGCTGAAGGTGGATGAGACGCAGGAAATCGTGGTGTACGCGTTCCCGAAGGAGGTGAGTCGGGGGGATGAGAGCCTGAAAGTAGATGGGAGGATAGGCTATAGCCCTGAAAGCCGCTTATTTTGTAATTGCGTTCTTCCAGAAGAACCGGATCACGGCTTGCTATTTGAGCGCGCTAGAAACGTCTCGCTTCTGAGAATACTGTAATGTGGGTCGAAGTACAAGATCGTTGCCATTCTATCTTGTTGAAGAATCTGATGAACTCATACGATCTCTTGAGCTTGCGAAGGCGGGTCAACCCGTGCTGCTGACGTGAAATAGTCTTCTGTCAATCGAGATCCAGATACAAATCTAACTTCACAACTGGTCCGTTTTACCATTCTCTTGAGAGCCGGTCTATGTCATTTGCGTCGTAAATATGCTGATCTGCCGTATTCTGGTAGTTTGAGAGACGCTTTCTATTCGCCGGAAGCACTTTGTTCAGAAAGATATCAAAATGGTTCTAGTGACTCGACAAATACTCTTCAAAACGACATTCTTGGGATTTGAGAAGGCCTGGACGGCGAAGGCCAGGTTCAATTTGATGTATCTGTCCCAGAGAGTCAAGCATTGAAAAGCTTTGATATCTTTTGGTCTCGATCTAATCTCCCTTGCTTGCATATTGACTACTGTGACAGCTTTACGTAGACGGACTTCCTCAACTCTTCCTTTAAGGACCGTTCTTAGTTTCTGTGTTTCCTTCGCTCTGTTCTTCTATCAGAAACCCAATCCTCTCTGAGGTCAATACTTCGCCCGTCCCATTTTCATGAACCGCTCCTCCGTTATTTGACATTCTAATTCATTTCAGAGAATTGTTGGTACGTAAAATCCAACATGCTCTTACTCACAGGTCGGCGTGGTGGAGACCACGCTTGTGTGCACCGTGGAAGACAACCCCGAACCCGTCGAGTTCAAACTGGCCTGCAACGGCGAAAAGCCCAACGTCGAAATCGACGGCTCCAAGCCCGAGTTCCAGCGCCTTCTCGTCGGATCGGACGACACGCGTCAGCTGACGGTGAAGAACACGTGTCTGCTCCCAGTAAAGTGGCGGCTGGTGGGCACCGAGCAGCTGCCGGAGGAGTTCACCGTCGAACCCAGGGAAGGGCTGCTGGAGCCTACGGCGGTTTCGACGACGATAGCGGTCCGCTTCCGGGCCGCTAAGAGCGCGGCGTTCCAGCACGACATCAAGCTGCAGGTGGGCATTTTAGAAAAACAAGCGGAGGAATATTTAGCGAGAGAAGTAGAGTTCCGTGCTTCTTTCTGTTCAGGAGATTGCCTGACTGGTGGAATCGGACCCTCGTGCACTCAGAATCATCTTTGAAGACTTGGGTTGATAGAATTCGTACTTTATGCACGACACAGGTTGGGAGCAGATTTCAAGAGGATTGAGATGCTCCTTCAATTCAATACAGGCCTGAGAAATGTGGATAAAGTCCGATCAACTCTCATTCATGCATCGTACAATATCTTTAAAATTCGGCTTTAATTTACGACTTCTCCGCACTCGCATCGTGTTGCGCCGAAAGCGGCTGTCAGGATTTGCGGTTTGCGGAAAGCGTTTTGGAAGATCAGATTCGTTGCCCTGACTTGTGAAATTTAGAGGACACTCAAATTGGGCGTGAAAGCCTGCAAGCCGGCAACACTTCTCCTCAAGCCAATTTTCCTCTTCTGCAGGTCTTCGACGCCCAGGAGCTTCTCGGCGTGGTCCAGGAGTTCCCCGTCAGCATCACCGCAGAGGCGTACTCCATCGAAGCTGACGTCAGGTTCCCGTCAGGCCCCGACGTCTTCCCGCCCAACGGCGGCCTCGATTTCGGCGTGGTCAAAGTTGCGGACGACGGACTGCGGACCATGACCGTCCGAAACCTGGGCAAGTACCCCATCGGCTTCTGCTTCAACATCCGTAACGCCGTCCTCAAGGAGCTGCTGAGCGTTACGCCCCTCGAGGGGACGATTCCGCCGGCGGGGGCCGGTGCCCCCGCTTTGGGGGGGAGAAGCAGGGGAAGAACAAGGGGGGGGGGACGCCGGAACCCGACGGGCAGGTGATCGAGGTTCGGTTTAACAAGGATAAGACGCTAAGGCGGGAAGTGAACATTCGGAGCAGTAAAGATATCGAGCTGGCGATTGTGGAGCCGTTGAATGGGAAGCGGCAGCAGACGATTCCGGTGCGCGTAAATGTGCGCGCCGTGTACTCGAAGTACACATTGGTACCGGGACACGGACTCAACTTTGGGCCGACAGTGTACAAAACGGTCGCCAAGCCGCGGACGTTCGAGATTGCGAATGACGGCGAGTTCCCGTTCTCTTTCAAGCTGAGTCCGTTCTCCAAGCGGGCCGGAACGCCCCCGACCGGGACGGAAGCGGAAGCAACGCAGCCAGCCGCGGCCCCGGCCAAGGGTGACGGCAAGAAGGGCGCAGGCAAAAGCGCGCCGTCGCCGGTTCCTGCCGCGGCACCCGCGGGCGCGCTCGATGTGGGCTGCTTCAGTCTGACCCCGGCCGCGGCAACGGTCGCCCCGGGTACTTCGCAAACCGTTACCGTTGTCTTTAAGGCGGGGCAAGTGGCCGGTACGTTCCGGGAGACCGTTTCCGTGGAGGTGAGCGATCGGGACGGAGCGGATTACCCGGCGGGGGGAGTGCCGTACGAGCTGGGCGGGGAGGCCTGCGTTCCGGGAATTGCGGCCGAGGACTTCGAGGGTATCTTCGAGGAACATCTGGTGGTTCCCGCTCTCGAGCCGCTTCTGAGCACCGGAAAGCCCATTCCGGGGGGCGTTTTTGCCGTTCGGGAGCGCGTGTACTCCTTCGGGGCGGTTATTGCGAGCGTCGGCGAGGCGGCGGAACCCGGGGTTACTAGCGAGGTTAAGCCTAACCCGGCGGGTGCGAGGCCTGCCAGCCGAGAGAAGACGAAAGGCGCGCCGGCGTCGTCAGTGTCCGCACCATCGCCCGTGCCCGCAACCCCGGCGCCAAATGCTGACGGCGGTCAGAAAGGGGTCAAGGCAAACCTACGCCTAACCAACGCAAACAAGGTGCCCTGCACAATCCTTCTGTCGGTCAAACCAAAGGGCGCCGGCGATTCCGGTGTTCCGTTTCCAATGGACGTGCAACCGCAGAGGCTCGAGATTCCGCCCCACGAGAGCCGCTACGTGACCGCTTCGTTCTGTCCGTCCGCCATTCAAAGCTTCAGCGGAATCTTGGAAGCGGTTGTCGAGAACGGAAGCGACGCAAAAACGCGCGCCTTCACCTGCGAGCTGCGCGGCGAGGGCGCGCTGCCGCACATCCGGGCCGAGCTCGGCGTTCCGGCGGACTCCGCCAGCGGAAACCATGCCGGCGGAACCGGCACCCCCGCCCTCCGGTTTTCAAAGCTCCTGTTGGGCCGGTCGCTAACCCTCCCGCTAACCCTGCGCAACGACGGCGTACTTCCCGCATCGGCACGGCTCGAAGCCCCGGTTCCAGAAAGTGGGTTTGCCGTAACCGATGCGGATGGGGTTCCTTTCCGGAGCGGGTCGAGCGTGACCCTCGAGCCGGGCCAGCGGGCCGACTTGCGGGTTACATTTAACCCGCTCGAGATCAAGGACTATGCCCAGGAGGTAACCATGGTGGTTAGGCATAACCACTTCGACGACCAGAGGATACAGTTACTGGGGCAGGGTTACATGGAGGACGTAACCCTGGAAGGGTTACCCGACGGTGACCCGTCCAAGATCCGGTTCGAGGACGGGCCCATAGGCGCTCCGCGGACGCTTGCGTTCGTGATGAAGAACCGGGTCGACAAGCACTGGCGGTTTGCGTGGCCGGCGGTACCGTTTCTCAAGTTTTCCCCGGCGGTCGGGCACCTGCATGCGGGCGCGGAGAAGGACGTCGTCGTGACGTTTGCACCCACGGAGACGGTCAGCTATACCGGTGAGCTTCCGGAAGATTTGGTTCGACTGACTCAATTGTCTATGTGCAGAAAGAATATACGAGCCATCCCTAAATCCTACGGTTTGCCTTTCTTTGGATTCCCAGATTGCATAGCTCGATTGTTTGACGATTGCTGTTAACTCCAAGGGGATCCGTTGGTCTTAGAAGAGGCGAGAGTGCGCATGAAGAGCGTGACAAGAGTCGATGGTTGAAGAAAAGGGACGCTGCTTGACATCGGACGCATCTTCTTCGAGCATCTCATATAAGCTGCAAGGATATCCTATACATTCAGGAACTCTTTACGACACTTGATTCACTTCTTCCTCCTTCACTGCAGTAAGAAAGAAGAGAAGGAGAAATTCTTTGGAGACAAGAGAACAGCATTCACCGCGCGTCTCCGTTCCTGTTTCGTCCACTTCTGTTGTGTCCTGTGCCCATCTAAACCCAGCTTCGGTCGCTCACGAGGGCTTTTTACCCGCCTACTGTTTGTTAACTCGTCCTTGTTCCTTATTGGCCATCGGCTTTCACTTCTCGGTCAAGCGCCGAAACCCTGATCGTAGCGAGCAAGTAGTCCCTCTCCAAAATCCCCAGATTCCACAATCTCAAATCCAAGTTTTGTCTGACCCAGACAAAGACCTTCTGCTCCAACTGAGCGCCATCAAGTACCAAGACGAGAGCGGTCCCCCTCCGGATTGGGACGACCGAATGGCCGTTGTGAGAATGGTTCCGGAGGATCAGGTGCCGTCGCCGGCGGAAGCGGCGGACCGGCCGGAATCCGGCGGAAAGAGCAAGAAGGCAGCAGGTAAGCAGATTTGGATGTGTCCGCTCAAGCTTCTGAAAGATATACTTTTGGCGAACAGTAGTTTACAGAAGAAACTGAGCCTTGGCGCATCCGCACATTGACGGTTGAAAGATTCGGCACGACGGTACAATTACAAGCACCAATGAAGCTAAGTTCTTGCATCTCTTTTCATAACCAAAAGAGTTTGGTGACAAGCCGTGCGCATCTGCTCATTAATCAGAAACTTCCCATATGGTTGGTTGGTTTTGAATTGCATTGCAAGCAACAATCCACGAATCTCAATGCAAAGCGACAATCCATCAAAACTTTTTACTACCATGCCCAGAATGATCTTCTGTGCCGAATCGAAAATATATCATGGTCGTGACTCGCAACAAGAAGCTCCATAACAACGTCAGACAGTCTGTTCTGCACATGCAGCTGGGAAGGAAAAGGCCGCAGGAGGAAAAGCTGCGGACGCCAAAAAGCGTCCGGGCTCAGGCAAGGGGCCGTCCGCAGAGGCCACCTTGGAACCGGGCCCTGTTTTGGCTCCAGCCGCGCAAAAACCAGAGGGCGACGGTGAAAATTCCGCCGCAACAGGGCCTCGCCTGGTTCAGGTTATCGAAGTGGACCCGGAGCCGGGACACACCCTGGTAGCGGGCGGTGTGAAAACCCTCCCGGTGAAGCTGACGGCGGTGGCTGACGGCGCGCGCTACGCGTGTGACGTCAGCGCGGTCCAGTTCAAGGGCACGGTCATGTTCCAGTCGCGGAGCTTCGGGTTTGACGTCAGAAACACGTCAGCGGTGCGGATGGAGTACTCGTGGGCGGTGCTCAAAAGCGACGGAAGCGCAGACTCGAGCCAGCTCTTTGCGATAAACCCGGAAGAGGGGACTGTTCCAGCGGGTGAGACGGCGCACTTTGCGGTGCGCTTTAGCCCGGTCGAAGTGGTCGATTGTAATCGCATGCTGGTTTGCAACGTGGTTAACCTTGACCCGGGTTCCGCTCCGCTGAGCATTCCGGTGGACGGAAAGGTTATCCGGCCGTGGTGCCACTTCGAGTTCCCCGAAGGAACGGGGACGGTCGCCGAGAGGAGGGCAGTCACACCGCAGGACGGAGAGGCGAAAGCAGAGGTGGGAATAGGCTCGGAAACAATCCGGGTGCTCGAGTTCCTCTCCCTGGGGACACGTGTCAAGAACACGAAGCGGTTCCACGTGCTGAACCCCACGAGCATAGCGTATGAGTTTGTGTGGGAGCAGCAGGCGGTGGGGCGGGGTTTCAGGGTTTCGGAGGAGGGCGACGAGCTGCCGCGGAGCGCATTCGCATGCGCGACGCGCAAGGGCGTCATAGCCGGCGGGAAGCGGTTTGAAATGGCGTTCGAGTACACGCCGGAGACGCAGGAGCCGCAGGAGAGCGCCTGGGTGTTCCGTATTCCGGAGCGGAACATCTCCGTTCCGTTCGAGCTTGTGGGCAAGGTGGTGGAGCCACGTGTCAGCCTGGACAGGGCCTCCGTAAATTTCGGAAAGGTTTTGGTCGGCGGCCGCGGCCGCGAGATGGTGACGCTGGTCAACGAGGAGCACCTTCCGTTTCCGTTCTCGTTTGAGCAGCTCGCGCCGGACGGAACCGGACACCCGGACCGGCAAGCCCACCCGTTGGTCCAGTTCGAGCCGTCCGCAGGAACGCTCGCGCCAGACTCGCGGCTTCCGGTCAAGGTGACGTACGCTCCGGCGGAAGAAAAGGCGCTGAACATGAACGTGGTGTGCGTCGTCAAGCGGAAGGCGGTTAAGCTAACCCTGAACGTCAAGGGCGAAGGTTACGCGGTGCACGACCAGTTGCTGATGGCGGGGCCGGAAGGGTCGGGCCCGATTGAGATGGTTCCGGTTGGGTCTGGGGGACCGAACTTCATCGACTATGGGCAGGTAAGTGTGATCGAGCCTGGCTTGGCCTGAGCTACGACAGACGAACTCAGAGCAAAATAGAAAAGAAGGGTCTTTCCATAAGGTTCTTTTAATGTTCATTCAGCTGCTCTTTGTGATTGTCGCGACGAAACAGTTGAAGGTTTTGAGAGACACGTACAGGACTCAAGACGTAAGCAACTTCGTGCATTTTCAACTTGTTTGAGAGTCTCTTTGCCGCCAGGCTCTTGGGTCAATACTAGATTCGCGTCGCCCAACAAGTTCAAAACAGAAAGTTTTTGAATCTCCGGGAAGTCACTGTTGAGCCTTGTTTTCTGCCGGTTTTAAGGGACCATGAACTTCGATCCGCCATCTTTTACTCAACCAGAAGAGTAGTCCATCTTCTCCGGCTCAGCGTGTACGGGAGACAGCTTTCTGATGGCAGAACATTTAGTCAGATGCTCATCCTTCTCATTCTTCCAAACCAAAATACTTCACTCAGTTCTGCCGGGCTTGCTGTAAATTTGCTATCTGACGACTCCGGTCCAACAGAAATATCTGCTTCTTTACCCCTTAAACTTTACCCTCCCGAATTCCATCTCAAACAAAGTGACATCCTCGGAAATTCTGTTTGGTCCGACCGTACAGCTACGTACGATTCTCTTCCTTTGGAGATGGCCTATTTTTCGCTCCATCTCTCCAATGGTCTTCGAACACAAACTCCAAGCTTGTGATCTCATGACCCAGTTTGTTCCCCCCCAGGTCCTCATGAACGAGCGCAGTGTGCGCGAGCTGACTCTCGTCAACTCTGGCTCCCTCGACTACACCTTCCTCTGGCGCGCCGGTGACTGTCCGAGCGTCCAAATTACGCCCCCATCCGGCACCGTCCGACGGGGGGATCGCGTATCCTGCGAGGTCGCCTTCCAGCCGACCGCGTCTGATAGCACTCTTGCCTCGTATGAGGTCACCTGCGCGGTAACGAACGGGCACCGTTACCGCCTGCTGCTGTCGGGATCCGGACATAACCCCAAGGTCCGATTTGGGTTTCGGACGTACGACTTTGGACCATGCTTTCTGGCGGGCCCGGGTATTGCGCCGCGGTTAACGGTGCTGACGATCACGAACGGGGACGTGCAAGATATCAGTCTGGACCTGCTGTTTGAGAACACGCCGGATCTGGAGGTTTTCGCCAATCCCGCGGTGCTCTGTCCAGGTGACACTGTCTTTATTGGTTGCCTGCCCTGCTTCGCAAAGAATACTGGACAATTATATGGATTCTCATTGCTTATTCAATGTTGGAGCATTCCTTCCAAATCACTTGGCGGCTCTCCACCGCGTTCGTTTTTCAGGAGATCAGGAAGACCCTTCTCTGTAAGCTTTACCTAAAAAAGCTCGTGTCTTCTAAGAATGCTTACTCAGAAGTCTTTGAAGGTAGATGTGCACTATACTTTTGGATCAAACTTCGTTTTCGATGTGTTGCTTCCTATCTCTTTTCCAACGGTGACCTTCCCTTGTTTTCCTTACTCGATGGAATAAAATCGGTAAGCAGAATGCACATTTGAGTGTCCTCTAAATGCAGATGTCCCGCGAACTCCTTCTCCAGGAAGCAGACAATCATCAAGGTCAGTCGAAAGTGTGGTCAAAAGTACTGCAAACGCACGCATACCAGGGTAATTTTGTGCTTTGTGCCCAATTATCTCCTTCTCTCGCTGCAGGCGACTCCCAAGACGTGCGCATTCTATTCCACCCGACCGCCGCCGTCGTCTACCGGGAGGTCCTCCGCTTCCAGATCAACGGCCTCTCCGTGATCCCCGTCGTCATCAACGGCGAGGGAACGCCGCTCAAGATCGAGCTGGCCGACCCGAAGCAAAGCAACATCAGCTTCGGTTCCATCCGGTTGGGTCAGCAGGCGACCCGCATGGTCAAGCTCCTTAACCGCAGCAAACTGCCGCTAACCCTCTCCTTCGAGCCGTCCGCGGCCGCGCTCGCGGGTCTGGGGGTTTCGTGCGCGCCGCCGAAGGGGGTTTACCTGCGGCCGCGTGACGCGGCTGCGTTCGAGCTGCAGTACAAGCCGGGCGCGCGGCACCAGCTGTTCACGGAAAACCTCTCGGTAGAAGTTGCCGGGGTTAACAAAACCCTGCTCACGATGACCGGGGCGTGTCTCGGGGTCGAGGTGAAACTCGCGAGCGACAACGTTCCGTTTGGGTCGGTGGTTTTGGGCGCCCGGTTAGTGAAACGGGTGCAGTTAGAGAACACAGGGGACGTCGGAACCCGGTTCGTTTGGGAAACCTCTCGACTGGGTCAGAACTTTAGCATCGACCCGGTAGAAGGGTTTTTGGCGCCGGGTCAAGATTGTAAAGTTGAGGTCGCGTTCCACCCGACGCGGCTGAGCGCCGACGCGCGCGCGGACGGCGTCGAGTGCCGCGTAGAAGGGTTTGGGGTTTTGCGGATGGCGCTCACGGGGACGTGCGTCGCGGCGGCCGCGCAGGACGCGCCGGTGGCCTTCGTGTCGCCCGCGCGCAGCGCGCAGACGAAGAGGGTCAAAGTGACGAACAACTCGAGCGAGGATTGGCACATTCGACCGGCGATTCAGAACGAGTACTGGACGGGCGGCGAGGTTTTGGAGGTTTTGGCCGGCCGCGACGCCGACTACGCGCTGACGTATCGCCCCATGACGATGACGAAAGACGGGGGGCCGCTGCACGAAGGGTCGGTGTTCTTCCCCCGCCCGGACGGGACCGCGCTGTTGGTTAAGCTAACTGGGCAGGCTAACCCCCCCGCCGCGGCCGGGGAATCGAGCTTCGAAGTGAAGGCGAAAACGGGGTTCAAGGCAGCGGTTATGGTGTCAAACTGGCTGAACAAGTCGCAGCGATTCAGGGCGGTCTTAGAGGTGGAAAAGGGCGACCGGTCGGTAACACTAACCGGGCCGGACCTGATCGACGTGCCTGGGTTAGCGTCCCGAGAGTTCAAGCTCCGGTTCTATTCCTACAAGGCTGGTAGCATTTGCGCGAAAGCGACGTTTGTGAACGAGGACACGGGCGAATTTTTGTATCATGATCTGCGCTTCGAGGTCGCCCCCCCGGGCGTCGTGGAGCGGTTTACGCTAGAGTGCCCGGTTCGGCAGCAGGCAGTCCAACTGGTGCGGATCCAGAACCCTCTAGATGTTCCCGTGGTTATCACCGGAAAGTGCGTGACGGGAGACGGGAAGCCGGTTCCGCAGGTGGCGGTTCCGGCGAGCACGGAACTCAAACCCAAAGCGGAAACGGCGATCGAAGTGCTGTACAAGCCGCTCCTCGCAGAGAGCGCGACGTGTCAGCTCGTCATGCAATCGGAGCAGCTGGGGGCATACGTATACGATCTGAACCTCAAGAGCTCCCCGGCTCTGCCCGAGAACCCCCTCTCGTTCAGCGCGCCGCTAGGCGGGCGCCAGACGCAACTTTTCCGGTTCCGCCACTACCTTCCGGCCAAGGCCACCTTCGCCTGCTCGCTGGAGAACGGAACGGCGACCGGGTTCGAGGTGACGTCAGCCACCGTCAGCGCGGCCGCGGCCGCGGGGCCCGACGGAATGGAGGTCGAGGTGGAAGTCGCATTCGAGCCGGTTATGGTGGGCGACCAAATACGTGACTGCCTGCTTGTGCGGTCGCCGGAAGCGGGCGACTACGTGTGCACAGTGACGGGGCGCGCGCTTCCGCCGGCGCCGCAGGGTCCGTTCACCGTCAAAGAGAAGGGCAGCGGAATTCCGTTCAAAAACATCTTCTCCAAGCCCGTCCCATTCACGTACGTTGTCGACAATCCGGCTTTTGTTGTGTCTAAGGGAGAGACGATTCCGGCCAAGAAGGGGGTTTCGTTATCGGTCACGTTCAAAGCGCAGCCGGATACCGCGCGGAACGGAAAGTTGTTAGTGACGTGCGCAGAGACGTCAACGCCCTGGGTGTTCTATTTGCAAGGCGCTTAGATGGTCCAAAGGTCAACTCGACTTTCCGCGCTCCTGCGTTTCTGGCCATAGATGTAACTTATGTTAGGACTGAGTACGTGCTCTAATCTAGGATATAAACAGGCTTAAAAGCATAGGAGCTTGTATCGTAGCTTTAGATATTGACGGTATCTTCACTTGAGATACAGCTAGTCAGCGATCCTATTCAAACCTTTGGGCTTCAATGCGGACGGTACGTGCGGCGACAGCTGGTGACTTATTCTTTCATCGGACATGTGACTCGAACAGCTGTCAACACAGACGACTGGCAATGAAGCCTGTCCGTTAATTTAGAAAATCAGGAAGTTGCTACGCCAGTGAGACCTCGCACGTCAAAATCTGCTTGAGAAGATATGAAGCGCACATCGAAAGCCGGATCTTCGCGTATGGAGTGACACATGTAAAGCTCCACCATGAAAGACATCAGCGCTTGCACTTTTATGTACAATATGCTTGAGCCCGCCTCAAGTTACCCATGAGGTTTATTTAAGTACATGGAAATGCTTATCACATCATCAAGCTATGAATCCGAACAATCCTTCACGGCAAGTCTGAGATAAGATTGCTGGGCTGTATGAGCCCTTATTTGGAAGCTCTTGAAGTATGTCAGCAGATCTCTCAGCGACCAAATTGCCATGCGATTCTTGCCGGCCTGCCATTAATGAGGCAAAAGTAACACCAGTGTGCCCAGGGCCGCGGCAGATTATAAAGTCTAGCCCCTGCCAATGGAATGATCCACACATGCTCCCAACTCGATTCTCAAAGAAAATCCTCCGAAAGTTTTCTTAGTTGAGATAGTCCACTCTTGCAGTAAGTTGCCGGAGAGACCTCAAGTAGATACTAATTCAATTTTAAACATTTTCGGATTTGATTGGCGAGATGTCTTGATGCTCCATTTTTAATCGATGACAGAGGCGAGAGTTGCGCTGTATAAAGGATGTGCGGCATTTCATGTCTGGAATATAGAACAACCAAGCTGGAAAGCTGGCGAATGGAGCGCAGCGCAAACATAACATACGAGCCTTCAATTCCATGTCAGTGAACCTTTGACCAATTCGTCCTGACTACGAGATCTGGCCCAAAAGAACTGCTTCGACGGCATTACGTCATCGCGAAATAGGATCAAGAGACTAGCGCAATTAAAGCTTGCCACATCGCTTGCTTGAATCATCTTGCTGTGCCGCTGAATCAGCGGCTCTGCCACGGCGGCCGGCTGAGAGTGTGTTATGTATGTGCATATATTTTGTGCATATGAGCACAATTGCGAAGTCGTGTGCATATTCAAACGGTGGCGAGCGCCAGGCAGGTCGCCAGCAGGTCGCCAAGAAATCCTGATATGATGACGTCAGCAAACTTTATGCAACAAGTACACAAGTACCTATACTAGAGTCTCGTCCACTCGTCCACGGTTGGCAGAAATCCCCTCTCGGGACTCGGGCCCCTCGCGGTCCGACGGCGAGCTCAGTCCAAGATTGGTAGGTCAACAAAATCATTTCAATTGGACAACCACTCAACCACTGACACATTGAGACCATTAGACTATCTGAGATCGGGATTGGATCCCTCAGATCCTTGCGCACGTAGGTAGTTAAAATGTACATGTATGAAATGCATATGTTATCAAAATGCTCACACTAATTCAAGCCCCATTCAAGCGGTGGCAATTTTGGGCCCCGGATGCCAGATTCCTGGCCCATCCTCAGTGGCCCCAAGAATCCGAGAATGCCGATGCCAAGATACCAAGATTCCGGTTCTCATATTCCACTGAGCCGAGCATTTTCAGCCGCAACATAAAGCTGATTATCACCGTCTCACTCAGTGTATTTTTGCATTGATCACATTCTGAATGTGACAATTGGGAAGTTGGCAGAAAAAACGAGTGAAACTTGAAATACGGAGAGAAAAACAGTGTGGCACTGGTGCCATTCAATCAAGAACGATTATGCGATGAGGCGATGACCGCGGCAATGACGCTTTAGTAAATCTGTTTTTGCTGAGTCAAGCACTCGTCATATAAGCAACTGAGCAGGTTGGGCATTTGAGTCAATAGACATACGTATCCGGCCTGATCTAAGTAGCTCTGAATGACAACAGGCTGGTCACCCGATCAAACAATCGCATCATTGCTACAGGGTCTGGTCAACCTGAAAAGTGGCAACGAGTCGGATGCTTCGGGCCTTAGCTTTAACGGGACGTTTGAATATAGCGTCATGATCTGCCCCGTAGCATTTAGAATGTGGCGCGCTTGCGCCTGAGTGGCACGTAAGCATTGGCACAGCGGCGCCGCATCGGAGATTTATAAGGTCATAAGGTGGGCCGACGTAGAGTCACCAACTACCAGTAGTCCAACTTATAAGTCTGGTTCATGCTTAAGTCATCAAGTCATGTTCTCGTCTTATAATGTTACCATATTACGACGGTTCATTACATTCATTTAATCAATCGAAAATCAATTGTTGAAACCTGAACAACCGAGTCTCCAAAGCTCCAAGCCATAAGTTTTATATGCTGAGATGCTGAGCTGACGTAAGCGTGACGTCAGCCTCTTTGTCGGCGACCACTGCCGACCGGGCAAACTCATACGCGCGAGAGTGACGTCGGATATGTGCACGGCGACGTCATTTCTGAGCACTCTCTGCACAAATGTGACGAGGTCGTGCTCATATAAGACGTGGGCTGCTCATGTGCTCAAATAATCCGCACGCAAAGAGTTTATACTGCGGCCGGCTGCATGGGGCCGGCTGGCTGGATGACGGTTGGTTGAGTCCTTAAACCCTCCATAAACTTTCGTGGGCTAGATCGGGCGCATGGCGGCGTCACCCGGGCCGTGACTCGTGGGCGGCGCGGCGCGTGGCGCCGGGCCGCCCGCCGCCCGGCCCTCGGAAGTCGTCGGCAGCTCGGCCGCTTCGTTAAGAGCACCGTACGAACACGGTGGCTGGTCTACCCACCGGTCGACGGCCGTACGGTCGCGTTAGTCCGGCAGGACTCACCGGCCCCGGTGCTTTGGTTGCAAAAGCGCCCGCATGGAAAGTCAACCGACCATGTTTGTCACGACAATTCGGTCTGACCTGGTCTGTCAAATACTGAAAGTTGACCGGGATGCTGAACCGACCAAGATTCGCTTAGTGATCACCGTAAACGTCGTCACCGTTATGCGCCGACGGCAGACGGTGGGTGTGACGGTGACCCTTCATGCGCATGCATGATTGAGCGCTGAGTCAGCCGTCACCTGCTTGAAGGCACTCTGATTGGCTACGGGGTTGGAATCTGGGGCTCATCCAGAGTGTGGGCCGTGTTATGAGTACCTACCGTAATCGGACACCAAGACCACACCAAGAAGTAGGTAGGTACTGAGTCCTGACACTCCTCAAAATCCTACAAAGCTTATCGACTGGATTGATTGGATCGATTGGAGTACCTACGCGGTTTCCAGAACGCTGCATAGCACAGCTCTCCGCCATGTGGCAAGTGTCGCAGCGTCCTTCATGTTCACAAAATATCCGCAGTTGATTCAGGGAAGTGCCCGGGTCAAAACTAGGGCCACCTGAGCTGGTGACAGAACGGCGAGGGCGAACTGAGGCAGATAAGGGAAGTGCCCGGGGGGAATATTCGAGAAGTACTCCTCTTGCTTGCGGCTGATGACACCAGGAAGCATGCAGAAAACATGCAGCCAGTCTCAATTTAACCTACAATCACCTAGGGTAGTGGACAACTCTGAAAATGTGGTGTTTAGTGTTCACATCATCCGACACCGCCTCTGTTTGTGTGTAGGTACGTGAGAGCGATACTTCGATACGAAAGCCCTTCATGGCCTGTTGATGCTCTCCTAGACTGCGTCCTTGCTCTACTTATCGTCTGTCTCTCCAAAGCCCAGGAGTAAATGCTCAACACTCCAGCTGCACACTCAGCTGCTGCGAAAAATTCTGCTTACCAGAAGCGGGCGACAAGCTTTTTCGCGAAACCGCAAATTGAGCTGAAAGTAACGTCCAAAAATTCAGTCGCAGCCTTCCAAAGAGCAAAGAAAGCGGAGCAACATGGCGCTGCAGGGGCGAAACTCAATGGTGCCTCTTCTCCTCATGATCGTGGCGACCTTCTTACTGGTTCCCACAGCTGAAGCGGCATCCGCTGGTCGCCGCTTGCTTGCGGGTGAGTTCTCTGCTTCCAAGTACTGGCATTTTTATCTATGTGCTTTGCTTCTGCTTTGACGAATATGTTCGTGAAGTTCTCCGGCCATTGGCCTCCTCTATGCAGAGAGTAAAGTGAAAATGCGGCCTTTCAATAGAGGCAGCTGAGCGCTAGCTCGTGCTTCAAGTTGGTACCACATTTGCCATCACTTTGGAAAAAGCATCTACTTTTTTGTGAACCGGCAATCAAAGTGAGAGGGTTCTCTCTCCATGTCTCCCTGTACACAAGCTTTGAAAGTTCTAAAAGAATGAGAGCAAACTGTGCTAAAAGCCCGCAACTTGCTAGTACTGTAACTAAACCCCCCTGGGTGTTTACAGTATATCAAACCCAACCCCGCAGGCCTGACATGTTAGTAACTTTTGTGAAGAATCTCTCCAGACACGGGTCCTTTTAGCATGTCATGTTATCTTCTATGTAGAGCATGTGAAAACGTCCATTGTAATGCAGCTTCCTCTAAAACAAGTTGCTTGAAGGGGGGGACTGGTTTTAAGTGTTGCCTTGTTGCCTTTGATTGTTTGCTTGAGGCCAGATTGTTATGAGAGGTTTGCGAACCAGAGAAACCGGGTTTTGTGACTGGCTATCGCATGTCAGTAAGAATGTGTTGAGCGAAGAGCGGCTAGATAGACAACCCTGTTGGGGATTGAGGGGCTGAGGTCTGTTATGAAGATACTTCATAGAGAGTTAGCCAAAGCAATCACCTTTTCAAGGATTTCTCCAGGTTTTTGAAATCAGCGAAACCACTCAAAAGATTTGCATTAAAGCTGGGCTATAGCTGACCCCCAAGAACTGGTTCCTTTCAGAACCTCCCATGTCCACTCCACCAGTCGTGCAGTCTTGCAATTTGCTCAGCTTATAACCTAGATCACAAAATGACATCAGAGACTGTTCTTTGCAGACCAAGGCGTGTGCGGAAGCGGTCCAGCCCAGTACTTCCCCAACCGCTGCTACTTCAACAGTGACCCTCAGGTACGTGCCAAAAACCTCTGCGTTAAGGATGGCATGGGGGGCTTGACGCCAACTTTGAGACCTGCCCCAAAGTCTTCCCCTTTCCGGTTTCTTCTGTTTTGATTGCATTGTCACAAACAGTGGCAAATAAACGCGTGGGGTGTCATTGCATGCCCCAAGTTGTGGTGTGGACTGCCTCCTCCGGTATGCTAAAATTTGTTTTTTTAGAAGCAGGCTCCTTTTGCATGTCCACGTGGCGTGTCATAGGACCTGGTTCTGGCAATTCTCCTCATCTTCAAGCTTTGGAAATCCGCTGGGTTGCTTCTTGCTCATGACACTCTCCCCCATCCAGCTTTACAATAGTGACACTCTTCCAGCTTTACGATACTTTCGAGGAATTCAGACAGGATTCAGATATAAAAGAAGAGCGCTGGTGCATGTGTTTGTTCCTGAACAAAACTACCTCCTTCGGTCTTTCTTGCCTCATACAGCAAGGATTGCTTCAGAGGTTGTAACGCATGTAGTCTGCCCGTAAAGGTGAACGCATCAAAGTTTCCCTTGAAAACGAGCACTCCAGAGCTTTATGCTGACGCTTTCGAAATGACAGAATCAAGAGGCTCTTTTTCGAGTCAAAGCGAAGCATGCGGTCTTCTGCAACCTGTCATGAGCAAGTGACTGTGAGACCGACTTCTTCTTTAATTGAGCGGAGCCGAGAACTGAATCACGGAACTCCAGAGTAACGTTCTACGCCATTCGTGCAGGGGCGTTACGTCTGCTGCGACAACCAGGGCTGCGACGGCTTCAACCCGCCGGGCAACTTCTTTCCCCACTGCAAGAACGCCGGGTTCGTTCCGTCTGCTTTTGGGGTCGGCGCCCCTTCAGGTAAGCCAGTTCTTTAGCAGCTTCGATATTTATTTTGGGTTGCGGTTATGTCGAGCTGGTTCTTGCCCATAGGGTTTGTTTGGGGGTCTAGGTTGAGTACGTGTGCGGAGCATGTTACCTCTTGATCACAGGTTTTGGTTTGTCTTGACCCGGGGAATTGGTCTGCCTCAACATCGCCTATTTTCACATGAGAGGCAGTTTTTTCCTTCTACCATTGTGGCGCATGCGACCAATGTGCAGTCAAATTCCATCTGGTAAACTAAACGAGCCAGGGCTTCTTAGAAGCAAGGAAAAGGACCTCAGCAGATTCGAAAATGGAAAGGGGAACGACTGACCCCATCAAGTAGTACGGCGAGGTATCTGAGTGTCAGCGCCTACTCTGGGACCGGCAGGGTCCAGATTCCTGCAAGTTCTCTTTGAAGTGGTTTTTCATCATCGTTGAAGTCCTCGCAATATACAGAAGTAATAGAAGCTGCAGGCAGCCGCGCTTAAAATAAACTTAAGAGCTACGATATAAGGTCACCGCATCGGGAGGGGAGAGTCACACTTGACAAGGTAGTTTCTTGCTTCTGAATAGGTAAGGCCGCACGCGGAGCAGGCAAAAATATGGAGTTGACGATTGCCTTGTGACTGTAGTCATGGCTTGTTTTCTCCTCCGCTCACTGTTATCCTCGAGCATATCAAACTTCACCGTTGTGCACAGCGCCAAACATGGCCGTTTTGGAGAACAAGTCGTGCTTAACCCGGTTCGCTTGCTTAAAGCCACCACTCTACTTCCTGCGAGCGCGTGCCCCGCTTTCGACGGGCGTGCCACCAACAGTCTCAAGTCAATCCTAACAGCTTACGAATCTTCGACGGCCGAACAAAGCACTAGCTAAACGCGTTGGGCCCAGCTCTTATCGTCGAATTCTCACTGACACCCCGATGCTCAAACGCTTGCAGCAATCACGGTGGTTCCAGCGTTCGTCCCGTGCCCCGCCGTCAACGGCGTCCCGACCAACAGCTGCTTCAACCAGGCGGGCACGCAGCACGTGTGCTGCATTAACCCCGACTCGTGCGGCGCCTTGGCTGCGAACGGCAACCCGACGTGCGCGGCTGGCAATTACTACGTTTTCTGAGTCTGCGGCGGCGCAGTGTCAATGTTAGCAAGTTGGAGAGCGAGTCAGAGAGTCAGTGAGTGAGTGAGTTGACCTCTGAAAGTTGAGAGTTAGGAAATGGGTTTGAGGATGGAAGTTGCGGTCGGGTAATATGGCAGAGGGGTTCGTCAAGGATGTACGAAACGCAATGTAGGCTCACCACCCCCATCCAAACAAAATAAGTTTTGTAGTAACGGTGTTTTTAGTTCTCGATTCTGATGTGGAGGGCCATACCCACGTATGTAGAGGTCGCGACGAGGCAATATAACTTGCTTGAGACAGTTCTCGATAATGTACATATGCGGAATCTGCAAGGTAGGATGCTAAGATTTGAAGTGCCGGTCGGGCTGAGAGAAACCTGAGCTAGGGACGCTGAAACATTCTCGTTTCGCTTTTTATCACTGTTATTAACGTCACAACTAATCTAGACGATCGCGTTGTGCCGGCGCACAAATCAATGCTGGCGCACAAATCAACGATTGTACAACTGAGCCATGGTCGGCCAATTAGCCTGGTTGCTAGTTTCACGGCCTGTAGATGAGCCCATGCATCGCGGCAATTGCGTGCATATTAAAGCTGCCATGCGCAACTGGCACCAATATGATGGCACTACGCGTACGCATGGCGAACTTAGCTTGGCCGTACATGCCGGCACGTGAGGCGGGCCATCAGGGGTATATGAGAGCCGCGCTCCTGCATGTCCGGCATGCTAGTAATGGATAATATCGGACAATGTACTGCACATGATGCTGCTGCCTTTTCGTCTCATCAAATCGTAGCTGTATGTTCGATCATACCCTTTGGTCGCTGCCCGCGGGCCAGTGACTCTTAAGTTCTGGCAGACAAATTGCTCCGCCAAGTCAGCCGCACTCAAGCTAGCTCATGTTAAAAGTTGTCAGCACTTCGCTCAAGCGATTAGCGCACAGCTATCGCACATGACGTTAGCACGTGCGCGAGGACTAGCACACATGCTTCACAAGTCGCAGGTGGTGGATGCTTGCAATTGAGACGCGCGTGTATATTCTGCTTGGAACCGAATCGTATCGATGTGTGTTACTATACTTGCTTGCTGTCGTACGATGAGCGAAATTGGGAACTATTATAACTGTCACTATCTACAGCAACATAGCTCTACGTTTTCGACCAGAACTCTCGAACGACAAAACGCGTACGTTGGGCAGCGAGTGTCAAAATGTCAAAACTGGCTCGGTGCTTACAACCTGGACCGTCCGAGCTCCGCCCGTCCGATGGCCTCCAGGTGGACCTCGTCCGGCCCGTCCGCAATCCTCAGCGTCCGCGCCGCGACCCACAAGTGACTCAGCGGAAAGTCCGAGCACACCCCGCCTCCCCCGTGCACCTGGATCGCCCGGTCCAACACTTTGAGCGCCGCGTTCGGAGCCACGACTTTCGCTATCGCGATCGCCACCCGGGCCTCCTTGTTCCCGTGCAGATCCAACTGGTGGGCGGCGTTTAGGACCAACAACCGCGCCTGTTCGATCTCGATGCGGCACTGGGCAATCTCCGCTTTCAGCCCCCCGTGCTCGCTCAGCGTCTTGCCAAAAGTCGTTCTGGCCCGGGACCTTGACACCATGAGTTCGATGCCCCTCTCGGCCGCACCTATCAGCCGCATGCAGTGGTGTAAACGCCCCGGGCCGAGCCGCCCCTGCGCGATCTCGAATCCGCGCCCCTCGCCAAGCAGCAAATTCTCCGCCGGCACCCGAACGTTCTCAAAGTGCACCTCGGCGTGCCCGTGTGGGGCGTCCTCAAACCCGAACACGGTTAGCGGCCTAACCACCCTAACCCCCTCGGAACCCATGTCCACCAAAACCATGCTCTGCTGACGGTGCTTCGAGAGCGACGGATCCGTTTTGCCCATGAAGATCGCGACGCGGCAGCGCGGGTCCATCGCCCCGGACGTCCACCACTTTTTACCGTTCAGGACGTACGAAGCGCCGCCCGGCTGCTTCGCGATGCACGCCTCGATGTTGGTCGCGTCGGAGGAGGCGACGTCCGGTTCCGTCATGGCGAAGCACGAGCGGATCCGGCCGTCCAGCAGCGGAAGCAGCCACTGCTTCTGCTGGGCGGGGGTGCCGTACCGGGCGAGTACCTGGGGGAGCAAAGGGGGCAAGTTAAGTCGGGACACCAAGTCCCTGCAACCAAATACATGTCTAACCCAGACGTAAACCCATATCCAAGCCCATGCCAAAGCATGACTGTACCGGGCGAGTACCTGGGCGGGGAAGGCAGAGAGGTTATGCAGGGACTTTCGTACTGCCAGGCAACCGGGACCCTATAATCTCAAGCGTTGCTGATTGGGATGCCGTAATGTGCGAGCACCGACACAGGAGAAGCGGAGGTCCTGATATTGGGGGTTCGTACTGTGCTACTGACAGGACTGTTCATGCCAAACAAGGACCCAACAACCAAACTTAGGAATTCTGCGACATCTGCTCATCATTGAGATAGCCGGGGAAAGCTAGAGCTCAACTAATGGGATGAGCAAAATGTTGCGGACTTTCAGAAACTTTGGGGTCGGATGTTCCTACCATATCAGATGACCAGTAAGAAGCTACAATCTAGTAGCCTGAGGGTTTTTGTGAAGTACCGTTCACGCCAGACAAGCTGAAGGGGGCTGTCAGTCATCTAACATACAGGCGAAACAACCCCAGTGAGTACCTGCTCTGCCGGAAGTGTCTTACCCCGAGAAGAATGGATGTCGGAATCTTTGTTCAGTGGCTTGAAGCGGCTTTTTGAACGCCCGACTGCCTGATCGGCAGAGTCCAAGGAGCGGCTTTTCGATTGCACGACTACTTGATTAGCAAATTTCAAGAAGCAAATCGTAGGCTCAAGAGTCGTATCGCAGATGCAGATTGTTGGAGAAATCCGACGAAGCACGAAGTTCACCTCCATGTTACCGGTATCAGGAGCAGAGCAGTTGAACACCTCTGGCGCCCACGCAGACTTGCCCATCACCTGCGGCAGAAAGTCACCACGTCGTTTCAGCAGGGCTGCAAGGTTGACAGGCATTCCGGTTACATGACGCTCCACTGTCTTACGTTTGTTTCGCGGTGCCACGTCGGCGGTTCGCTCTGGCCGTTCCTCAACAGCCGATTGAGCAATCTCAAAAGAATGCACTGCAGGCAATTGGCTCAGCTCGCAACCGTCACAATATTACCGACGCTCACGTGCCGGTTCGTGATGGAGTCCTGAAATAGTCACCGCACAACGCACTTTGACTAATCAACCGCTTAAAAACTGCACAACGGAAACATAAACAGTGCTAGACAAAAGCAGGATCTGTCGTCTGCGACTCGATAACGAGGTGCTGGAAACTCCTTGAATTCGGCGTCCTGACACGTCTCAAGCTTGGGAAAGCGTGCATCCCAAAAGTCAGTTCTCATTGCCGATAGGGCAGCGGCTCCTAAAGGTCAAGCACTCGTCGACGACAACACGGCGACCAGTACACGCAAAGCACGGCTTCCCACTTTGCTTAAAGGCAGTTGAAACAAAGTCGATTCCGGGAGTGACCTAGACAAAGATAGAACGCCTAACTACGGCCGTCCGTTTCCTGTCGTTCCGCTATCCCAGCTGGAAGGATTAGTTCTTGGCCAAAATGCACCGACAGTTTCTTTAGTCAAGTGTCCCTACCAAGGGAGTCCAATACAGGAGATTCTGAATCCTTTTGCATCCTTTCAAATGAGGTTTGCACATGTCGCAGAACAGCTCACGACAAGGACGAAGCTCGGTGGCTCAAGAAGCCAGCACTCCGGTACCGTTGCCATCATTTGCCTTTAATCAGGCACAGGCTACGGCGGGCACCCAGCTTCCTTGCCTTTGCAGGAAAAGAGGATTCGCTAGGGCCTACCACCTAGCAAGAACGCTAGCACTGAAAGGCAGACGTGCAGCCAACTCAGCCCCCCTTCGTACACGATCTTACAACCAACCTCTCAGCAAGACACGAAGGGACGAGAAGAAACCCCGGAACTTTAGGACGACATTCGCACTTTGGATCTTTAGGTTCGTAAAGCACTCGACCCTCTCGTCGGCGCTTGTCACAGGCGACTCGTTGAGAGGTTCGTAAGCCCTCCAGACCGATTCGACTTGGTAAACTGTCAGTTGCAACGGAGTTACGGGGGATGGGGAACAGAACAGCAGGGTGACTTGAGCAGAGCCTCCAAAGTGGTCCTCGACGGCGACAAAGAAGGGCAGAATCCCCCCGTTAGCGGATTCAAACCACCAGTATCGGCTTAGAAAGATTATACTCTGAGGCTCCGCACAGAAAACAAATCTCAAAACTGGCGAGTGGTTGGAAAAACTGGACGGAGAATATGGTGCATCACAGCAAAGGCCCGCAAAAGCCCCTGCCTCAACATAGAGTATGACAGAAAATGATGTTAGCAAGTAGACTCTCCCTTTCTTAATACATGGACAGATGCGGGGGAAAATGCTGTTCCGTTTGCGTCAGCTGGACACTAATCGATACCTAGGTCGAAGTGAATAAAATGATCCTTCAAGAGGAGCACTCCTGACAATCGCTTGGTACAATTGAGCATAGTGACGGTTTTCGACACAGGGAAAAGAGACGCACAGTATCTCCAATACTACTCAGAAGGGAAGGGACTACAATAACAGCCGGAAACTTCAGTAAACTCCCGTCCCATGTCTGCTGAGTGCTAACCAGCATCAAGAACTTTCAAAGACCGTTGAGCATCGCTCAAAGAGTGGCAATCAGGGCCGGTGCCTGTACAAGAGACAGCTGACACACTGAAGAGTACGCAAAATAATGATAAAGGTAAAACGGACCTTGGATCGGTCAGCAGAAGAAATAGAACCTGGCAAGCCAAGTGGGCTATGAAAGTTCGGACACAGAAGGCCTCCAACGAAAGCTTAAAAGGTCGCAAGGTGAATCGGTTGATCTCTGCGCACTGGGAAGACGGTTTTGGCCGAAGGCGTCAAACGTGCTGCTGGGACTTGAGGTTGGCTGTGGCAGCGCTAAGTACAAATTCAACTCTGAAGAGACTGCTTTGAATACGGACGTGAACGCTCACAGAACACACTGATTCAGAATGAAGAAGGTCGCAATGACGGCATCGGACCACCCATCAATCTTCCGTGAGCCCTGTTCCCAAGATATACGTCACGTGCCGCACACGATCTACAAACAACGTAACGGGAAAGAGGAGATCCCACACCTCATAAAAGCGAGCTAGCACGAAAAGAAGGTGGTCACACGATTGAGCAGTTCTTGGGCAAAGTTGCTGTAGGCGCACTTCTGATCAAGCTGATCCAACTTGCGTCATGTGGGCACATTCAAAAGTAACGGCTCGTGCTTCCTGTTGTCAAGGAGCACTGCTTAGCGCTGGCGTCAGTGGATCAAAACAGCTTCCGACCACAAAGACGTCAACTCCAGCAAAGCAACATGACGAAAGACTGAAGCAAATCCATACCGAGACCAACATTCTAAACTTGGCAGAGCGTCGATGGCAGGTGTGAATGGGCCGCTGGTCATATGACAGTGGACTGGGCAAGCACAGCGATGCGGCCAACTGACCCACATCATCTTCCAATTCCGAAAGCAACGGTCTCAATCCTCTTTTACGGCCCAGTCTGCAAAGAAAGTCCGAAGTTGCAACTTTACCAACACCTACCCTTTCTAACGGCTCCGAACATGGTCAAGAGACACGATTCGTACTTTGTAGTAGTGCGAGTCGGTCGATCGGCTCAGCCGTTGAACAGATTGTCAAGAAAGACCTTCATTGCACACGCCAAGCTCGCGACACCACAGACATTCGCAAATCCGCTCGCACTTCGTAGCAGTAGCGCTTAAACAACTCAGTAAACATACAAACCGCAAACTCAACCGAAAACCACCGTCGAACACCACTTAGTCAGCAAGAAATCATCGTCCAAAACCACGTACTCACCTGTTGCATCTGGTGCATGCAAATCTGGCACTACAAGGTTAAAATCCTCCGCAGACTCGTTTCTCACCTTGATACAACACGCGTATATTTCATCGTCCAGCCGGCAAACCCTTGCAAATTTCTCAACACGCTACTATGCGCCATCAAAGTCTTTGCAAAATATACAGATCCAACCGCAGACTCGATCCCACTTCGCCAAAATTCCTAAGACTCCAGACTTGTCGCCCAGGTCAGCCTCTAAAGTCGCGCTATCTAAGAAAACACATCCGGTATGCGCCCGAAAGTGGCTCATATGATCTAAACAACACCACAGACTCGCTCCTCACGTCGCAGCAGTGTGTATTTTCCAGAATGTCACCCCAGATTAGAACCAAGTCCTTCCAACATTGAAGACATTCAGTTTACGCCATCAACTTGAAGATTTGATGAAGACAACCGCAGCCTCGCTCATCACCTCGCAGCAATGCTCAAACTTCAAGAGAATCGGCCTCAAAACCCGGATTCTCGGGGAAAGGACAACCAGTACACGCCAGCAGTGGTGGGAATTGATCAAAAGCGAACCGCAAACTTGCTCCTAACCTCGCAGCAGTGCGCGTACTCCAGGTTGGTCAGCCCCGCCCCGCACAGCGGCGAGCCCCGCGGCAGCCCAAGCGTGCGCGCAATAGATTCACCCATCTCGTTTGGCACCCACAGGTTCCACAGGCCCTGGGCACGTGCCGTCCGCTTGAGCTCCTCTTGCAGCGGGTGGATAGTCCAGCGGACGTCCGACTTGGAGTGCGCGTCCAAAGTGGGCTCCGCCGGGTAGATGTGCTCCAAAAGGAAAGCCTGGGGAAAAGATTGGGGTCAAAAAGTGTCAGAATTGCACGGAAGCCTTTTGGCTGAACACAGCGAAGATTGTTTGAGCAGTGGAGCTGAGAAGTGGGCGTCCAAAACGGGAAGATGTGCTCCGAAAGGAAAAAACTGGCAAAAAGGAAGGGGTGAATGAATGGAGACGGCAAAGGAAAACTAACTCTAGAAGGCGTGGAGGTTTAAGGTCAAGCACAATGTTCAGGCTACTCGTCACACGCGGGCTCTCCGAGGAGGACGTGATCGAACGGAGTCACCTGAGGATAGAAATCAGATTATCTGCCCGACATCCAACGTCGGAATGTTGTGGTTACTAGAGATTCAAAAGATGTGCGCATAAAGAACTGGCTCTGCAAAACGAAAAGACAACGACGAAGACAAAAGAGTTACAAATGAGGAAGAGATAGAAGAGGTAAAGGTGCCATTGTTGTACAGATAACCTCGACAATAGGGAAGCAAGCTCGAACACACCAAAAAACCTGCAACTCTGCAGGCGTCCTGAGCATTTTGTCGGGAGAAAAATAACTAGCGCCTAACCTCCAGCTTCTGTTTCAGCGCCTTCGCTTTTGCACTCGGCTCAAACCCAAGCGACGCCTTCGCGCACCCGCCTTCACAGCAGCACGTCCCCGCCTGGCCGCCACGACTGCTGGTCGGAACCCCCTGGATCGTGGTCGGTGCGTACCGTTGGGTCGCGTGGCTCTCATCCCGGTTCCCATTCTTCCCCTCAAACCGCCCGGTTGGAACCCCCGGTAGACCACCAGGTGAGTACTTCTGCTGGGCGTGGCTCAGATCGCCAGCGGCCTTCTCCGAGTCGTTTTCAGGACCCGAGGACTGCTTGGCATCGCTTGGGGCGTACTTCTGCTGCGCGTGACTGGCCTCCCCAACCCCATCCGCCTCTCTGCCAAAGTGCCCGATTGGCACCCCTGGTACACTGCCCGGGGCATACTTCTGCTGGGCGTGGCTCAGATCGTTCGAACCGGTCGCAGAACCGCTTGTTTGTTTCGAGGACCCCTTGACAGCCCCCGGCGCATACTTCTGGAGCGCGTGACTCTCCTTTCCAGCCCCTTCCGACTCTTTCCCAAAGTGCCCGGTTGCAACCCCAGGGAGGCCCCCCGGGGCATACTTCTGCTGGGCGTGGCTCAGATCGTTCGACCCAGTCGCCGAACCGCTTTTCTCTTTCGAGGACCCCTTGACACCTCCCGGCGCATACTTCTGGAGCGCATGACTCTCATTCCCAGCCCCTTCCGTCTCTTTCCCAAAGTGCCCGGTTGGAACACCCGGGAGGCCCCCAGGTGCATATTTCTGCTGAGCATGACTGAGCCCCGCGTCTCCCCCGTCCCGTCCCGGACTTCGACCAATGACGTCATGCGCCATGTCAGCGAGCGCCTCCACAAGCACCCCCGCCTTGGACGCGTGCTCCGACGACGCGTTCCCCTGGAGCGCTCGCCGATAGACGCCGGCAAAGATGGCCGCCGCCCGGAAGAGCGAGACCGCGGTGTAGAAGACGAACTGCTCGGAGGAGGGCGCAGGGAGACCGAGGGAGGAGCTGTACAGTAGGACGTACTCGGACTGTTGGGGGATCCCTTCGGGGAGCGGTTTGGGGATGGCGTACAGCTGGCGGTACGTGGTGGGGAAGAGGTAGGGCAGGCAGGCGTAGGCGAGGTCCGAGCGCTGGTTGCCAAGAGTGGATAGCTCCCAGTCGAGGACCTGTAAGCACGAAAAATGGTCAGTGATGGCCCCCATGTGTCTAGCCTAACCAGACTGCCCGTGCTTCAAAGTGGAAAGCGCACTCTAGACATATCAGGCTTTGCGACTTGAAACGCTGATCAACGCTTTGAGCCTTCGGTGGACGCTTTCAACAATGGAAAGAAAGGAAGACGAGCTCACGTCGGCCTTAGGGAAGACGGAAGAAAATCGATTGAAAACCCCAAGAGATAACCGACAATCCTGTCAGCCGAAACCATAACAAAGAAGAACCGTGCAGATAAAATTGTGAGAGCATTGCGACCCGATTTGATGAGAAAGATAAGGGATTGAAGGACAGTGTTTGCTGATGACATTCGAAACAATCGCAGCCGGGAATTTAGAATCGTCAACATCTTTTTGAACACAGAGCGGGACGACACTTCAAGTTTAAGGAGCTTCTTCTTGTGAGAGCTCATACCAAGTGCTTGTCAAACTGTAAACACTGCAATCAAACCGAGTTTGCTGGAAAAGCGCTTCTCACCGCAATGATTCTCGGCTCTGTTGGATGAAACACCAGGTTGTCGAGCCGATAATCCCCATGAACGAGCCCCTTAATCGGACCTGCTGCGCCTGCGTCTTCTTCCGGGACATGCGCTTGCAGCCAATCAATGAGCGCCAGCATCTTGGGGTCGGGCTTGGCGTCGGGAAAGTTGACTGAGGCAGCATACTGTGCAGCCCAGCGCTCGACCTGACAGAGGAAGTCAGAAGAAGAGAGCTGAAACCTGAGACTTTGCGTTGCATTGTGTGTATATTTGTAATCCCCCTGTTTATTCGGTCGTAATTCTTAGCCCATTGCGCTAGAGTGGTCAACAAATTTCAATAAAGTCAACCTAAAGCTATCCTGGGATTAGTGACCTGGCAACTTGCTGTATTAAACGAAATGACAAGAAGCTTCTGAGAACCGAGACTGAGATGATCCACTAACAGTCAAAGTGAACGATAATTTCTCCTTGACCTTCTTGTCTATCACTTCTGAAGCAAGAAAACAATCTGAATCAAAGGTTTGTAGACAGAGTGCCAGGTACCAGAGTGCCTGAGGCAGAGTCGTTACAACGGCAAGCGTGAGCAGACACATACCAATTCATGCCAAACCGAAAGTCTCGCTCAGACTGCAATGAACTCAGTAACCTGATAAAGAGGTCGCAGCTCTTTTCAATTGACATGTCACAAATCATAGATAACGCCTTTCCAGCGTCCACAGTCAAGCACCACTCTCTCCACAACTTACTCACCTGCCGCTTGCAGTAGTTATCCCGGCGGCCAAACCGGCTCAGCCCGACCTGGTCAACGTCCACAGCATGGATCGCCGCCAGCGTTTTGGCCATCTCCTCATACATTGTGCGCCGCACTGGCGGCGGCACCTCTGGCAAACCAGGGTCCAGGAAGATGCGGCCCTCCACGTGTTCCATCACATAGAAGTCAGTGCCTATAACCGAGGCGTCAGTGCACAGGCACATGACTTTTGGAACGGGGACTGCGGTCCCATTCAGGGCCTTGAGGACCTGCATAGAAGGAGTGATGGTGAATAAAGGTGAACAAGGTTGAAAACTTTTGCAAGCTGGCCAGCTGAGATGTTACATGAGAGTCCACGGCCGGTCATGGTTCGTGTCGAGTCCTTGGAAGGTCATATTTGAAGTAAGCCTTGAGAATTGGTGGTGTGAGCTTCTGATTGAAGGGCTAGACATGCAGGCACGGTCTGGCAGGATTCAGAAACTTCAGGAAAGACCATCTTAATGTAATCGCCAGGAGCTATAACTTTTATATGAGTGTCAGAGTGGTAAAGTACCATGATATCGCTCAAAAACAACTTCCGTCATCAGATTTTTTATGAGATATGACGTCGTCTGACAAAACCCCGAAGGAAAAGTAGAGTTCCATGGCTTTGGGAAATTGCAGCACTTGTCCATTACTTTAGAAACTTTGCTTCCAATAAGCCTTCACACTGGAACGTTTCTCCGGAGGTTTGACTTTTCGTACACATCCCTTTCAAGGAGTGCTTTGGAGGATTGAAGTGAACTCTTATTTCAGTTGGGGGACATCCACATGGGCAAAGAAAAAGAGGCACTGGTTGCATGAACAATCTACAATCAAGTTTCTCACCTGATACTCTCTGTCCACTGCATGCGCAGACTTCAGGAGCTTTCCAGGGGGCTTCTTCCGCAGCACAAAGCGCCCCCCCTCCCCGGCCGGTGACCTTACGTCCAGCAAGAAGGTGGGGTTTGATTGGCCATGCCCAAACTGACCGACTGTAAGTTTGGTTTCTGGATGCTGAGGGAAGTGAGCCACATTGCTTTGCAGAAATCGAAGGAGCGCTGACTCATCAAACCGGTGCGCTGCGCGCACAGGTTCAATGTTTCCTGAGATCGAGAGAGGGGCCATTATAACTTTCTAAGAATCACTGTACTTCTACTGAGCAAAAGCTGACCCTCCAATCAGTGAACAGGTTAGCTCTGCCTCTTCTGTCCAACTTAGTGAAAGACAGCACCACCGAACAGGTTCAAAAACTAGGCGCCAATTCAGTGTGTGGCCACTTCATCACTGAGCAAGCAATCAAGGCGCAGCAGACAATACCGCAGAAGGAAGCAGGAGACAAAGACGTAGCCCTGCAGGAAGAGCACGCCAGCCAGCATTGCAGAGGGAGAGGAAAACTTGTGTCGCAGGTTTCAGAACGCTCCATGCAAGCCTGCTCAGCCGAGCCAAGCCGAGCACAGCTCAGCATGGAGGCTGCTGCCCGAGGCACGTCGGATTTCCCGAATATTTTTGGAGCTATTGATAGCTGATATCAGCATGGCTGAGCGCTTATGTGAACGCATCTAAACGCAAAAACCTTCAATTTCCGTATATTAGAGAAAGGCCATTTGAAATTTACTTGAACGAATCAAAGGTTCGGAGTCTTCAATGTTCACGCAGGGGTCAGAAGTTAGAACTGAATTCGAAGGCATATTTAATACTACCTACGATCAGTGTTTCCGCTAACTTTTTTAATTGGTGGCCCCCGGGCCCCCTTGGCCCGTTCTTCGGGGGCCCGGTGGGCCCCCTCAGCCTCTCAATCGGGGGCCCAAAGGCCCCTTCGAGCCACTGATTGGGGGCCCAAAAACTGCGTGAAACTGCCCCCTTCTAGGTCGCATTAGCGCTTTATCCCAAATTAAAACATGGGCACCCACGGTCAGTCTTCCCACAAAGCCCCCCTAGTAGACGAATTGAGGATATTTGCATGACTTGTGATACATTTCTACACGCAATATTCATCGAAATTCATATATAAGCGTGATATATTCTGTAATGTTGGGCCCCCTCACACTGAAGTATGGGGGCAACAGGGCCCCCCATCGTTGCTCTTCGGAGGCCCATCGGGCCCCCTCGACTCAAGCATTGGGGGCCCGTTGGGCCCCCAAGCCCCTCCTATTGGGGGACGATATCGGCCATTGGGGGCGATAATGGCTGGTGGCGGGCCCCCAGTGGAAACACTGCCTACGATACTTACCGTACGCGCGTGTAGGTATAAGCATGTTCATAAACCGACATTTCTGCCTCCTATGACCCCGATCACGTCCCGCAGATGCTAAACTTCTGATGCAATATCGGAACTTTCAAAACCAGAGGGGCCTGAGTTGCAAAAGCTGCAGCTGTGATCAGACCTGTTCAGCAGAACATACAGCAAAATGCTGTGGAGCAGCAGGAAGCCATATTGATCTGATGCCTGTTTCAGCTGGGAATTTCTATCCATGAGGCAAAAGGTAGGAATGTACTAGTAGCCCTTTTCCTTGACACATGGAGTGCACATTCTACTGCAGCCCCGCTGTTTTGCAAAAAGAGCTGAGTCGGCGGTTTTCGCAGGATCAGAATTGTTCAGGATGTTTGCTTAGCCCCAAAGCTGCACCACCCTTGCATCAGCATGGCACCTCTTTTCTCAGACACAAGTTACACAGAAAGCCCTGCTTCAGATTAGTGGGGACTTGTCAGCTCACAGCAAATGGCCAAGGCGCCAGTGAGCAAGTGGAGACACGAGGTCTGGAGCAAGAAGCACAGAAGGTGAGAGATCATTCCAACTCTTCCACCAGTGTTCTGTCGCATTTGCTCATCTTGCGATCAGCTTCAGCAGTGTTTGCTTGCTTTTGTTGGTTTAAAGTTCTGTCTCTGAGTCTTGGGTTCCCCCCTACCAGATTGTTTTCCAAAAAAAACTCACCTTGCTGTCTGTCTCTAACATATATTTTCGCATTCTTTCCACGTTCCTTGCACTCAAGCAGGGCTTCATGGTCAGAAAGGGCTTCAAGCATAAGGATGTGCAAAACGGGCATGATTAATCTTACATCACTGTTGTTGACGCTCACAACTCCGTCATGCTTACTGGCTTTTGAGGCTTCTTCAAGCCAATGGTCTCTAGTCCCCATTCTCTCAGAACAACCTTCCAATATCTCACTTGCTTCTTGCAGTATGAAAGTCCCTCCTTCCTTCCAAGCCGCCAGCAGCTCAACATGCCCCCCCGTGACGAGCGGGTTTCTTACACCCGCATCCAGGGGCTCAGCACGTTCCCCCCCGAACGGCTCTACGACAAAGTCGTGATGGTCCGCTGTGACTGGAACGTAGAGATAGGCGTCCATGAGGTCAAAGGAAAGGTGTTCCGAGATGATACACGAATGAAAGCTTCGGTGCCAACTCTTCAGTACTTAGCGGGGGCCGGGGCACGGGTGGTTGTTGTTAGCGAGTATGGGACTCCGAGCAAGGGGCAAAGGATGCAGCATTCTTTGAAAGTGCTGGCAGGTGAGGCTTTCCAAGACGTGTTGTAAGAAAACCAGAGGCGGTTCACTTGCATCAACAATTCAACCAAGCTTCTAGTCATTCATCAAAGAGCTTTGTGAACCTGGTGGGGGGAATAGTGCCAGCTGGATTCATATTGTCCATAGAAAAAGCTGGGGCCTGTGTCAAAGTCGCAAGCCATCTAGGGCCACATTTAAAAAAGCCGATCATCCACCTTTGAATAAAGTAGCGGCGTCTTAGTGGCGGTCAGCAACCTTTCTCTCATGAGTGCCCTTGCAGCGCAAGGTGCACGGCATCGGATGCTAAGTATTGAGCTGTCCCATCTTGCCTTCTGCTTTAGCTGACTTCATGTCGACTTTGCCACCTGCGCTACTGAACAGCACGTGTCAATTCACCAGCAAAGGACAGATCTGCCAATGGTGGCCAGTTTGTGGCTGCCCGATCGAGTCGCTCTGAAGGTGCTACTGGATTCAGCTGTGATCAGCCACATCTTGTGCATCAGTGTCAATTGTCACACAGTTCGTACTGCTGTTTTTCAGAGAGACTGGCGTCGGATCTCGGCCAAGAGGTTATGATGGCTGGCGACTGCATCGGCGCTGGGGTCGAGCGGGATATTGACGCGCTCCGGCCTGGACAGATCTTGGTCCTGGAGAACGTGCGCTTCTATAAGGTACGATTCGACGAAATGCTGGTGGTGTATGCCATGTTTGCATTACAGTTCAAAGCCACTGCGTAAAACAGGTCTTAGATACGTCTTTTTGAAGAGTCGCTGGCATCGGTGTACAAAGTGGTCCTCCCTAAGTTGTCTGGTTGGTTCTTACCTACAAATGATTCGTCTAAAATGTCTTAACTTTTGATTTTACGCCCCAATGCTGGGGGGAGGAGATAGGCATGTATTTATCGGGCTTTGATCTATCATGTCCTGCGAGAGCTATGCTGAGCGCACCTCACTTCTGCCTGGAACGTTGTCGTTCCGCTCTGGCGGGGCAGAGTGGGTCAGACGATCAGAACCAGAAGCTGCTTTACTCTTACCCCAAATAGAGAGCGCGGAGAGAGGATTCAAGCGACCCCATTGCCTCTCGTTTACAGTTCTCACTTCCACGCGCTTGCCCATCTGACTTCTCTCCTTCTTACAGGAATAGAAGGCCAACGTTCTGGTCTTCTCTCAGAACCCACGTTAGAACAAAGGCCAATCGTCGTGCCCCTATTTCTTTCTTTAGCCACCTTCGGCGTTTCTTGTTAACTCTCACTAAACCAGTTTGGCAGGTTATAAAGGTCATCAAGCCTTTCGCTCCAGTTCTCATTTCTAAGCTTGCCCATCCCACCTCTCCGTCTTACAGGAGGAGAAGGCCAACGATCTCGTCTTCGCTCAAAAGCTCGCCTTTCGAGTCGACGTCTTCGTAAACGACGCCCTGGGGCCTTGTAGCCAGGCGACCGCCTCTGTTTCTGGGGTTCCCGTCTTCGTGGGGCGGAGAATTGCGGGTCTCCAGCTCGAGAAGGAGCTTCGCTACTTGAACTCACTGACGTCCTCCGCAGCAAGGCCCCTGCTTGCGATCGTAAGTGACAACGTTCGTTGCATGGTGTCTTTCGTTCGCCGCATTGTAAACTGCCTCAATCTTTCCAGTTCTTGCACACGTTGATTCCGTTGATTCCACCGATCGGGCGGCAGAATCCTGAGAAACATGCTATTGATCATGCGAAGTTGACGTTGGAGACTTTGCAACATGGTTGCGCTCTCCTCGTTTTTTGCAATGTCGCAGTGCGTGTTCTCTGACCTTGAAACAAAAAGCGCCTGAGCGAATGACGGCTCGAATTACTCGCAAAGACCGCTCTGCTCTGCTTGATATGGTAGCACTGGTGTTTCGCTTCAAGTAAGGGTATCCAACGGTTCAAGTGATGCAAAACCTTCCCGTGAATGCTGTTGAATGACAGAAAGCTCAAACCTTTAAAAGTGAATCAGAAGATTGACGTCGGACAGATAACCTACACCTCTCGTCTCATCCAGGTTGGTGGAGGCAAGCTGTCGACCCGGTTCCCTCTTCTCAAGTCCCTCATCGCCCACCAAAAGTGCGACGCCATACTCCTTGGCTCCGCTCTTTCAGCTCCGTTCCTTCGGGCCCTGGGCTGGAGGACGGGCGGAACCCCAACGGAAGCGGGCTCAACGGAAAGGGCGACGGAGCTGCTCGAGTTGGCAGAGAAAGAAGGGGTGGAGCTTGTTTTTCCCGACGACGTGGTTTGCGGCGAGGCGCAGGTGCATAGCGCCAAAGTGAAAATATGCACTGCGCGGCACGTTCTGCACGGTGAGGGCTATGCGTTGTTTGCGCATCTCTCGTGCTTGTTGTGCAATTCCTGTTTTGTCCTTTCCTCTTTAATTTCGTGCACCTTTCTTCTGAATCATCCCGAATAGCTGGTGCTGAGTGAGCGATCGGTGGCACAGTATAAAAGCGGGGTCTGCTTGTCCGTCCATTACAGCGTTTGTATTCCCGTGAAAGACGAACGTTTGGTATCGTGCTGTCTTGGCCGTAAATGATCAGCAGGGCCTTTGAACAAAGCAAGATGGCATAGTGTTGATGTGGAGAGAACTCGCCCATTAGTTGCATATTTCGCAACAGGCGCTCACGCCGCTACTTTCTCTCTCGATCAAGCGTATCGGAAGCTGAGCTTTGGTGTCGAAGCTGGAACGGCGACCTCGAGCTGAACAAATGCAGCAACGCGTCGCCCTCTCAGCTCCCACTGTCGCGAAACCGTTCTCGTGCTCCCCACTTGACGGAGATTTTTGTTTTGCCAGCGCAGAGTGGTCAGCTATGGACATCGGCCCTCAGACGATCGACCATTATGCGCGACGTCTACGAAAAGCGAAAGTAAGCGCTGATCAAGTGAAAGCTCAATGTTATTCTCGAGAATCTGGTCGTAGTACCTGCAATCTGCTCAATGATTTTCCTCGTCCTGCGGATCCCTGCTTCTCTGGAGCCTTGAGGGCCCTTTGCACTCGCGTCTTCAAGGTATAACTCCGCAAATTCGGGCTCGTAGAGTTACCACACTCGAAGATTCCCCGCTGCTTACCTCTAAGGTTTCTTCTGGTTCAGAAAGTTCTCTTTCTTAGGGCTTCAGGGTTCTCTGCGAAGGATTTATCGTGCTGCTCTCCCGCTTTTCTTTCGGCGTCGCTGTCTTATTGTCGCTCGTGTTCAACCGTACCCCTCATTCCGTTCCTAGTCATTCCGCTCTGCTTTCTCCAGACCGTCTTGTGGGTGGGCGCCGTCGGCTTCTCCGACCGGAAGTCGTTCGCCAACGGAACGCTGTCGCTGGCAGAAATCGTCTCGGACCTAACTTGGGCGGGGACATGCACCAGCATCGTGCACGGAAAAGACGTCGAAAAGGCGCTCAAGTCTGTGCGCGGGAAAGTCTCGCACGTGGCCCTGGGGGGGTCTGCTACGGTGACTCTACTGACGGGGGGAGCGCTTCCTGGATTAGCAGCACTGGACGAGGTGAGGTGCCGGCTGCTTTTGAAAGTCTCAACCTGGAGCATTGTGTTCGAAGCGTTTCTGTAGAGGCCGAGCTTTTCTAACCTGTCAAATGCTTCACGGTTCCTTCTCTTTGCCTTGCGCAACCAGTGGCATCCGCACAAGGGCACGGCGGAGGACACTGTCGGCACTGGCAAGGGAGGACACACTCCGCCGACGCAGAGAGAATGAAGCTGTTTTACTCGCCTCAGGCAGTGCTGTCGATTCCGCGCGACTCAACTACTCCCAACTGAAGCGGTCTGACTTCGGCAACAATCTAAGCTGGCCGCGTTTCTAAAGCCAACTTTCGGTAACATTCCGAGCTGGCCGCATTTTAAAAGCCAACTTCTGGTGCCTCAGTGGGTCTCATTTAGTTTCACATATTTCGTGGAATAGGATAAGAGTGACGTCATTTTGAGGGACGCGCTCGACGCCTGACGTCAGACTTGTCATGCAGGAGCCCACGGGCCCACCAGACTGGACAAGCGTCTTCAGGGATCCGACGGCCTCGTTGACCGTCGACGTTGGCTGTGGTAAGACAACACTTTTGAGGCTCGGCCTTATGCTTCTTGACCCCAGAGGCGTCTCCTTTCTGTTCAGTGCAGTGCGATTTTCCCGCAATGATGCTGACCCGCGATGAGCATCGTTAAACCTTGAAGGCTCATTCCAGGGTTCTTACGAGATTCGTCTTAACCTTCAGCACTCTTGAAAGAGCGGCTTCTGGACGTCTCAGAACAGCGGTTGTTTCGTGAGATTACCCGTCAAGGCTGTAACCCTATCAAGGTCTTCATTTCCATACGAGGACCCAAGAATGTCGACCTTCTTTCCCCAACCAGCTGTTCGGTAGGAATGAGTAAGGTTGACTCCGTGCTCTAAACGACTATCTGCCATCGTGCTTGGCTTTCCCTCGAGTTCCCAATGTTTCTTTCCACGGCTCTCCCAAGTCAATTCTCCTGTTTACTTCTTGTATCGCGTTGGTTCTTCAGGAGACGGCGGCTTCTTGCTGGAGCTGTCCGGCAAAGGGTCCGGAAACTTTCTCGGACTGGACCTCTTCGGACACCTGGTGGACGCCGCAAACGCGCGTGCGCAACGTGAGGGCCGGCAGAACCTGTAAGCGCTCAGTTCCTCCAAGCAAGTACATTCTAAACCAAGAAGGGACTTGTCCGGCATAGACTTTGTACAATTCCTTGGAGTTTCCCTCTTTGAACACCTGGCAGACGCCGCAAATGGGCGCGCGCAACGTGGGGGCGGCAGAATTCGTGAGCACCAGAACCCCTTCAATCGAATGAATCTAAAACCAGAAAAGGAGGTGTCGTTAGAGAGTTCGGACCTCTTTGGACACCTGGTAAACGCTACGAGTGCGCGCAACGTGAGGGCCGGCAGAACCTGTGAGCACTCGCCCTTGCAACTGTCCTTTCGAGGTAAAGCGGGTGGTAGGGGTGGATCGGGTGCCTTGCTTCAGACTCAGACACGTCAGAAAAACACTTCGGAGAGCCGCAGGAATGTTTGATTGATTAGAGGGGAGTCTGTCAATAAGACCCGCTGTGGCGAATCTGGAGTTCCAGTGTATTCTGTCATTGTGGTTTTGTTTTATATAGATCGTCAGAGAAATGCACGCATGATATGCTTCGCACTTAAATAAAGTTAGTGTAGCATTCTTTGGTCCCCTTGGCATCAATCTATCTTTTGGGACCTCAGCCTTCTCGACTCTTATGGACATCTGTGCGCTCAACGTGCTTCGCTTCTTCCGTCCGGCCCAGTTCACACCCGCACAGCACAACGAGAACGCGCTCATGACCAGCACACGACTCTCAATCGTGACGTCACCGCGGGCCGATACCAACTGTCGTTGCTGACGTCATCACAGGTACTACGTGGCAGCCAACGCGACGACATCCCTGGGACCCATGCTGAGCACGTATCCCGGCGCCTTACAGCTGGTGACGATCCAATGTCCCACGCCCCAGTTCGAGGCACGTGGCCTCGGACGATTGGTTCTGCGGCAGCCCCTGGTGGAGGCGATTACTGAAAAATTGGTTACGGGGGGACGGGTGAGTCCTCTTGTCACGTGCAATGGTTGTCTTACCCGCTTCTTTATCGTGTCCATAACGACTCTGAATGTCTTAACATAAAGAAAGTTTCCTCGATCTGCAGTCCTCTTCTCATGCGCAAGCTTTAACGATCTGGTTTCAGCGGGTATGAGCACCCAATGTGCAACAATAGTATAATGTGTCCAATCATCCTTGTTGCAGTTATTCGTCCAGTCCGACGTCAACGACGTTGCAAGCAGCATGCTAGAAGAGATCCAGAAGCACGGCAGGGGACGCCTTGTTAATGATGAGGGTTTTCAGGGGCCTGGAAGCAGTCCGTTGACTCTATCCTCGTGGAAGATCAACCCGTTCGGTATACCCACTCAATGGGAGACGCACGCCTTGTCCAAAGGACGCGACATGTTTCGTCTAATGTATCGGAAACATTGACATTGACGTTGACTGTATGAAGGGATGTTTTTGCTCTCACTTCTCGATAACGAGACTCGTCAGGTGCTCCTTAAGTACAGACGGTCCTTCCAACAGTTGCTCATCTGCTAACTGAATTGACTTTGATCGAAGTTATTCCTGCCATGTCAAAGAAGACTCGGATGATGCCGCTTCAATCCCTTGCAGCCCAGGGGGTAGTCACGATATAGTCCGCCCATAAGCCTCTACAACAATAGCATGATACGATGTTCACTCGCACTCAAGTTACAACTCGCATTGTAATTGGAATCCACCATCATTGGTGATTTCAGTCAAGACTCCCAACCGCCCGCGCCCGGCAGACGCGCGGCCGCGGTGCGTGCCCGGTCCATTACGGAGGACGCGCACCGCGAGCTACAGACATCCGCGCGACATGTATATACTATATCCAACTGCCCATCATGGCATCAAAGAAGGGGAAGCGAACACCTCAATTCAAGATACGTGATGAGAAGAAGTCGAAATTGAACGGATCCTGCAAAGCACACGAGCTGCGTTGCTCAATACGACGGACTGTTATGCTCCCATATGAGTCCGATCAATTCTTGAGATGCATGAGGTACTCAATAAACGTGCCACTATATGAACGTACTTTGCAGGCCAGAACTCATATGCATGATCGATATAGGTCCGTCGCTCGATGGTTACACCGTCTTCACCAACCTATAGCCGGTACATTCGTACACCACTGAGTCGAAATTGCTCTGCACAAGAACCTCGTAGCCAGTTTGGGATAGGAGTCTAAGTCACCACCGGATAGGAGCACTTGGCTAGATCGAAGATGCGCTTGAGCAAATGACCGGGCAGACTCGGAAGCGCGTTCGCGCTGAGGCAACCGAGAATCAGTAACTGCCTCTCCTCGACAGCCGCTCGCACAGCCGCGTCATAGTCCGTCAGCGCGCCGTCAACGGCCCCCACATCGAACGGCTGGCATTTAGTCTTCCGATCGTGCTCCGCCCTCATGCCCGCTTCCACCACCTCTCTGGGCACCCGGAAATCATCCGATGAATCGTAGTTCTCTTTCAAGTTGCACCGTGTTTCGAAGTCGGCCCCGTGCAAGACCAGCAGGCGGACGTTCTCAAACCGACGCCGATACGCCGCCACGTGTAATGGCGTCATCTCTTGGGTACGCTGGAAAACCTCCCGCTTCCGCCCGTCCCAGGTGGGTTGTCTTTTCACGTGCACGCTCGCGCCGTGCTTCAACAGGAGCGCCAGAATCGCCGGGTCGTCGTGCGTCGCGGCTAGCATGATGGGCCAGGACGAATCGACGGGATACCGTTCGTAATCCCCCGAGAACTCGTGACAATTCGGATCCGCCCCAATTTTAAGCAGCCACGCAGTCAAGAGGCGGTTCTCGTTGCAGACGGCGACCGTGAGGGGGGTGCTTTCTGTTTGTTCGCCGCGCCCTTCTATGAATCTGTTGAGATGGTCTGGCGTGGTCCCAGCTGTCTCGAGACGTTCCAAAATCCGGAGCGTCGCTGGGTGGGAAGGGTCGAGGTAGGGCAGGAAATGGAACACGCTTGCACTGTCGAAAGGTTCGTTGTACCAGCAGGGCTGCAGTTTGAGGCATAGAGACGTCAGAGTTCTTCGCCCAAAGGCGTTTCCGTTGATGCGCTGAGAGAACATGAGATTTCTGAAGCGAACAGGCAAGCCGCAAAAGAGCATTTAAAGGTCTTCATAACGCTCAATTAGAAGCGCATTCCCATTGATGTGCTGAGAGAACAGAACGAGCTTTCCAAACCGAAAAGGCAAAACGCAATAGAGCATTGAAAGAGCTCAATGGAAGCCTTATTTAATGGTGATCTTGGGCTCAGGAGCGTTATGTTTGATGCGCCGACGTTACCAATTGTGCTTTCCAAACCACAAATGCAAGACGAAATATGGAGCAATTGAAATAGCACCATGAAAGCTTCGCTTGATGGTAATAGAGGACTCACTGGGGAGCAATCATGATCAAAGACGATGCTCAGAGAACCGGGCGAGCTACTGAATGTGCCGAATACTGGAGTCTAGATGTCTCTACTCACCGTCCCCCCCCTTCAAACTTTTAACCCCGTCTGTCGCCAGCTCAAAGCACTGTTTTCAGTCGCACCCCGCTCTTCGAGAAACAGCACAGCATTGCTTTCTGAAAGGCATCAATATTTGGCAGGGAAGGTCGTTGTTTGGGGCCCAGACGAACCTGCTTGGAGTACTGCGCCTCCAGCTGCCACGTGTCCCCCTGCAATTGGCCTCCGAGCCAGTCCAGCATGTCGTACGACTGGCACCAGGCTGCCAGCATGAGCGGCGTCCGGCCGAAGTTATCCTTCATCGTCAGCTGCGCGCGCGCGAGCGTTTTTGCGAGCGCCACGTCATCGCTGGCAGCGGCTCCTAGCATGTTCGGGACCTCGCCCTTGCTGGCGTCTTGCTTCACAACGGACCCGTTAGAGCTAAGAGCCTCCCCGTGTCCTCCTCGTCTTCGCCTGCGAGAAGGCGTGCATTGAAGTGAGAAAATTGATGCTCGAAATACATGCTCAGAAGAGCAGTTCAACCAAGGAAAGTGCTCGGGGGGAACCACTGGTTAACACCCGCTCGCACCGCTTTGCAACGGACCCTTTTCAAGAATTACGAACCTCCTCGTGTCTTCCTCGTTCTCGCTTGCGAGAAGGCGTGCATGGATGCGGAGTTGGGGTCAGAAGAACGGAGCGGATTGCGCAGCTCTAGTTGGGCACAAGACATACTTCTCGAAGTATGTGTCTAAAAGAGCAGTTCAACTAAAACCAGGGCTCGGTTGCACGAAAAATCTCAAAAACAAACCAATGGTTGACAATCGCTCCGTACCCGCACCCTAACTCCAAAACTGGAAAGCATCCTCCGGGAGCTTTACCTGAGTCAACATCAAAACAAGACTTACGTACGAGGCCTAATTGCGCCCAATTTGCTTCATAGAACAAGAGCTCTGAAATCATTAACACGCGCTTGTCGATGTGGTATGGAATCACAACGAGCACAAAGATCAGAGATGATTGGATGAAGTTGCTGGAAAAACCTGCTTCCAATAAGAAGCATGCCTGCTCGGTCCTCACCTTGATACCACACCTCCGCTTCCAGTCTCAATCCCCAACGCTTCAAGATGTTTTCAGCAATCCAGTTGATCCAAAACGCGTAGTCCCGGAATTCCTCGTTCCGGTCCCACTCGATTCCGGCGGCGTCCACGCTAGGCACCCACTGGCAATTCGACACGTGGCGGAACGGCTCGGCCATGTCCCAGTTGTCGTGTGCCATTCCGGCGGTGCTTTTCCATGGGTAAATAACGTTGAGCTTCCGTGTTCGCACGAAAGTTTCCTGCAGGGAAGAGAGACGACAGTGAGCAATCCCTTGCTGAAATTCTAGGCGCCAATCCGGTGGAAGAAGTTTGTTACAAATTACTGTGGCGTCGCTCTGCCTCCTGAATAGTTGGAGGCTCAGGTTTTGCTGACCTGAGTGGGACTCAAACCTCTGCTAAACAAAATTACGACTCTCTGAAAAGCTAGTGTCCCTATCAACGTCAGCGCAGAAACATTTCCAGATTTTCAGGTTTTAGCATGGTTTAAGACATCTTTTCTAATTTGGAGCAAAAGAAGCCTTGTGATGATGATGTGATACCAGAACATAATCAAGGCATCAGCTCTTCCATTTTTGTTACGTTCTTGCCGGAAAGAAGAATTGTCCTTCTCGGAAGTAAGCTTCCCAGAAAAGCAATCATCGACGCTGCTTTGCAAGCTCAAAAGCGTCCCGATGACAGCAGATACATAACAAGAAAAGGCGAGCGCACTGTGATATTTCTGAATCAGCAACTTGTTTCACTGAAACTTGAGAAGTGCGCGTTAAAGGCTGTTTGCAATTTGGTTCACCTGAAGCTCGGTAGGCAAAGCAAGAAACTCCGCTGAGCTGACAAAGAACGCCCCTTCAGGACCGAGGGGAAGGCCAACACGGTCCCGAACTGGATCTGTGCATCTTTCCACGCGCATTCCTGTGCGTTTGTACCGACGGACTTTCCAAAACAGCAGCATGGACAGATACTGATCCTTGTTGAGCTGTCGACCCTCAGCAAATCTGAAAGTTCCCTGAAGATACGTGTTGTAGCCCATGGTGTCTCAGGCTGTGCAGCGACTTCCACCCCTAGGGACGCAAGCTTCCTGCATTCAAATGACGAGTGATCTGCAAAGCTTCTGTCCAATTCACGCCTGATGCCTGCAAGCGCCAAAGCGCCGCGCTGCGCGCGGCCGCACTACGCGGCGCGGGTTTTGGCACCGCCATGACCCGCGGCGCGGCCGCGGCGCCGGCCGGCCGCCGAACTCAGTGCGGTGGCGGCCGGCCGGCGCAGTGCGGCAATTTACGCCCGCAGAGTTTATCACGGCCGTTCAAGAGACGGGAGATTCGGCACGAGCCTTACTGGTTGACCATTACGATGACGATCTGTGTAATCAATTCAACCTTTCACTCCAGAGAGCACTAAACTACGCATGGTAGACTCTGGCATCACGCAAATTGGCGGCCGATCCAATGCATTGAATATTGAGGCGAACCGTGCACGCTAGGTACTAACTAAGCTTGAATAGATGCCACGCAGCACATAACGGTAGGGCTGGCCAGATATGAATTGAATTGATACATTTGTCGAGAGTGAGTGCTCTCCCGCTAACAGCTTTGGCTATACGAGAACCGTCAACTAATGCGACCATCGTCAATCGTGGTCTTGGTGATCCATCCCGGCTTCCGTAACCCAAGTCAAGAAGTTCCGGTGGTTCCGCTCATGTTCCGCTGTCGTTCCGTTTGACCGGGAAAAGCTTTCTTCCCCAGGCCCTAGCCTGCTTCGACCTTTGCTGATTCCCCGACTGATTTGAGCGACGAAGGAATTCAAAAAATTGCATTTGTTATTTTTGCCAAATGCAGTGCACTTGGATGTGAGGCCAGCAATGAGTAGTCAGGAGTCAGGAGTCAGGAGCTCCCAGCCCCGCCCCCGTAGCGCCCACACGAAAATGGCACGCCCAAGCAGATTGAAGGTACTCAAAGAGTCGGGCTTCATTAGAAACGGTCAAGACTATTATACGCCAACGACACTAAGAAGTGTACTCTGAACACTACCCACGCTGCCCTGACAGGTCGCGTGCTGCTCATCGGCCTGCCAAGCTACCATTGACGAGTTGACTGAATATGAGATGGGAGGATTGTATCGGAGAAACAATGTCTACATCATCTCGACTTCTAATAGTTCTCCTTCGAGATTTGAAGTGAAACAAAAATCTTACTATTACACTCTTGTTATCTTGATCTATCGAGAATGATCAGGCGTTTCTATTCATTTCCCAGACGCGCTGATCCAAAAATTGGTCCAGCGCCGCCGCCTTCCTGAGGCGATTCAGAGCAATCCTTGGACTCAGGACCGACTTGATTTGACTAAACGTTCGCGGGACCGTCGGATCGAGAAAGGGTTTGGCTCTTGGGTTTTCTTAGAAGGTTTCCAGAAGGAAGTTGATTGCTCAAAGAGAATGCTATGTATGGCGCTATTCTTTGAAGTGCGGCGCTTGCCGCACGTCAAACATGTGACCCGGTGTGTAACATTGGAGGCGCTTAGACGCTTACGGTCGACCCACGGATTTGAACTTTGACAGGTGATTTGTCATACTCGTCCTCTTACGTTCAGAACTTACGTTCAGAACTTACAAAAAACCCTTGGTTCTTCGGTTTCAATACTGCCATTTATTTCTTGTATTTCTTGGGTCAGCAAAAAGCCTGGCAGAGTCAAAGGTACTGCAGGGAGAACCAAACTTCCACTCTTGAGTCACTCTCAAGGTGACTAGGATTCTGAAGCCGCAGGATCCTTAGTTTATTAATTTTTGTTCACGGGAAAACCAACCCGGCAAACCCAAATTTTGAGCTCTTTCCCGGTCCGTGATGTACGTTAACCCAGCTCATGATTCCTTTGCCAGCCAGAACTGAGCAATGCTTGAAAGACTGGCTTGCCCGACTTGATCTGACGGTCCGGCACACCCGGGCGCTTAACGTCTTGAACTGTGCGCGCAACATAGCTGCGCGGCCGCGCTCGGCTGTGCCGCGGACTTAGGGCGCGGCGGCGCGGGGTTTCGGGTTTTTCGAAAGGGGAGAATTCACACTTCAGATATCCAGCTAGGACGGATCCTCACAAAGCAAGCAGCATGCCTGGATTGCAACTGCGGCGCTGGCAACCCATTCTGGACCAGGCGGGGAGCTTCGAGGGAGTTTTGGAGGTGTCCTGATTGATGGTGTCGCTGCTCGCGGAGGTAAGGGTCTTCTTTATGATGACTTGGCTCATTTACGAGTCTGGTAGATTATCCTCTACAAGCTTCCTGCAAGTTCTTGGTTTAATTTTCAAAGTGCTGCCAATTTCCCTCTCTTGCTAAAAGCATGGGGTGCGTGGGAGTGTTTAGAAAAAAGAGATTGTAATTCAACAGTCAAAACTTGACGCGGAGCAGCATTGCCTTTTTACCTTCATATGGACACAAATTTTTCATTTACTTGATTATTTGAGATTAGAGGGTTCTAAGTAGTACTTCGGAAAGATAAACCTGGTTGTTGTGTAATGCTGCTATAGATCGAACGTGCACGCGGCGCCATCGATAAGTTAATGTACCACCAAGTGCTTAATGAGTTGACGCTGGCTTTCCACACCTTCCAGTAGCTTCCTGTTGACCACCTTATGATTGAAAGTTGAAAAAAGTTGAAAGGGTCTTTTGACATGCCCTTGAGTGTCCTCTGTTGGTCTGCAGCTTTGACCACCACTATAGAAGGCAGACGCGCTTTCGTGGACGGAGGTCCAGAATGGCCCGGTGTTGCCGCCCCGCTTCTAGATATGGGTGGAGCCTCGAAACACAAGTAGAGGGAGTCTCGCAAAAGGCGGAGACACCAGTTGTTTTACTGCGCGAAGGATGGACCAGAGGAGCACAACTGCAGCTTCTGCGGTGGTCATGCAAAAGAGGTCTGCAAGTGGGTGCTCTGCGCATGGTGGAACGTGAGGCTTTGGCAAAGCGCAAGGGGTTTCATGGAACTGTGGGGATGGGAGTTGCCCCTGTCGCTGGCAGTCGTCCGGTTGCTGTTCACAGCCTGTCCGATACTTCCTCTGATGAGGGGTTTCGAGCCGCTGTACAGGAGCTGTCTAAACCCCCAGCCGGCGCTACCAACGGCGCTCCCAGCCCGTCGTCTCCTGATAGCGCCCCCTCTAGTTTCCCCGACTCAGTTCCTCTCCACCAAAGTGAGGACGACGCCAGTGTCTCCAGCAGAACGTTCACTGTTGAGAAGGGACAGTCTCGGACCGCCAGACTGAATGGAGCTTCGGACGGTTCAGATGAGGCGCGATGGCAGTCGTCCCGGGGGGCGTCCAGCAGTGCTCCAAGAGACCCCTCTGAGAGATGGGAGAGGGGCGTCGTACGGCAGCGGCGGACAGTGGTCGATCGCTGGGTGTCTAGCGATGATGAAGAGGACTACCTTTCTAGGAGACCGGCACGCTATGAAAAGTGGGACCGCAGTCTTGCCAGCGAGTACTCAAACGCGGATCGCACTGATTTCAGGGGGCGTCACAGGCCTTGGGTCCGGGGGGCCCGGGCCCCGGTTTCGGAACCTGCGGAGGTGACAGGTGGCGAAGAGGGGGATGGACAGGTGGCCACGTTGCAGCGGCGCGTGCCGACAGAACTGTTGGCGATTGTCAGGAAAAGAAGGGCGCTAGAAAAAGCGCAGCAGGAAGGGTTGGCGAGGGGAAAAGTTTCGGACGTGCTGAAACAAGCGTCCAAATCCTTGGACGAATTAGAAAAGGGAAAGGCGGCACAAACCGGAAGTGTGACGATCCAGCTGGAAGGTGATGCATCTGAAGGAGGTGAGGGGGGGATATCGGGAGTGGAGGTGCAATGGGGGAGGCGCTGGCGGAAGGCGCAAGAGCATGGGTTGCAAAGGTCATTGTCGCGGCAAGTAATAAGACTCGCTCGGCGGAAGCAGCTTGATAAGGTAAGGGGCTTTTCTTGCACCTCCTTTCTTAGACGCGCTTGTCATCCAGTGCTTGGTGGTTCCAAGTGACCTTTTAGGCGCTATCTGCAATCACCGGGTGGCTCCTTGTGTTTGTTGGAGTCTGCTATACAGGTTTGTCGCCCAAGGCAGCTCAGCAGAATGGGTTCATGGCTGGCGCGTTGAACACAGCAGCCTGGGGCACCATTGCTTGGCGTGTTGTTGAGCATCTTTCACCTGCCAGTAATGCATATTCGACTGGGTTGGTGCAATCAATGTGACAAGAATCGGCTGTTTCCCACCGTTGAATCGAGCAACTGATGACTGGACCAATGCGTACCACTTGGCTTTCCGCAGGTCTTTGCAGCAGTTGAAGATGCAAGAACAAAGGGCCTGCAGCCGGATCGCAAGACCCTGAACGCGGTCATCGCGGCGTGCGCGCACTGCGGCGATCCTGACCGGGCGCGCGACGTGTTTACTGAGATGGTGGCGAAGGGTGGGCCCGGCGTGAACGAAATCGCTTACGGCGCGCTCCTTAGGGTAAGAACGTTTCGTTGGAATTTGGGTTTGTTAACGCGTAGAACTAGCATAACTCTGTGGTTTGTATGTTACCGGGCATGCATTGTCTTCACCGAGACGGTTGCAGAGGGTGGACCTGGCACGAACGAAATCATCTACGGCGCGCTTCTTAGGGTGCGGGTTCCCGAGATTTAACTTCGGGCTTGTTACGCCCACTGAATGGCGATTGAGTACTAGGCTCTGGTTCTGTGAATTTGGTTTATTCTATGCTTCGTGGAGTTACGGGGCCCTTTGATAGAGCCTGGCTGCTGCAATGAGACACGTCCTCAGTGAAATATACTTTCAACCCCGCATATGAGGTCCGTCTCTTGTGCAGGCTCCAAAAGCCTTGCATGTCTTTCAAAAGTCGCTGTGACCGGATGTGACTTGGCTCCTGTAAGGCCCTGAGTGCCGCTGAGGAAGCCCCGCAGTTGCTCAAGACTGATTCTTCGTCACTGCCCTGGCTCCCTCCATGCACCAGCACGGAATTTTCGAAGCTCAGACGAAGTTGCTCAATCGAATTTATTTTAACACTTTTCAGATGCTCAGCAGTAAGGTCTATGGAGTGCCTTTCCCGACAGGCCTTGGTTACTGCTGGACGCTCAACGCGGCTGCTCAGAAATGCATACCACTACCACAAACGCCCAACGTATTGAAGGAGACCTTTCGAACACTTTCAAGCTGTCAATACTAAAAAGGCCAATTTTCTAGATTCTTTTGAGAGTCCTAAGCTCTAGAGCTTTGAAATGTTGTGCAGGCATATGGGGCTGCCGGGCGTGTCGAGGAGGCCCTCCGATTGCTCTCTCTCATGAGCTCCCCCACCGCCCCCGGCGCGCCCCAGGTTACGGACGTCCATGTGGCGACCGTCCTGAACGCGTGTGCGGACGCCGGGGACTCGCTGCGCGCGCGGCAGCTGCTCGAGTCGAGGGGGACGCGGACAACGCTCGCGTACAACATGCTGATCAAGGTGTGTGAAAGGCCGGTGCGAAAAGGCTGTAGAGCTTCAAGGATGGCTAGGACCGTGTGACCTAATTTTACGCGTATAAGCATTTGCGTGTAGCCAAGTCCTGAAGAGGAGGGTTTTAGCATGCTGATCAAAGTGGGAATGAGCAACCGGAGATGTCAATACGCCACTCGCCTTTAATCAAGCTCCTGGAATCTGGCAGTGTCGAATGGCTGAATGATGATCAGTTTCTGCCAGGAGCATATGACATGCTGGTCAAGGTGTGTGAATGGACCAGAGCTGTGAAGTTCTGCGAAAGATTCGAATTCGGACCGTGCCCGGGTTCGCTTAGACGAAATGTCCAGGTCATACGTTTAAAATCAGTTGCATGCAGCGAAGTCTTGAAGCAGGATTTCGCTTCTTAACATGCTGATCAAGGGTGGGAAAGAGCACCAGAGGTATGAGTACTTCTCGTGGCTCCGATCACGCTTCTTGGATATGGTATCCTCTGAGTGCCTACTCGGTCCTCTTCATAAGTGCAAGGTCATGTTCTTTTTTGGAACCACTCAAGAACGTCCCGAGAGCAGCGCTCCGCGCTAGCTGTGATCCAACGACGCCAAGCATTCCGTTTGCTTGAGACTTTCTGGCCTTTTAACATTGCCCGGTGTTTTTCAGGCGCATGCTAAGTCTGCCACTCCTCTGGGAGCGCTGCTGATCGTCGACGAGATGCGTGCGCACGGGCTGGCCCTGGACCGCAACACCTACAACAGTTTGATTCTGGCCTGTGTGAATGGGGACAACATGCCCAGGGCGTGGGAGTTGCTCAAGGAGATGAAGGTGAGGTTTCATAACCAGTTCCCGCTTCGGCTTCTAGTTTGGGTACACAACTTTTTGCATTCTGCTTGGGAGCCGGGTTGAAGCATGGAAGCATGCTCGCAAAGGGAAGTCGCCATATCGTTGTAAGGTCCTTTGAAGAAAATGTTGGAGTCTTTGAGGGATTTGCCTAGATTTGGTGCGTTGGATTTTGAGCGGCCTTGTAACAGGCCGATCTTGCCGGTCTCATTCCATAGTGTTGGTGGACCTTGTCATCAGGCACTGTACACGAGCTTTCAAAATAAATGGTTGCGAACAGTGGTCCTCAGATGCTCGGTATGTTTGCTTACAAGTGCGAACTTTAGAATGTCGTCAGTAGCTAACCAACCCGCCCATGTGCACTGAAGAAGTCGAGCATCCGCTTCTGTCTTGAATCCCCTGCTTCCAAACACCAGTCCGAACCGCGAGTCCCTCATCGCAGTCCGTTCACAGCTTCCAGCGTCCTGAAACGATCACTTCCGCCCCTGAAATTGCGACAACAGCTTAAAGTAACCATGTCAGCAACACATTCGAAAAGCAGGAACAAAAATTGTAGGGGATTCAGAGCTGAAAATTCTTTTCGCCCGCAGTCCCGTTCTAAGTTCCTGGAGAGCCTGCAACTAGCCCCCGACGCCGTCACGTATACGACGCTTCTGCGCGGCGTTGCGCGCCCCGGCGCGCTCGCGACCGTCCTCCGCCTCGCCGAGGAGATGCACACGTCATCGCCCACGTGTCGGTTCGACCGGGTCGCGTACGGCGCGCTCTTGGACGCATGCATTAAATGCGGGTCCCCCGACACCGCGGAAAGCGTTTTGGCCGAAATGGAGGAACGCGGGCGCGAGGATCCGAAACTGCGCCCGGGACCGTACGCGTTCCTGACGCTGATGCGCGCGTTTGCGGCGGACGGGGAATTAGAGCGGTGCGAGGAGCTGCGCGAGGCGATGTTCAGCAGCCGGTGCGCCGGGTGGGCGACCGTCGCGCAGCGGCAGGAGGCGGACGAGCTGTGCCTCGAGGCGGCGGTCGCCTCAGGTTATGTAAGCGCCCCCACTTAGATAGAAACGGGCTCCGGTTCACTTCCTAGCGTTCCGCCGGTCGAGAATCAAAAGTGTACTTTTGCAGTCTGCCAAAATTTCTGGTTTTGGATTCTTCTTGAACGTGTCGTGCCAAGAGACAATGGTCGCGCAAGGACATGTGATTACCCTCTCGTTTCCGCACCCTCAAGCGAAAAGACTGCAAGCTTGGAAGGTTCCGTTACTTTCCTCTCTTCGTTCGATCATTCCTGAATCTTCAATCTGCGAAGGTCGGTGACGCATTGCTATCGTTCCTTTTTATAAAATGATCGGTCTGAAGCGCGTCCCCCGCTTGTGACGGCCCCTCTGCGGCGTATGTTCGCATCCTGTCTTTCTTGCATGGCTGTACATACCCTGGTCAGCATGCTCGTTGTTAGTTAAGCGTGCGACTATCCTATTCGCTCCTTCCAGGCTTCTTTCCTGGCTTGCGCTTCACGAGAATGGTGTGAAAGGGGTACCTCTCACCCTTGACCACATATAACCTTTGCGGAATGCCATTCTTAAAGTTCAGTCACAACTTCTGCTACTATACGTTCCTAAACCCACCATTTATTTTGTCACAGACCGGCCCCGCCAAGCGCCTGCTGCGCACCATGAAGGCCGTCAAGGAGGGCCGCTCCCTCTCGCAGCGCGCCACCGCCGCGCTCGTCCGCTTATACGCCTCCGAGGGCTTTCCGGCCCAAGACTCTTTCCGGCTGCAGCCCCTGAAGTTCCGGAAGGACGCCTCCCCAGCTGCGCGTGTGGTGACGAGAAGCCTTCCGGTTATTCCGGAGCTGATGTTTGTGACGGAAGACAAGGACTTGGGAGAGGTGGCGGTATTGCTGGAGGAGACGCCGGTGGTGCTGGTGGTTCGTGGGCAACCGGCCGAAGGAGGGACGGAGTTTGTGGGGTATCTGACCAAGGCGGAACTGCGAGGGGTGAGTTTTGCAATTATTAAGATTTACGTATACTGCCTTTGTCTAGGTTTTGCGTCTCAAATGACTGCAGGTATGCGGACGTCCCTTGGCTTTGCTCGGCGCGGTCTGGTATCGGCGTCGTTGACGTGTTAGGCCTTCCGGAGGGACTGCGCGTTTGAAAGTGTTTGGAAGCGTGCACCTTCGTGCATCGACCGTACTCTGTCGGAAAACGCGTGTGCAGCCTCTGATCAGAACGCAGGGAAGTCCAATCAAGTTCGTCTGGTTTCAGAACGTAGGGACCATTAACCAGGTTCGTCTAGTTTCCCGGTCAGTCACGGCGTGATCAAGTAGAGTCAATTTTGCACCGACTTCGCTTGACGTCGTGCATGCCTGTGGCTTGTCCATGGCTTTTACGACGGAGAGCCATGGTTCTGGCGCTTCAAAACAGTCTACTCTGCTTAACTTCTGAAATACGAGTGTCTTTCCAGGGGGATCGCCAAGTAGCGGAGCTGATGCGGCCGCTGGCCCCCCCGATTGCGTTCGACGACCCCATCTCTCACGCCGCCACGCTGCTGCTGCAAAGCTCGAGCGAGGTCCTTCTGGTTGTCGAAACGGAGCCCAGAAGCCGTTCGAGGGGGCAAGAAACGCAGCCAAGCAACCCCCCCGGAGGCAAAGCGCTGGCGACGGTAGTTGGGATTGTGACACGTGGCCAGCTGTTTGAGGGGGTCTCTGAGGGCGGGGCGTCTTCCGGGTACCAGAGCGACGACGAGTCCGGTCTGGAGATGATCAAACAGGACTTGAGCAAGCGGGGGGCGGTGGTCTCCCCGCATAATCCGGAAGAGGTTCCGCGTAATCCGGAAGAGGGGCGGGCGTTTCCCTGGAGGTCCCGTCTGGCACAGTTATTCAGAAAGGGAGAATTGAGCGAACTAGAAGGGGCGGAAAGCGAGGGGGAGATGGCGGTGGAAGACGATCTAGGGTTGGAAATGATCCGCCAAGACATGATGAAGTTGGACGGCGGTCCGGTCGGGAAGAAGAGCGGCGCGAAGAAGGACCAAAAGAGCAGGCGGGCGCTATCGCGGCTGGCATATCTGGAAGGACTTGACCTCGACACGGATGATTTGCTCGGGGCAGACAAGAGGAAAAGCTGATAATAGTCTGTCCTAGGCTGCCTCGTTGTTATGTTGAGATGACTCCTGACTTTCAGTAGACGCGTTGTGCTTGACAGTTCGAGTCTTGTGAGAAATCTTGATGTGTTATTTCAATCGAGCATGGTGCAACACGTCATCTAACAGGATATCCGATTGTTGAGGCCAGGCTACAAAGGACACAAGTAAGTCGCTGCTGAACCTGCACTTGGCATACTCTTGATCTCATCGATTCACTTACTCCATTCACTGGACATTGAATGTTAGTAAGCTTGATGCTTCTTATGTGTATGGCCGGACTCTCAGATCAATCATGGGCCTGTATCACTGATGATTACGAAAGGGTGTGAGCTTTCAAATGATCAGCAGTGGGGCAAATGATATATTCAGCGCAGGCGAGCCGTGCGCTCGCTGTTGTAGCGTTAGGAGATTGAGCGCGAGCGTTAGCGGCTGCTCGAAGAGCCATACATGGCATACGTAATCTACCAAGGCAATCATCATCGGATGTTTACTTCAGCTTTACCTTACCGGCCATAACGTTCGACGAATGTGACTGCAGCATGTAGCGACCTAGACCGTTGACCCATGAGCAGGCTACATTCAAAGCTACTCTCCTGGTCGCATGCGTTGGTCTGATGTGCATATGCCGCTTTATGCCGGTGACGCGTCATTAAATCTAAAGGGGCACTTTGTAGCGCGGCGCCCGCGAGTGATTGCAAAAGAAGGATCATAGATTGACTGTAGCAGCTAATGCGCCGCCTATGGACGTCACATTTCGGGTATCATGCCTGCAGGACATTGGAAACAGTTTAACGACGTACTTGAAGCGAAGCGTTGCTTAAGATTTGCTTTTTGGCCGTTGCTTCCTCTTTACCCGGCTCTGGTTGCTGTACGTGAATAAAACCTGGCTTAGGGGAAATCTATCCTGCTGAACATACCCGGACATAACATACCATACCCGGACATAACATACCCGGACATACCTGAACATAACGTGACCTCGTGCTCTGCACACCGTTGAGGCGGGCTCAGGTGCTGCGGCGCCCGCGGGTCCGGCCGGCTGCATACATACAATTGGACTGCCTTTTCTAAAATGATCCATTGACGTTCAAAATTAAGCATCAAATTGGCCCCAACATTGGGGCCACTCCGCACCTCTCTTGTTGGGCGATAGGATTCTCAGTAAGCAACCGCCGCGCGTCAGTAACGGGGAAGCTCCGACATCAGAAGTGTTGAGAACGGACAGCGTATCATTGCTGTTAGCTCGGCACGTGTGGCATCAGAACAAATTGAAGAGGGGCGTTCACCAGGCGCCGGGCAGGCGCCGCTATTTTTCAGTTCCGTTCCTATAATCTTGAACTTTGAGGCAACGCCTTTTAGCCGGGTAGAAGAACTTACATAAGAATCATTACGTCCTTCGATTGGTTTTTATGATTCCGAGCGGTCGTGAGCATCTGCACTAGAAAGGAGGCCTCGAATTCCGGACACCACCTTGCAGAAGCCGACTACGACGAGCCCGCACCAAGAACAACATTATGCAATATCAAACATCAGGCCCCAGCAATGTTAGCTGGCAACCTTAGAGTCCATCCAAAACTTTCTGGCCCTAAAGGTTACCCGGCAAACTTGTTCACTCTTGACTCTTTTTTGTGGATTAGACGGTTAAAAAATTCAAAAGCAGCGAAGAGTATATAGTTGCAGACGAACAAGTCCTACCAAGTTACTAGTACAAGTTGCATTCTGCTCATATCATCTATGGTTGCCAATGCCAAGCTGCTGATACCGAAAATACATGAGAGACACCGCTGATTGATATCAACCTGGCTCAGTGTGGCTGAAACATAATTATATTAGATTCTGCAAGCTCATCTGTGCAAGGCGAGTGGCGCTGAATCACTGAGTCAAGCAGAGATTGAATCAGAGACTAGCAAACAAGGTCAGCGCATGCAGAAAAGGGCACGATCATGGTTACTACCCTTCAACAAGTCGAGAAGCATTTCAGCTTCGTTTTGAAGGAGCACTTGCATCTGGTGCTGGTGTAATATCCGCTCTTGGACGAGGTCGAGCTCCCACACTATCATGTCCACCATGTCTGGTTTCTTCAAGACAGACTTCTTTCTGGCTTCTTCTTCGAGCTCCTTCTCCCTCTTTTGCCATTTCAGAATCTTCTCCTCGTCTCGTAGAAGCCGTTCTCCAAGCTCTACGAGTTCTTTTTCAATGAATTCAAGGGACAACGACATGGTGTGAATCTGAGCTGTCTTTAGCCTTCAGTAACCTGCTTTGCACCTTCGCCCGTCTGAGCTGTTGCCAAGATTGAGGCGATGAAGCGACGCTGCCTGTTTGCACAAGGGCCTTTCACGATTCTGTGTGCGCGCCTGTGCGCGCCGCGCGCGGTATTTGATTGATGACTCTGGAAAGTTGCACCGGGGGCGGCCGCGGCTGGAGGTTTAGGCGAGGTCAAAGATTTTGAGGGCGGCTTCGACTATCTGCACCGTTCGATGCAGCTGCTGCGTACGATCGCACGGCAGCTGTGCTGCCGCTCAGGGTTTGCTCTTTGATTTGCTGCCGCACTCTGCCGCGGCTGTTCATCCGTCGACAGTGTGAACACTGAAATCTTCTGAGTGCTTGGTCACGTAGCTTGACTGATCGTGAGATCGTCAAAACTTCTCATATCTTGGGGGCCGCTTCGCGACTGCACAGCTGACAGAATGCTGTCAGCAACTTTGCACAACAAGGTGCAGATACGCAAGCTTGAAACAAATGACTTTGAACAAACCAAATTCTGCTGGTTTGCGGTCTATGTCAAATTTGACTGCTCGTGTTTCTTCATTGCCGTTAGGTGCATCTGCAAAAGCCTTTAGGAGTAGTCCCATGCGGTTCTGCGAAAACGAGCTGTGGAATGAGCAGAAAATTAAGGCTCCAAGCTATCAAGCTAATCCCAGAATGTTACAGACATGAGTTGCGATGTAATTCCAGGGACAAAAGGAAGATTTCAACGCCTATTCACGGGCCGGGTGCTCCTTCAAAGAGGAGAACCATCGACTGCGTCGAGCAGGTCCGTCAAGGAAGTAATAGAAAAAGTTCTCTGGAGGCTAAGTCAACAAGAGGAAGTCAACAAGAATTCAACGAGAGGAAGTCAACAAGAATTCAAAAAGAAGAGTCGACAAGAAGTCAACAAGAGGTCACGAGAAGGTCAACAACAGGAGAGCAGGAGCAGCCCCGATGACGAAGTGGGTGAGCTTTGGAAGAGCTCGCTTCAGCGTGGCGGCAGAAGCTGATCAATCAATCAAGAGTCACACGGTGCTCAATCTGTTGGAGTGGATTTGGTTCAGAAGCATGCACGAGATTGCAAGAAACGATGGTGAAATTTTGGAAGCATCAGCCAGGGCTTTGGGCAGGTTGCAGTGGTTTGTGAACAGATTATTGCAAGAAATCGTTAGATTAGAGTGGTAGAGCAGGTGGTCAGCAGGTATGCACATAGCTATAGCAAGGATTGCGGTTCTAGTTCATTCCCTGTGTCCATCGTTTGTTCATCGATAGAATGCCCCTGCGCTTTGCCGTGCAGAAACGACACACTTTCTTCGTCCAACCGGGTCATTGTCCAACAACATCAGGCGGATCGGGTGGATCGCGAAAAGCTGGCTTCATCGATAGCGGTCGCAGAAGTTGGCCCAAGAACTAGAGGTGAGTGAAGTGGTGTCTCAGATGCTGCCCTTCTTGCTGTCTGGCGCCCGGCGCCTCCGGGCGTCTGGCGCCTCCGGGCGTCGGCAGCTCAGGCTGTCGGCGGCTCCGGGCGTCGGCAGCTCCGGCTGTCGGTGGCTCCGGCCGCTTACGTCTGCGGACGGAGGGCTTAAATTTGCCCGACAGCAAGGGGGGCAGCATCTGAGACACCACTTCCATATCTTTCTGGGCTTGACTTGTCGCTGTAGTGTTATGATTGAAGTGTGGTTCTTGAGAGTGCTGCTTTTCGGAGGTTGATGAGGTGAATGAAGCTGCTGCTTTTCCAAAGCTTCGTGTCAAATGCTTGCGGATTAGTCTTAGCTTGCGGTCTTGGCTTGGCTTGGAGAGGACGTTCTCGTGCTCAATGTATTGAAATGGGTTTTGATCAGCAACGTGCAGTCCTCGGACAGTTGATGTTGCAGTGTTGGTAGCAGCAGCTAGGCTTTGATAGGTTTTCGTGATTTTGAAACTCGGCTCGTCATAGCATGATATTCATGTAAATAAGCTAAGGATAGGATTCAGACTTGGACCATGTGCAGCTTTTCAAATGCATGAACGAACTTCATTGAGAGGGGCAGATCGGCTTTGGATTCAATCAGACGGCTACGCTGGAACTTAGCTTTCTGGACCATTCGAGCTAGACGAGCATGGGTCGTCGAACCACGGAACTTGATTTTGTTGCACCAAGGAACTAGCCTAAGCGCCATGTTCGGACAGCGCATGATAACAGCATGTCATGCAATCATTTGTCATGACGCAAAATTAAATGTTCTACTCCAAAGATAGAGTGTCTGATACTCCGGTTCGGTCGCGGGCCCCATGGAGGTAAAGCTCAATTGAAAGCATTCCCCGTTGCATGTGTACCAACCAGGGTGCCCTCTCTTCTTTGCACCCCGGCAGTCTGCAGTCACCTGTGCTTTTAGTTCACGCCTTGTATAACAAATTCTACACAAAAGACGGTCACACATGTGACCTTCCATATGCTGCGATGGGAATTTCGATATACATCAGGTCGAGTCTCCGATCGAGTTGATTATCAGCTCACCGCTTAATCATGCATGCGCCCATGTGTGTCCTAGATAAAAGCTCATGCGTTGAGTAACTTACGATAAGAGTACGTTTGGCGCTTCTGGCCACGAATACACCGTGCCACAATCAGGTCCATTCATATTCGAGCTGTCACGCGTGGGTCCGAAGACTGGTCAAGGTTGCGGGCCGACTCTAGCGAGTCATCAGTTGGCTCATGTCGGATGATCTCATTCATCGGTGTGCAAAAGACGGCCACTTTGGATTGTGTACAAGCGAGCATCTAGAAGTCTCTTGGGCCAGAGGAGAAATTGCATTTGGCATGCGCACATGAGCAACGTTAGTGGTCGTTATGTTAACCTACGGTCACGGTGTTAGTATAGACGATAAGCATCAGCAGCGAAGAGTCCTAAAAGCTGAGCTGAAGTACAACTGAGTCAGCTAATCCTTCATCATGAGGCTCTTGCTTTGATCTCTTCGAATCAGCAACGCAACCAGCGGTAGCAATTCCGGAACAAGCCGGCGTGCACCCGTCACAGGAAAGCGCCCCCTCCGTCGAGATAGTGGCCCGACCGCGTTCCGACCCGACCGCCTAAACCCCAAAACCCTCCGCTGTCTCGTTGGGCTCAACATCGCCTCGAAGAGCGCGTCCATCCGAACCTGCTTCCTGAGGCAACCCACAACTCTCCTCCGTTGCACCGTGTCACTAACGTGCCCCTCCCTGCGAACGGCTGACCCTGTTTCTGCTTCAGGGCCGCCTCCGCGCCGACACGTGTCGCAACCTCTTTGGCTCTCCTCAGCCGCAAGCTCCTCTTCCGCACTTGTGCCTGAGCAACGGCTGAGACTCTTGAACGCGGCACCGCTCTCCAGCGGTCCGCTTAAGTTCAACGGGCCTGAAAACGGCCCGAATCCTTTCTGCGGCTCCGCACACGCCACGGAACCGAAAGCCGTCACTGCAAGCTGGTTGGTATAATCTAGGTTAATCCCCTCTTCTCCGGCCCCAACATCCTTCTTAATAGCCGGTCTCCGAGCCACCAGAACCTTCCTCCGGTTGCCGAGCGGATTTCTCTCGACTCCCGGGGCGGAATCTCCGGTGCCCAATTCAAAAGCCGGGACGGCTGTCTTCTGCGCCGGTTGTTCAGCGAAAAAGCTCGGTCCTCCTTTAGTTGCTTCGAACTTGACGGACGTATTCACACCAGGCCGCTCCGAACTCGTTGCATTGCTTCTTGCTACCGGGTGCGCTGAGTCGGCCCTCCTCATCCTCGGATCCGTTTCCGCTTGGCAACCACCGGAACCCGGCGCTCCCAGAACCGCTGACGTCACGCCCGCCTCCGGTGACGTTTGCCCTGCTGCCCGGCCAAACCCTCCGAAACCCGCAGCTCCCGTCGCCCTCAACCGCCGCACTTCGTCCTCCAGCTCAGACACCCGTTCTTTGTACGCCTTTTCGGCCGCCTCCTGGTGCCTTTTCACACCCGCCAAAACCTCCAAACCCTCCGCGAGCTCCCGCTGCAAACCCGCGCGCGCCCTCTGGGACTCGACGAGCCGCGACAGCGCCGACTCCAGATCTTTCCGCGCGCGCGCCCGCGCACTTTCCGCCTTCTCCGCCTCCGCAGCCGCCTTCTCCCTTGCCACTTTGTCCCACTCGTATTCTTGCCGCCAGAGCCTCACCTCTCTTTGGAGCCTCTCGTTCAGTTTCCGGACTTTCTCGTTCTCCGTTCCAACATCTTCATTCTCTTTACGGACGCTCTCGTTCTCTTTTTGGACGTTATCCTTCTCTTTCCGGACGCTTTCGAGGTCCATACGGCAGGCCGCCAGCCGCGATTCGGACGCCCGTAACCCCTCCGCTTTCTCCTTCATCGTTTTCTTCACGTTCAGCTGCGCGTTTGCTAGGTCCGCTTTCAGCCCCCTCGCCTCAGCCAGCGCATCATCGCGCGCCTTCCGTAAACCCTCCAAACCCCGCACCTCCTTTTGTAGCTGATCCCGCTTTCTTTCCAGACCCTCACACCCCTTGCGGGCGCTCTCCATGGCGACTCTCAGGCTCTGGACTTCGGCGAGGGCGTCGCCCTTTTCTTTAGCCAGGGCTTCTTCCTTGTCGACGTGTTCTTCCTTCTCGGACGCATGCTTTTGAACCAGGCCCGCCAGCTGGGCTTCGTGCTCCTTGGCGCGGCTGTCGAGCAGCGCAGTGAGGGCCTTGTTCTCATGTGAGAGGCCAAGCATTTCTGACTTCAGCTTCGCAACCTGCGGATAAGACACGAGAGTCAGTTCTGGTTGCTTCCTTACACAGAGTTGAGCTGGGACGCCTACTGATTGGTCAGAAGGAAAAGGTGATACCTGCAAAGCGGGACCAGATTATTGAGCTTGATCGTAGTACCAACGAGAAAGAACGGAAAGTTAATTGGTCTTGGTCGAATCACATTGCCACCTTCTTTGTTCTTGGAGTGTGTGTGCACCACGCACTTCCATAGAACCCACCCGAACCAAACGGGAATGGGTCGTAAATGTCAAAGGCTCTTTGTATACAGCTATCCACGACAAATGGCAGGAAGATCTGATACCAAGTAGCTATCTGTCTGTAACAAAAGTAACCGAATCGAAGAGAATAATCGACAAGAAGACGATTATACAATCCGAATCGGGAGTGAATTTGAAAAGCAGGGATAGCACAGGGGCCAGACTCAAAAACACGAGCGCGGCCCCACCTCTCCTTGGTACGTGCTGTGCTCCGCATGTCTGCATTCCGCGACATACGCCAGCTTTCCCTGCAGCTGTGCCACCTGTCCCTCCACATGCGCGGCGTGCGCACGCGCGCTTTCCAGCTGGGCGCGCGCCCCCTCCAGCAGCGCGACCTGCTGATCCTGGGCCGTCTCCAGCGCCCACTGGAGGCACTCAAGGCGACGCTCCCGCGATCTCGTCGTTTTGGGAGTCTTGAGAGGCTTAGGGCTTGCCTGGACATCCAAAGCTTTGGGGTGTCAGAATCTTTGGAGACATACAGTGAGCAAGAGGAAGTGGGGCAAATGACGAGCTTGACTTGGCTTCTGTGGAGCAGCTTGAATCTGCTGAGAGAGACTCGGAGGTATCACCACTGGAAAGGCACAAAGGTTTCATTTCTGAGTTGACGGCTTAGGAGCTTTGACCATGATAACATGGGAAGTGTAAGCTGGAACACAAGCACCAGGAGGAGCCAAAGTCCCAGAGTACCACAAGAACGGATCCAGAATACTATCATAGAGCACAGGCGAGCACGCCTGAAATCGAAATTCATTCTTCAGCTGGCAATAAACAGAGTCGAAGGAGCCGACTCTGCTTATGAGGTCAAACACTAACGGGGGGTGCGGTGTTGTCTAGCTATGTGTGTACTGTACACAGATCCTGAGCAACAGCCATTCTGGTCTTAAAGAATGGGCGTACATGACAGCACCTCGTAACGACTTCAGCACCCTGTTCTTTGAAATTTTTGAAAACGCATGAGGCCGGTGCTCAAGATCCAGGTGTATGTATTCTCAGAATCTTACAAAGCGCACGAGTTGAAAGACGGCCGTCGTCACAGCTGTCACACAGGTCATGCATGTTGACAGGTGGCAACCAGGCTTCAATTCTGAAGTCCCGCCAGCTGTGAAACCTGAGAAACCCACAACTCTACTTTCACTCTGACTCTCATTGACAGCCTTCCTGAGCGACATTGCATATACAAAACCTAGCCAGGCCTGGGGGCTAGTAGGATCACTCAGGCTACGGAGCATGCAAAGTTCTTGATCAGCTTGGAGAGAGAATGCCAATCTATAAGGCAAGGACTGGTCCTTCAATCTCAGGTTCTCACCATGATAAGCGCCCCATCTCTACCAGGGCTCCTGTTCTCTTTCAGGTCATAGAAAGGGTCTTCTGGCAATGCGATCTGGAGCCTAGCCTTGGCCATGCTGACATGCGGGCCCCACAAAAACCTGCAAAGCACAGTAACAAAGCAATGTTGTAGACCGGTTTGTGTATCTATCTTCCACAGAGGGTCAACCTATCATCTGCAAAAGGTGCCCTTATGGGTTTGACTCTAGTTATAAGGGGTTTGCGATAGCATTTTAGCCAGCAATGCAGCATGCATTATACAGCCCTCATGGTCAAGAATGTTCAACTTTGTCCCAGTTTGCTTGCTAAAAGCCAGCCTCTATCTTCCTAGAAAGAAGGGGCAGTCTGAATGGCGTTTGTTGCATCTCGTCTTGCTCATGAGAAAGGCGCGTGACATGCATCTCCGGAAGTCAAACACTTCTTGAAACACACATGATCTATGCTGATTTCCAGTTGAAGCACACTAGAGGGAAGGTAGTGAAGCAGCCTACCTTGTTCAATGGATGCTATGATCCTTGTGTGCAATCTGATCAGAAGAAAGCCTGGGTGTTGGCTCAAAACTGTTTTGGTCAATCTTGTGCTTTCCTGATCCTCTTACAATCCAGTGAGATCCCTTGCAGCTAGAAAGAACAAAGGTTCCAAGATACTCCAATAAACAACATGCTGCAACAAAACTGATTCATCCTTCATTAGTACAGGCTTCATGAGGGAAACTGGATGTCAATTCTGGCGAGGAGATAAGTGAGGCCCTTGCGGCAAATGAGGAGGAAGCATTCCGCAGTGGTCTTTTCAATTGAGCTGTGCTTTGAACGGTAGGTACTGCATGATTCCATCATGCATTGAAATTATCACCATGGGCTGCTCTTTCCAGAATCCATCTTTCCAAGCCATGCAATTTGGGCAGCGGTTTGCAACAGCCATCGCCCTGGCAGCACCATCGTTCTTTCTTAGGCACCAGTAGACTCTCCCGAGCCCTCAATTGGCCCTGCGTGCTTGGTCGGCAAGGGTGCTCCAGGGACCACGCAACGTACCGACCACTCTCTCCCTCCAGCGCCAAAACATTCGCAAACCCTAATTTTCACAAGCTTGCTCGTCTTCATGCAGGCGGGGTACTGATCTTCAAATTTTCTATGGCGCATCCTCCGTTTGTCCTGGAAAAATTTCGACGCTAATGCTAGAGCATGGCTATGATTCAGAGTGTGACTTTATTTCAAAGTTTGTTTGTTATAGTATAGCACAATATAGGCTAGCCTGAGATTGAGTTCTAGGGGGCTTGAAGTTGGGGGACGGGTTAGCTGGTTCTTTTTTTTGGCGACGTTCTTTTCTGCACCAGCATGCAAATTAGGATGCGCCTTTTGGAGCCCACACATTCTGACTTTCTCTTCGTGCTCTTCACGACGTAGAGAGTACATACTGCTGATTGTAACCCTTTTTACACGCCACACTACTTACATTGACCTGATAAGAGACAGCATTGCATCCTTGAAGCTGAAGCATGGCCCAAGAAACCACAATGGCCCCAGGAGAGATCCCTACATAACACACAATGCTGCAAACTGGCTTAACCTACAAAGATTGACAAGGTGAAGCTTTGATACTTTGAGCTTTGGGCATGCGCTTTGAGATGGGGCCAGAGCTAAAGGCGGGTGGGAAGAACATAACTGTGTAGATGAGTAGGAAGTTCGGGCCACAGAATGAACGTGAGGGAACTATGGCAAGTTGGGCGGGTTGCAATGGCTCCTGGAGGCCGTTCACACTTTGAGGGCAGGAGGTGACAGCAGCGGCCCTTTTCCTTCCTGGTAAGGAGCAAGAAGCAAAGTCCGACAAGCATCTCCCAAAGGGCAATGGTTCTGAATTGGTGCTTTGAAGCAGGTTTGCAACCTCAAAGGATGGCTTCCAGCTTTGTTTAGCGTGAAGTGGGGTGAGAATGGCGTGGGAAGTGCGGCACGATTTCATCAACTTCTTATGGGTGTGGGGGTTGCGTCAAACTTTTCCACGGGCGCTCAGGCCATGTATTTCAGGCGCCTGTGATTCCCGATAGCAATTGCCCAGCTATAGTCGAGCCACCTGCCCTTGGTACACTTCAAGGTTCGATGATTAGGCAAACAGATAGCAATATTGCTAAATGAGTCCGGTGCTTAAAGGGGTATCTTTGTTCTCGTGAAGCTCTTCATACTTTTGAGACCTTGTCCCCAAGCGCACAGTTTTTCCTGATTGGGGGCGCACCTCTCCAAGACGCCGAAAGGCAATGCTCGCTCTCCTTATAACAGAGACTGCTTTCATCACCTTTGACTGCATCGTTTCCACCACTGTCCTAATACACCAACTTTCGATTCAGCATGTGGAGCAGATCTCTGCAGCAAATTGCATCAGCGTGCCCAAAGTCCAGATTCAAACTAGCCTCCTTGAAGTCTCACCAAAAGTCGGCCCCATCCCTTGCTGACGCTTCCAAATCCTCGCCGAACCTCATGTAACCATTAATCAGTCTCAGCTAACCCCCACCCGAACCTCGTGTTAACCGTCGTTAAATCTCCATCAAAGCCCTGCTAAACCCCTCAGATCCACAGACAATCGAGAGCTGACCCCTAAAACGCCTCTGGCGTGCCTCCCCTACAGTCCCACCAAACGTCGGCTCAATTTCCGCCAAAGCTCCAAAGCCCCCACCAAACCTCACGTAAACCGTCGGTAGACCTCAGCTAAACCCCTGCCAAACCTCCGCTTCCCGCAGCCAATGGAGGGTTATCCCCAAGAGCGCCTCTGGCGATGCCTCCCCGTACGGCCTGCCCCCGAGCACGAGGCAGTGGCCGTGTTTGGGAGCCTCATCGCGTGCGTAAGCCAGGCCAAAGGGAGCGTACGGCGCAACAACGGCGAGGCGCTCGCTATTTCGGACGCTTTCGAGGAGGAACAATTGCGGAGGTTGCGACAGCTTAGGAAGCAGGTGGGACTGGCTGGAATGTTGCATGCGGGGTCGCATCAAGACCGGATGTTATTTTCAGCTATTTTGGATGTCTGAAATTGCGGTTGGCCGGAATCAATGAAGGAGAAGATCCTTCAGTATTTACAAAGTATGTGATGTACTGTGGCTTTCAGAAATGAAGACCGCCTTGACGCTATATGATCATCACCCTATTGTTTTGGCATTATTCTTCTACTGACATTCCGCTCAACAGTTGCTGAACCTGGGTCACGTGTCCGTAGCAATATGCGATTGGGAGTCAGCCGAGAATACTCGCAAATGCTTTCCCATAGACCGCAATGATCGAACGTTTTGCCAGACGCACGTCTCGACTGTGCGATCAAGCGTCTCCTTCATCCTCGGACGAACGTTCACTTCTCGAGACACGTTTTTCGAATGTCGTGATTATTCAAGCTTGCTTTCATAAACCAAAGCGCTTAATCTCTCTCCTGCAGCTCCATACGCTATGCACACGGGACGCGGACGCGGCAGTGGCAACGGCCCGTTACGCAGGCCGACTCTCTCCGGCCACGCTCCAGGAAGTTCTCATCGTGCTGGTACGCTAAAACCCAACCCGCCCAGTACCGCCCCTTCTTCATCTTGGAAGGGTGTGTCGAGTAATCGTAACGTCTGACCCAATTGGGGCCGTTCATTATTGCGACAGCTTTGGAATGCTGCCGTGCTACATGTACACCAAGGTAAGACAAAGGACTATTCGCAGCAGTCAGAATACACGTTATTCTGCTCGGGTTGTCGTCGTAACGTGGTTACTCGCTGTTTACGCTCTTGATAGCCGTCCTTAACCTTCCACAAAGCATAAGGGTTGGGAGAAGTCTGCACTGCTGGTCCTTGTTCCGCTACGACCGTTCTGTCAGCCTTGAAGGAATCTCGGCGGAACTGCTGCTACAAGAAGCTCTTGCCGGCTCTAAACACGTCGCTTGGAGGGGAAAACAAAGTCGGGACCTCTGAGATTCTGAATGCTTAAGAGTCCAGAAGTTTCGAAGAGCCGAAACCGATAAGGGGGCGTCCGTTTAGGTCTAGGAGCTCGTCGAGTCTGCGCAGCGCCTTCGAGGCAGCGTGCCAGCTACAAAGAGTTTTTGTCGATTCGCATTATAGTACGCGTTTATTTACAGCTTTTGTTGTAAGAAGTTATTACTTCATACTCTTGGAAGCAAACAAATCCTTTTTTCTTCATTTCAATTCCCTTTTGGGGCAACGACATCGTTCCTTAGGGGATTGGAACGAAATGTAATGGAACAACATCGCTGCAACTTCTTCTGAACCTTCGTGTTGCAAAACAGGACCAACTGTATCCAAGCTGTTGTCCTCCTATTCCCCAAACGCACCATGAAAGGAAAAGCGCGCCTGACGCCAGAGGCTTTCTTCGAGTACCATTCTTTCCTCTTTCTCCTTGTTCTCTGTTATCGACTTTTTGATATTGTCTAACAAGCATCAGTGGAAGAACATTCAGCCGTACCCTTCACGCCCTCAACCTTCCCGCCCCAATATCGATTGACAAACCTTCTCTTTGATTAAGGCTGCTGAACCGTCGACTTCTCGCAGGACCTTCTGATGGACTACCCGCTGAGCGATTTCATCCGTCAGATGGCGTCAGCGGAGGCCGCCAAAGCGCCAAGGTCGCCGAGGCTGACGCGCACTCCCGCTCAACCAAGGAAACCCCGAGACCTCAAACGCAACCCAAACCCTGGCCCTAAGCCTGGCCCACAATCCGCGACCGCGGCCTCTCCCCGGTTGGTGATAGACACAATTTTGGAGGGCGATGAGAATGCGTCCCTTTTGAGAGTTGAGCTACCGGTTCTGAGCAGAAACCGCTCGGATCTGCACAATTCCGGCTCGCCCAACGTTCCGCCCAGCGGAAGCAGCCCTGCCGGCGGAACCAAGATGAGCAAGAGCGCCTCGGTCCGGCGCGCGCAACTAGACGTGCGGTCGTTCAAACTGAGCTTGAAGCAGCGCGAGGAGGAGTTCACACCGGAACCCTGGGAGGACGTGTACGAGAACGGAACGGAAGAGCCGGAATTCAACGGACTAGACTGGGATCTCGGCGAAGGGATGGAAGGGGTTCGGGAGGAGAACCCCACGCAGACGCGCGGCCGCGGCCGCGGGCGAAAGGCGCACACTGGCAAGGTCTTGGGCGCGGGCGCAATGGGCTGGAATCGTGGCAGCTCGAGGATGAGCCACGTGGCGTTTCCAGAAGGGCGCCGTGAGTCCGAACGGCGGTCACGGGCGTCCGGCTCTCTCCGGGAGTCGCGGGTGTCCGAATCGACGCCTTACAGGCGTTCTGAAGAGGAGGACACGTCGAGGTTGTCCGACTCTCAAAAGCAAGCAAAGACAGTGGATTCTGGTTCCGGTAAGGCTGTTCCGGCGGAAATAGGGCACGTATCACAGGAGAAGCGGTTGGATTTGTTGCGGCCGATAGGAGAGGAGGAGGAACGTCCCGAAAGCTCGCCGAGGCAGGCCTTGAATGGTGTGAACAGGCGTCTGATTCCGGACGGAACGGAAGCGGAACCGCTCGGCCGGAACGAGAGCGGGGTTGAACACTTAGAAGGGCGACCCGGGTCGAGGGACGCAGAGGAACGGATCGCCACCGCGATGCTCCTGGCGGATCTGCTAGGGCGCAGGTCGAACTTCTGCGAGCCTGCGCTGATACGTGGCAGCCGCTCGGGGAGCACACGTGGCAGCCGCCCAGCGAGCACAAACCCCGGGAAGAAGATCGACGTCGTCCCCCCAGTTCTCAAACGCGTTCTGAGCGCGCACGTCCTGAGAACTTTGACAACAGATTTGGCGACCGTGGAGACCAATCATACTAGAAGTGGGTCGCTGGGCGCGAGAAGGGTTCCCGGGGCAGTTCATTTACCGAAGCTCGTCAAGAAAACGACGAGAAAACTTGTTTCCCCTCGTTTGACAGCTAAGCGGCCGGGAACCGCACTGGCGGCCTCATTGCCGGCGACCACGGAGCTTGGTGTCGCAAGTAAAAGGCGGCCGGCGACGGCGCTCGAGCTACGGCGAAGAACGGCTTCCGAGGACTCAGTTCCGGCTTTCATGCATTCCGTCCGGAAAAGTTTGGGCGGCGACTCCCAAGACGCAGCGGCGCACGCGGCATTCGTGGAGGGTTTGGAGAGGGGTTTGGGTGGCGATATACTCGGGGGTTTGGAGCAAACCGGGCATAGGTTAACGGATGAGACGACAAGCCTGACTAACGAAAGCCCAACGGCCTCGGAAGGCGCCGTTCCGTTCCTTCCGGCGAGCGGCGACTCACCGGAACCTCCCTTGGAAACGGTCCCGGAGAACGGAAGGCCGAAAGTGCTAGTTCCTCCGCTGGACCTGCGCGCGCACATGGCCCGCCATGTGGCGTCTCCTCGATCCAGGAGCGCGCGCGCGCAGACGACCAGGCGCGAGTCGCGGCTCCGCCACTGCATCGTGCGGCGAAGCCGCAGCTTCTCCGAACTCAAATCCAACTCCCGGGCAGACGTGTATATTCACGTCTCCCCGCAAACTAGAGAAGCGGGAAAAGTCGCTGACCAAAGTCAGCCCCGCTCCCCTGGCCGGGCGCCCGCGCCGTCCATTCCTTCGTCGGCCCGCGGCCGCGCGCCCAAACCCTTGCTCACACGCGCGCACTCTTCATTGGCGCGGCCTTCCGGTGATCCGGCCTCTCCCCGCCCGCAACCCCCCAGGCGCCATCACAGCTTCTCGCACGTCGAAACGCGCAAAACTCCCAAACCCCTAGCGTCGCCCCGCGGGCCGCACACGACGCGTGCGGACTGGCGGCTTCGTGACCATAACGGGCTTGTCAACTCCCATCCCTTAAACCTAAACCCGGCGCTAAACCCTTCATCGAACCCTCCTTCAAGCCCTGGGCTTAGCCCCCGCGCCGCGAATGCGGATCGCGGGAAAAAAGAGCCCCCTGCTGACGTCAGCAGGCCGCCACCTGCATCCGCCCACCCAACGCCACGTGGCGTTGCGGACGCTCGCAGCTCAGAGACGTCCACATCGCGGACGCCCAGACAGAAGGAGGGTGTTTACAAGCGGAGCCTCAGCAATAACGTGCAGAAAGTAATGAAACCCGTACAACCGCAGAAGCGACCTACGAGCCACGTGCCCAGGTCGAGTCGGCCCGTACGGGGACCGCCGTCTGCCAGGGACCTTCGCAGGTGAAATCTTTGGCCTACCCGTTGAAAAAAGAGGAGACTCTTCCAAATGAAAAACTTTGATGCGGGTGAAATATGGATGCGAAACGTGCCAGGCACAGATGGTGCGTCTGTCTTTCGAAGATGTACCAGTTGAATCTTAGAATCCAGGTAGTTACTGCATCTGAAAGCGGGAAGCCGCTGAGGGGAGTTTGACCACGCTTGAAGTACTTGGTGTTGCGGAACCAATCATCGTGTGGTCTCGTGGATCGAAGGACAGCGTTCACTTGCATCTCTTGAGAATCAAGCGCTCTCTAAAACGTCTCACTCCTTGATTGGACCATCTATAAAGATAACATCGGGAAGGATGAAGCAATCATCTGCAATCTTAAAAGTGTACTGCTACTGCTCGAGTTCTTGCGACTCGCACCCCGATAGCGACTCCGCTCTTCGCTGCAGAAACACGTCGATGGGTTTCCGGCCCCCTGCGCCGTCGAACTCCAGCAGTCCTTCTCCACCGGCTTGCGCTTTCGACGCTAAACATTCAGCCGCCCCCAGCCCCTTGCCGCGCCCACTCCCCGAAACGTTCGAACCAGAGGCGGCGAGCGCGCCGCCCACCGGACGCTGGACCCCGTCCGAATCGGACGCCGCCAGCTGTGTGGACCTGGACGCGACACGTGGCCCCGACCCGGCGAAGAGCTACGCGCTCGCGTGTGACGTCATCAGGGTCCCGCAGTCGTTTGCGGTGCTGCGGCAGCTGGGGCTGGTGCGGATGGAGGTGAGGACACGTGGCGGGTTATTTTTAGCCGATTTTCTGTAGAGTGCTACTGTCAAAGTCTGGCTCTTGAAGAGGGTTGTTATGAAAGGTATGAGCTAAGAAGGGCTGCTGTCTGACGCATTGATTGAATCTTTCTATATACAGACTTGTCCAGAACCGCAGCTCGTAGAGGCTGCTGCGAGTCCAGGTAGTATCGTTTGGGGAGACTCCTCAGGTCGAGACAACACCGAATGAAGGCCTCAGGACGAGATTCTGAGAGAATCGCAACGATAAAGCAGAAGTTGTGGGAAAGGTCCCCGTCAAAAGAAAAATTTCACTTGTTTTCATTACATTACTATACCATGATTCCCTCATCCTGCAATTATTGATACCGAAGCTCTCTTCTCTCTCGTGCCAGAGAGCACTGAAGCTTATCTTTTGAAGTCCGCCATAAAGAACCGTCTTCCTCCTCTTACTTCTCGAATCCCTGTCAATAGTGCGTTTACTCTTAGATTCGCAATCAATATACCTCTCCTCATCCGCCGCCCCTCTTTTTCGCGCAGCTCGCGCACTGCGGTCTGAGTCGAAGGGGCCTGGAAGCATTCCTGCGCGCCGTTCCGGCTTGCCCGCAGCTCCGTGCGCTGAATCTGGCCGGAAACCAGATCGACGGAACGGGCTGCAAGCTCCTGTCGGAAGGGCTGCGCGAGCACGCGCCGGGGCTGCAAGACCTCGACCTAAGTAGCAACCGGTGGGTCTTGCTCTGCTTCTTTAAATCTTGCTTTGTCTCTCTTTTGCTCCCAGAATCCTTCGTGAGCCTGTTCTGCTCGTCGGAGCTCTGCCTGATTTTGGTCTTGATGCTCCCGGGGGAAGCGGGCACGTAAGAAGGGCCGAGAAAAGCCACTTACAAGGAATCTGGGGACTCCGATCCCCGAGGTATAATTTTGAGGAGACCACGAATCTTTTATGTGACAGGTTTATTGAAGTTTGGGTTCTTGGTCTAGCCACTGAATCTGATCAGACCCCTCGAGCTGAACAGGTCGCCGCTAATGGTTATATACGGAGAACCCACTTGACTTTGTGGAGTTTCATCCATTCCGGTACACACCAATTGAGAGTAATAATGTAACATCTTCATAGAAGCGACATTGTTCTGCGAAAATGCTACATGCGGATGAAATGTCACCTTGTACGTATGTGAATTGTTGAGAAAGCAGATCGGATCTCTTACTTCCAGGGGAGAATGGCTATTATTTCCATTATGGTGTACAGGGTCTCCTTGGCGGGTGTCCAAGCGCTGACATCACCCAGCGTCACTACCGGCAGCGTCCTGGCCCGCCTGCAGACGCTGAGCCTCCGGGCAAACAGCCTCCCGGACACCGCCACGTGTCTCCTCGTGACGTCACTGCAGAACGGCTGCCAGATGCAGGTGATCGCGCACACATCTACTTTGGTTCGTTATGCTATATGCCTCGGTTTTGAAATGAGTTCTCCACTTTTTCACGTCATCAGACCATTCCTCTTCCTTCTTTGTCCGGAATATCCAAAATGATCCTCACGGATATCAATACAAGCTCGAAACGTCTTGATTTCGGTCGTCTCGTTTTGAGTGGACACAAGACAAATTCAAACCAAAGGTCCGAGCGACTGCCGCTGAATCCCCAAGAAACGGCAACTCCCCTCGCGTCCTGCAGGGTTTGGACCTGGCTGACAACGGCGCGGCCGGACGGACCGCGGCCGCGCTCGCGGTTCTGCTAGGGGTTAACTCGACCCTGCGAACCCTGGACCTCTCGTGGAACCATCTGCCGGGAAACACCGCCGCAGTGTTGGCGGAGGCACTGGCGGGCAACAAAACTCTTGACGTGGTGAGTTGGGAAGAGTAAGAGCGGAACGGGAAACGGACGAGGAAAGGTGGAGCTGTACGGAGGAAGCGCAGGTCACGGATCCTTGCGACCGGTTGTCTGTTCTTGCCCTCGTCGCTCTTCTTCAAAGCATTTTTGACATTGGGCGTGCCCGGAATATCAATTATCGGGAGCCCAAATTTTCGTATTACTTCGACGCAAAGCCAGCAGGGTCACCGTCAAAGTTCCTTGACTTGTACCAATGGACCTCAACGCAGAACCTCCAGTCAGTTCCTTGACTTGTACCAATGGACCTCAACGCAGAACCTCCAGTCAGTTCCTTGACTTGTACCAATGGACCTCAACGCAGAACCTCCAGTCAACACCGTCGTCGTGTCAAAAAGTCTTGTCCTCACTGCGCGATTTAAAAGTCGCATACGCGATGGTACGCGCGATTGCACAAGTGGCGCAGTTCGGGATGTAGGGAGCAAATCAGGGGTCCCGCATTTGCATAGCGTCTTCCGGCTGAAAGTTCTGCACGGTTACGTAACAGGCTCGAGCAACCCGTGACGTTGAAAACGACGGCCGTCAGATTTCTGTGAGAATCTTAGCGAGTTAAGTTCCCACCTTGTTCCTCCATTCTGTTCCTCGCAGTTGAAAGTGGCTCATAACAGCATGGGTGCGGCTGGCGACGTCGCCATGAAAGAGTTGCTGGATAGACGCCGGCGGACTTCGCTTCCGGCGGATCAAGCACCGCGGCATGACGAAGCAAAAGAGATAGTTGAAAGCGGAAAACCGTTATCAGGCGGAACGGCGCAAGAGCCAGCTGTCGCTTCCTAGTTTTTTCTGTCGTCTAGTACTTTGAGTATCCAGCAGCGAGATCGGCGATGTAACGGTTGGTGTCCGGCAGGTACAAGATGCAAATAATATGAGTCAAAGAATAAAAAAGAGTCAACTCCACGATTGGCAAAAAGTCTGCACCAGTCGTGGTGCACGTATCGAGCCATCTTGTGACATCTTTGGAGGTTGATTGAAATGTCGCAAAAATATCCGGAAAATCGAAGCAGTCCGGAGAGTGCTCGCTATGCTGATGCACCTAGGACCAGTTGCTGAGGCCAATCGAAGCTCTGCTGCTGACGCCAGTCTAGCGTGCGTGCCTAAATATGTATTTCTGGGGAACTTCGGTTCAAAAATCCGGCCATACGTCTCGACTCTCGACGAAGGGGAATGCAGACTTCCTCGAGATGAAATATTTCAGTGTACTTTATGGAGCACGCTCGGAGCAGGCCATGAGCTAGTCCAAAACGGCATCATGTAGTGCCCGCCTGCCTCTGTGACACTACAACAAAAAACTTAGATACTGGATGTTTCGTTCGAAGTGACTATCGATAAGCTGCGAGCCAAGGCCTGATGTGCCTGAAAAGGACCAGAACCGTAAGGCGAGTGCGTATAAAACGGTTTTCAAGGCCTCAGCGCCAGCTATGCGTGTTTACCAAGCTTTCAGAAAACCTCTCCTTCTTGCTGTCTGATGATGTATACACCCAAGGACCAACCGTTGGTCCTTCAAGTTGAACGGAAGGCCGCTCTATAGTGCTCTACACAAGGCGCAAGGACTCAATCTATACAAGACAGCTGTGTCGTACTGTCGAACCTCTCATTTTCAGTTAAGAGTTCATGGGATCAAGCTTGCGCCAGTGCTTTCTGCAAGATCGAGCGTAGTATTCCCGATAAGGCCTAAAAACGATGCTCATTTGGACAAAGTCAATCGGCACGGTGTAATCAAGGCTATTCGCCACTTAAGACGGTTAGCTTCTTTCGACAGCGAGCCTAATCTGCCTCTGCGCTAAGTCAACAGGGGATGTTCCAATAGCATTTGCTTTAAGGCTCGGCCGCAAGAGCTAGAGAGCCGTCGCGCGCCGCGCCCGCGTCTGACATATGCTTCGGCCAGGCCGGGCGGCAGCCGAAGTCGATTCGCGGCCGGCCTGCCGCTTGCATGGACCCTGCGCGATCATCGCGCCGTCCAGACGTGGTGTTGACAATAAATGTAAATCTCGCAAGAGAAAGACGAACTTCAATTTAAATGTCTGAATCTTAGGAGTACTTGGATGCAGCTGGGTGCAGCTGCAGAAGTCAGGAAGCAAGCGCACAGGTCTGGCTTTGCGCTTGTGGCGCTGCACAAATGGTGCGCTTCAACCAGCTTGCAAACGATGGCACACTCTGCAGCTTGATCAAAGGAGGGCGGGCGCTCTGGAGCATTTGATTTGTCACTCTTTCAGTCACGTCAGGATTTAAGAAGTGGACAAAGCCTTGAAGGCCTCGAGCTTCGAAAGTTTCTGTGACCTTGGACTAAATTTACTTTGTCAATTGCAGCCTAGTCAGTCAGCCCTCAGTGGGTGCATCTGCACAGCCATCAGTTTTTCAGATGGACGAAGACTTGGACAAGTTCGTGGAACAATATGCTGCCATGCTTAAATCAGGTCAAGATGAAACGATTGTAGAAGTGCACCAAGCGCTGGGGGAAGTGTACTTCTCAGGGGAGAAAGGGAGAGAGACATTCTCCAAGATTGCTCAAGGGCTTGCAGCGTATCAGAATGGCGCTTTTCTGAAGCCCCTCCTGTCTGGAGCTCTCTTTATGTCTGAAAGCGACGACCTGGACGCAAAGGTCTCTCACTACAGGGCCTGCTGCTTGGCGGTCACCATTTTGACATCAAGCGAAGTTGTAGTCAAGAAGTTTCTGATGGGAACAGGCCGGATCGAAGATAAGCAAACTGCGTGCCTTATTTACCGGAATCTAACCACCAACGCGTTGATCAGGGCACAAGCTCTGGAAAAAGGACAAGATAGTGCTGCAGTCCTCTGGGTTGTCTTGCCTCTAGAGTGCTTGGCCAAGTTTATCCGAGGTTCTAGAGTTTTCCGGGACGCCATGAAGGACATCTCAGAGGAGCGGAACATCTTTGAGACACTTGGATATTTCCTGTCCGCAGAGTTCCTCACCAAGGCTGGTCAGGAGAATGCCGCTGCAATTAGAGGCTGGCTGTCAGAGATGGCGGCCTCGCTTGCTTTCTCAAAAGATAGCCAGCTTTGGGTGCTAGACATGGGGCTTCTCAAGTTGATGGCAGCTATCTACGACAGCACACAGTTGCAGAACCTCTTAGACCACATGAAGCAGACCGACTCTCCAGTCTTTCGCTGCAACGCGATCCTCATCCGTTTGCTAGAGAAGGAGGCCACGTTAGAGAAGCTGCGAGCTCACAATGCTCTGGCAGGTTTCAGGCCCCACAAACGGAAGATCAACAGTGCGGATCCGCAATACCGGCCGTGGAGCTACTTCGAAGCAAGACTCTCAGGACGGCCTATCAATATGGACCAGATGCGAGCAGAGGATCCAAGCTGGAGACCTGCCTATGATGTCTGGGAGCTTATGCACCAGCCGAGTCGGGGAAACTGGGCTCCGGCCGTCTGCTCATGGAAGCTGTGCACGGCAGGCGCCGAGCCGGAAGGTGACGGGAAGAAGTACGGAAAGTGCGCTGGCTGTCAAGTTGCCCGCTACTGCAGGTGATCCCCGAGTATCTCATGCCACTTAGACGATTTCTTTTTTTCAACGCACAGTGACTCTGTCGGCTTCTCCTCTAAAGCCACGTGCTCTCTTTAAGCATCTTCGCATTCCAGGTCGCTCGCCATTTGAAATTCTTCGCTAGGACTGATGGGGAAAAAGGTGCTGCAATTCAAAAGTTTTCTGGCCCTTCGATCCGGATTCTCCGCATTTTCGCTACATCCATGAAATTGAGATTCTGAGATTCTGAGATTTTGGGTTGTCATCTCCTCTATCCGTCTGTGTTCAGCATATTGGATCCAGTAGATCAGTTGGCCCGGTAAGCCGCTGCGATCGGACACTCTCTCAGCAGAAAGTGTGCCGGGCTCTGCTTGCTCGAGGTTGCTCGGTCCTTTTTGCTGCTTTCCTTCAACTTGCTTAGGTTGTTGTATCACCTTTCATCACATAGGAGCTCTAACAGCCCTTGAATGTTCTGTGATATCTTTGGACTCTACTGACCCTTTCATATGTTGCATCGTCGGTTGGAAGTGTGATGTCAAAGGTAAATGAGCCGTTCACATCAAGCCTGCATTCGTCGGAAGTTCTGGTATCTCAGGTCTGAATTCAAAGAACATCTGAACCTCAAGTAAAGCAGACAGTCCGCACTCTTATGCAGCAAGGAGCACCAGAACCTGCACTGGCGAACCCACAAGATCCACTGCCAGGCGGGACGGGCAGCAATTGCGGGTCCGGAAGAGGAAAAACAAAAGGAACTGAGGGATCCGACAAGCAAGGCGCGATAGTACTGTTCATGCTTTCGGCCAAGTAGAACGCCCCGTTCCTGCACCCGTTCCTGTTTTGCAGGAGAGGAGAATCAGAGGGAGCAGTTAGAGGGGAATTGTTCTGACAGCGCACTCGGTAGCGCAAAGGGGGCCCGTATAGAGGGGGTGAAATGATGACTACGTAATTCTCGAAGTCGAAGATGCCCGAATGCGTGCCAGATCGGGCATCTTCGTAAGAGTTTATCTCCTAAACTGAACCCCCATGAGCCCATTCAATCCAGAAGAAAAACTTTTGCACTCCGGTCAATCTTGAATGCTGGCCACGCGCGCATGAGACCTTGCTTTCAACAGGGCTTTAGAATGCGGCTTACACGAGCTCAATGACGCTGGCTTCGATCCAATTTTGTGAGCACGGTAAAGGTCTCAACTAAAAGTTCTCAAACACGTCGTTCCTATTTCGAAGATTATCATGATACCTTATGCTACCGATTGAACGACAGCTCACCTCGAAGAGTATTTACGAACGTGCACATGCTGCAACTTTCGCATCCATTATCATTCGATCGAAGTTCTGCGCACTCTCTCGTAAACGACGGGACGCAGCAAGAAGAGCTGCTTCTTTATGCGCGTGAGTAATCCCGTAAGTCGTGCCAACGATTACAATGGAGCTGAGGCGATTATCCTTGTTTTACACCTCACGTAGTAGAATTGGTTGCATACGCTTTTTATGCCGAAATCTCGGGGGCACTACTGTAGATGCAAATCAGATCGTTTAGGACGTCGTCAACAAAATGCCACCTGGTTGCTCCTGCTTCGTGGCAGAATATCTCATTGGGTCAGCACTCCCTGGAAGCAATCTGGCGCCTGTCGTTACCGGCTCAATCTTGTACATTAACCAAAAGTTAAACAAGATCTGGACCGTGCGTAAGACTGACTACATCTGACCTTGATTATAACAATCCCTTGCTGATCCAATCTTCCTTTCTAGATCTACCTAGGAGACTCGGGTATCCAAGTCTCCGTATATCATTTTCGACTCGCCTGGCAGTGCTTTTTGTGGGTTGCCCAGTGCAGACGATGATGCTCCTTGCTGCACAAAAGAAAGGACAAGGGAGAACCTTCTGCTCAAAGCGCTCTCAGTCTAACCATGACACAGACGCCCGAAACCATGGAAAAGGGAATAAAACGTGCATCGGGGTACAGAGCCTATACGTACAGCACCTTGAACAAGTCCTTCGCCGTCACGTTTCAAAGTTCTGACGAGAGAGTGACGTTTGAACCATTCAGCTACTACGAAGCGTCGTCAGCTTTACTCAAACAGCAAATATGTAGACTGCTTCATGAGATTTGCTGTTCACCGTTTGAGCAAGAAGCTCATCGTAGTGGAGTCAAGATGCCTTTTCACACCGTCTGACCCTCAGCGTCGTGCTCGGATATCAAACGCGAGGTGACGATGCAGGGAAACGATCAACTCCTTCCCTCCAGAACTAACTTTTTGTCCACAGTCCGAAGGCGATACGAACGAAATCAAACGGTGCAAAAAGATTGAACGAATTAGCGAAAACAATACCATCGAATGCTGCAAGGGCCTGTAACGAAGATGTCGTAGTCATTACCTGCAGTAGCGGGCAATTTTGCAGACGGAACACTTGGCGAACTTCTTCTCGGCGAGGGGTTCCGGGCCTGCCGTACGCTGCTTCCACGAGCAGACGACCGGAACGGAGCTTTTACCCCAATGCCGATTTGACCTTCCACTTCTGGCCAGTGCGTGGGTCTTTCAGACTTCCCGGAACGCCCATCAACCTCCGTTCGAAGTAAGTCCAAATGTCAAAGCCCGGGCACGCACTTCTAATCTTATCTCTGTGGGCCCGAAAACCGGAGAGGGCGTTGTGCGCGCGCAGCTTTTCCAATGTGTCACTGGACTCGAGCAAGCGGAGGAGAACCAAATTGCAGCGGAACACCGGAAGTTCGTCCCTGAGCTCATTGTCCAAAAGCTGGTCTGTAGGCGATTGTTCGTAGATAGCTGCTAGGAATCTGAGTAGACCGTTGTCCAAAGACCAGAGGTAACTGTTAGAAGATAAAGCAAGCGTCTTCGCTAGCCTGGACAAGATAAGTCGAATCCTGTAGGCATTGGAGTCGGACAGCTTGTTGAGGAACTCAGCAGACACGAAGTATCCAAGCTGCTCGAACAGGGTGTTGACTTTCAGGCTAGCCTGCATGCTATCTCGAAAGACTCTTGATCCTTGTGCAAAGTTGGCCAGGCAATCCAAAGGCGCAACGACCAACAATCTGCCAGCCCTGCTGTCACGGTCATCTCTGCGCTTCAGCTCCTGCGCGCGCTGCATTGCGTCGCGCAATATTGTCTCGTAGATTTGTTGCGCGCGCTGTCTTTCTTCTCCCTCCGTTCTTAAGAGGCGCTCTATGACGACCTTGTTTGACGTTAGAAGGGCAGAAACCATGCAGCAGGCGCCACAATGTTCGTTTGCTTTGACTGCATCTGAGTTTGGTGGCATCCTAGCGCCCCTGCAAAAATGCCGTCCACCACCGCTCCCCCGTTGCATGCCGCAAGCTCTTGAGCAAGTCTAGCAAACCTCTCATTCCATTCGCTTCCTGGCTGCTGGAAGGCTCTCTCTAGCTGATCAAAGCCTTTTGACATGTCATCTGGCTCATTTGATGTCAGCAAAGCGGCAAAAACTTCGACCACCTCGTCCAAATCCTCGTCCATTTTCACGGAGACTCAGGGCGCACGCACGCACAAGCAACCAGCCGGACTCAAAGGCTTCCCCCTGATTGCCCTTTTCGCTTCAAGAGGGAGATGCAAGCCAGGTGCTTTCAGTCCCCTTGTCATACTTGTGTCCTCTCAGGGGCCGCACAAAATCTTCCCATGGCACACTTGTGCTGAAAGAGCAGATTGAGTTGAAGGCAGGGATTGCAAGGCTCGGCTCATCAGTACAGATTTGGAGTAGATGGCAGTCGGTGTTCTGCAGAAGTGTGTACTTTTTAGCGCGCGTACTTTGACGATGCAGTGTCCACACTTTAGCTGCAAGTGCAAGTATGCGCCAAGCAGTGCCAAGCAACATTCGCCGAGATTGACAGACGTCTACAAATTAGGTAATCAAAGGAGCATGAGAAGCGTCTGTTGATGGACTCCGCTTTGGGGCCACATGCAGCATGCACACAGGACGCCCAGCCTGCGCCAGCGTCCGCACAGCTAACCGCACTCCTGCAAATTACGTGAGGGTCACACCAGATGTTAGCCCTCAGTCGCTGTTGGAAAAGAAATGCTGAGGTCAGCAGCAAGGCTTTGCGGCCCTGGTACGGCCTCATGGTGGTTTCTTTCAGGGCTTTGATCAGCGCATGCACCAATCTAAACCTTCAGTAAGATCAGAGAGAAGGATCACTTTAGAAGCTAGGAGAAGCGCCCTCTGAAGGGTTGGGACGCATAGACCAGGGGCGGAATCAGCTGAGGCTCCAGGCTTTGCCATTGAGGGACTCCAATTGTGCTTTGAGCCTGGTGTGCATGAATCACTAGCACAAATGCAATAACCCCGCTAGTGAAGATGGAAGAGGATCTCGACCAGACTGTGGCGAGGATTGCTGACATGCTAAAGTCCCTACATGTTTCTAAAGAAGTTTGGAAGGTTTGCGACCTGCTACGAGACGTGTCTCTCACAGGTACTAAAGGGAAGGAGCATTGTATAAGAATAATCCAGGAGCTCGCAGCCTACAAAGGGGGCGCCGGTTTTGAGAGGATCTTAACGGGAGTCCTTTGGGAAGTGCAGCTGGAAGGGGACTCGAGCGAGGATTACGTCAAAACACTCATTGAGTACAACATGAGCTGCCAGGCCCTAGCATCTTTGACCGAGAGCAACGTGGCGGTGGAGCGCTGCTTGAAAGCGCTTGCAAAAAACAAAAGGCAGGTAGCCCAGCACATTTACAAGAGGCTCTCTGAAAATGCTTTGAAGGCGGCACGCGGTTACAAGAGAGGATCAGAAGATGGCCCTTCCTTCGAGATGATGGTTGTTGCACCTCTGGAGTGCCTGACCAACTTCGTACGAGTTTCCAGGAGTTTCCGGGACGCCATAGAAAACAGCCTGGCGGAAATTAGTATGCCAGAATCCCTAGGGTTCTTCTTGTCCGCTGAATTCCTTGACGCTTTGTCGAAGAAGGATGCATTCGCTGTTCAGTATCTCTTTTCCAGCATAGCAGCGTCTCTTGCGCTCTACCCTGACAGCCAAATTTGGGCCCTCGATAAGGGCCTTCTCAAGATGCTAGCAGCAGCTGTGGGATGAAACCAAGAGGAACGACTCTCCTGTGTTCCGCTGCACCGGAATCCTGCTCCGCTTGCTAGAAACGGAGGCCACAGCGGAACAGTTGCGCGCTCACAACGCTCTCGCGGAGTTCTTGCCTCACAAACAGAAGATCAACGGAGCGTACCCGGAATGGAAACCTTGGAGCTATATGAGAACGCGCTTGGAAGGTCGGCCGGGAAGTACGAAATGGAAGATACAAGGCAAGGTCAGGGGAAACTACGCTAGCATCGTATGCTCGTGGAAGCAGTGCACGGCAGGCCGCGAGCCATCTTCCGGAAAAAGGTTTGGAAAGTGCGGGGGGTGTCAAGTCGCTCGCTACTGCAGGTAAGCCTGCAACTACAGGAATTGAGCCCGAACTTGATGCGGTTTTGATGCGACATCCTAGGCAGATTCATCCTCAGAAAAGTCAAAGTAGGTCTGCTCGACGTCACCTGTAAACGAAATTGTCAAAGAAGGTTGAGGTCAGAGGGTGTTGAGCGGACTTAAGTTTCGCAATTCCTTAGGCTGCATCCTTAAGTACAAGAAAAGGTGAGGACATCAACAAGCGTCAATAGGCGTTCAGAAAGTACCAAGTTTGTTCAGCGTTTGCCGATTGAAACGGCTCTCGACAATTGTTCAACATCCCACCTCAGGAATTGAGTTTGGGGTTTTAACGAGAATGCACGAACCCTCCACTTTCTTCCTCTTCCTAATTCAGAAAACTATGATACGAGCGCGAGGGCTTACACCTGAACATCAGATTCACCTCGCCTAGATTTCTGGGTATGCCTCAAAGTCTCGTCTGTCTTTCTGCAGCAAGGAGCATCAGAATCTACACTGGCCAACCCACAAGATCCACTGCCGGGCCGGTCAAGCAAAGGGTCCGAGTTCGTAGGGACGAGAATCGAATAGCAGCGGGTAGTGATGTTTCTTACGGAGTGGTTCTCCGCCATTTGGTGTTTGTATTATGCCAGCAGCACGTCGAGGCCTTTGAATCCTTATCAAGAAGGTTGATTTCTTAAGCAAGAGTCTGCTCGTGAAGCATTCTCGCGTTCGAGGTGGCCTGCCGCTGCCGCTTGCGCCCCAGGGGACAGCGTTCTGAACGGCGCGAGCTGTAAGATTGCAATGTGTGAATGATTGGAATCTTGTGAGCAGAATGTTACCGTATGGCAAGTGTATTCGTCAAGGACTTCAGATCCGAATTCACAAATGCAATTCTCATGCTTTAAAATTGATAGCTCTATACATGATATACATGAAGACCTGCGGAACTGAAATTTGGGTTAAATCGAGACGGGGGCATGTTCCGACTTGCATGTGGCGCTGTATCGGGTCGTGTCCGCGATGCCTCTATCAAGATCAGGCAACTTTGAGTGCAGCAAAGAATCGGGTGCTGATTTTGCCAGCGCAACCTCGTGACAAGAATGTAGCAAATTTGACATACATACAATAGAGACACATCAAAATTATGCGCTTAACGCTCTCGGCTATGATGGTGGCCATAGCGCTTGCGTCGTCTTGAACTACTATAGCCTATTCACGTCGTAGGCAGACGTTTTGAAAGCGGCGCTCACAGACAGGAGGAACTCCATGTCAGATATAGTCACTGATTCTACAGTAACAGCAAAACATGCGTGCTTTTGCAAAGGTACTTGGTCGGATTATTCAACATGTATTCTGCTTTGCCACATGCCCGCCACACATGCGAACGGGATGCGAACACGCTTGCAGCCCCGTGCTTTCACCCTCCATGTTAACGTCCTTTCACTAGGGGTCTCACGAGCCTTCCTATTCCGGACCTGGGAGCGCAGATTGACATTGATGACAGGGGTCGAACATAAGTCTCAAGTCGGCTTATCAGCTTAATGGCAGCTCTGGTGTGACTGTGGATGGCAGCAAGTGTTTTAAAGCAATTTAAAAGAACAACGTTGTCCAACATATGCGCGCGCACATGCTCTGATGATGCAGTGTCAAGTTGTGCAGACGTCGAGTCTAAGACTGAGTCAAGCACTGTGCGAAACAAGTCTTGCCTAGCCTGGTCGACAAAACCGCCAATCAAGCGCCTGCAGAGGGGCCTGGCTTCGGTCCCGGAACGCACGCTTACATGCAGCATGCTCAGGTGCCCAGCCTCCGCAGCTGACCGCACTATCCTGCAAACCCCTGAAGCTAAGGGCGGGCAGAACATAACAGTCAGGAGTCCTCCAGTAGTTAGCTTGGGTCAGCAGCGACTCTCTGCGGCCGCTTGATGGGCCTTCACTGCCTTGATCAGCGCATGCACCAATCTGTCAGACCCTTGGTAGAATTATGTAGCGCAGATCTTATCATTAGCGCAGAGGGGCCGCTCAACAGCGCCACTAAAAGCCTTCTGGCTCAAATATGAAGGGAGAATTCTCGAATTCAAGAGGGTCGAGGCTTTTGCTTTGCATGAGAGGTATGCAATCATGCCGTAAACTTGGCGTGCTCGGAAGATCAGCATAAGCGCAATCCTCCGTAGCGAAGCATGGACGAGGATCTGGAGCAAACCGTGGAGAGGTGTGCTAAGATGTTCAAGTCAGTGCATGTTCCCGAAGAGATCCGAAAAGTCTGCAACGTGCTACAAGATCTGTCTCGTAGAAGTTCTGAAGGCAAGAAGCATTGCACAAGGATAGTCCAAGAAGTCGCGGCCTACGAAGGGGGCGCCATTTTGAAGCGGCTTTTAAAGAGATCTCTTTGGGAAGTGCAATTTAAGCGGAGTGGCATCGTTGACGAATCTTACGCGAGAACACTGACCGAGTACAACATGAGCTGCCAGGCCCTAGCAACTCTGACCGGAAGCAAGGTAGTGGCAGAGCGCTGCTTGACTGTCCTTCTAAACAACGAACGGCAGATAGCCCAGCAGATCTACAAGAGGCTGTCTGAAAATGCTCTGAAGGTGGCACAAGAGGTGAAGCGAGGAGACCACGGCGCATTCATCGAGATAATGATTGCTTCACCTCTGGAATGCCTGGCCAACTTTGTGAGAGGTTCAAGAATCTTTCGGGACGAGCTCAGAGATAGCCTAGAAGGAAGTAGTATCTTTGAAGCGGTAATGTATTTCTCGTCCGCTGCCTTCCTCAACAAGGTGTCTGCAGAGAATGCATCCCTTGTTCAGCATTTCTTGACTGATATAGCAGCTTCTCTTGTGCTCTATTCCGACAGCCGGATGTGGGCCACTGATAAGGGCCTCCTCAAGATGCTAGCAGCGATCCTTGGAGCTTCACCCATTCAGAAGCTTCGGACAGATGCCAAAAGGAAAAAGTCTCCTATATTCGGCTGCACTGGAGTCCTGCTCCGCTTGCTGGAAACGGAGGCTACCGCAGAAAGCTGCGCGCTCAAAACGCTCTTACGGATTTGCGGCCCCATCAACGGAAGATCGACGCAGTCTACCCAGACTGGAAACCTTGGAGCTATATCAATGCGCGCTTGGAAGGTCGGCCGGGAGATGAGGAGTATAAGATGCGAGCCGCGATCGAGGGAACATACGCTGAGGTCGTATGTTCATGGAAGCATTGCACGGCAGGCTGCGAGCCATCTTCCGGAAAGAGGTTCGGAAAGTGCGACGGGTGTCAGGTCGCTCGCTACTGCAGGTAAGGTTGGGATTGTTAAATGCAGGTCGCTGCACGCCTGGTCTTGTTGCGGTCTTATGCATCTCCATAGAACATTCGTCGAATTGCCTTAAGGTTGAATTTCAGACAATCTGATCAATAAAACTTGAAGCCACAGGGAATCGACCGGCCTCTAGGTTTTGCGGATATCTTGCCCTGCGTCTTTGGAACTGCCGACAGTCGGAAATACTCAGAACCTTCGAATGCTTCTCCACTCGTAACTGACGGCGATCCAGATTCGTTCACCTTTTGACAATTGAAAACGGCTCACAGACGTAATTGATCCGTGTTCGACCTTGAAAGTTGAGTCTTGAGGCTATTTCAGAATGCTCAAAACGCTCCGCTTTCCTCCCCGCGACGTAGTCAAGAATACCTGTACGAGCGCGAGGCTATAACATCGGATCAGAACTACGTAGCTAGCATTGGTCTGGACTAGTTTTCTGAATGTCTTACAGACACGTATGTGCTTCTGCAGCAAGGAGCATCAGAAACTGCACTGGCCAACCCACAAGATCCACTGCCGGCCGGCCAGTCGAGCAAAGAGTCCGAGTTTGTAGGAGACGAGATAACACAGCAGCGGGTGATGCCGTTTCTCAGAGAACGGTTCGAATTCTTCGTGCTTGGAGCTTGGACCAGACCAGGAGCAATCGAAGGTTTCCAATTCTTATTAAGAAGGTCGACTTCTTTGGCAAGACTCGGTATCTCGTTCAGGATCTTCACACTAAAAGTGGCTTGCCGCTTGCGGCCCAAAGGACAGCGTGTCGCGCGGCGCGAGCTGTCAATTTTTTATGGTATTCAAATAGGTTGAGCACTTTTGAACTCTTGTAAGCAGAGGGTTCACCGTTTGGCATAGCGGATCCGGCCTTCGGATGCTTCAAATGTTTAAGTGCAGTCTCTCATGCTTCCATGCTGCGTAGCACCTCTGACTTACCGGGGACTTACCTTGTAACCTTAGGTGTTTTGTCGAGACTAGAAACCCTCAGACCTCACAGACATCTGCTGTAAGACGGAACGAGCAAAAAGTATGTCCCAACCTGCATTGGGGCTGAACCGGCTCATGTCAACATGTACGCGATGCATCTTCCGAGCCAAGGCGATTCGGAGTACAGGAAAGAAAGGGATGCAGATCTTGGCACATAAGCGTCCTAAAATATTGCAGCGAAACGATTGCTCTGATACTCGAGCCACATGGCATATCTTCTCCTACTTGTCTCGGCTATGGTGGTCCATATAAGTGCATGCTTCACCGCACTCCAACCGCACTACAGCTAGATTCGTTTAACGAGTCTGCCTGCATGAAAAGGCTCACGAAGTGACGAAGGGAATAAACATTTATGCCAAGTGCAGCCGCGATCTGGCAGGATCAATTGTAAGTGCATGGGCTCAGGCCAGGCGGAAGGTGCGCAACAGCGCGGCCGCCCGGCCTGTCGCATTAGGCGGCCGCGCTGCGCGGCGCGCCATACGCAACCCAGCCTCACAGATTTTATGAGGAATCTCTCATACCGTACAAATTGCAATATTTCGGCACGCCGAATACTTTGGGCAATTGGGTTCCACCTTTCGGCATAATGCCAGCCAATATATTTAAGGCAAGGGTTTCCACCCATGATTTCGGCAGAAAAT